GGTGCCAAGGAGTCTAGCCCTGTTTTACCTTTCGCACCTTAACCTTAACCTTAACCTAACCTTAACCTTAACCTAACCTTTAACCTTAACCTTAACCTTAACCTTAACCTTAACCTTAACCTTAACCTAACCTTAACCTAACCTAACTTAACCTTAACCTTTAACCTTAACCTTAACCTTAACCTTAACTTTAACCTTAACCTTAACCTTAACCTTAACCTTAACCTTAACCTTAACCTAACCTTAACCTTAACCTTAACCTTAACCTTAACCTTAACCTTAACCTTAACCTAACCTTAACCTTAACCTTAACCTTAACCTTTAACCTTAACTTAACCTTAACCTTAACCTTAACCTTAACCTTAACCTTAACCTAATCTTAACCTGTGGTACCCGTCGGGCGGCTTCGGCTGTCCACAAACGGGTGGTGCTACAAGCTTTTGCTATGTCGCCACGTCTAAACAACGTATGTTCACTCGCTATTGATAGCAGAGTTGCTTAAACGCCTTGGTCGCTACGGCGCCCCTTCGGGGTCGCCTTTCGCGCCCTGTACTTTGAGGTCCTTCTGACTTCGTACTTTACTCTAACGTTAAACTTTCTTACTCTTCGGTATGGTCCGGGACCTTTCCTACCGGACCTTAATGACGAAACAACGTCATCCCTAAGGGGGAGCCGCTGAGTCTAAACTCTATTATGGTCCGCTGACGTGATTGTCATGACACCTTTATCCGGAATTAACCGGTATCCTCCTCGAGGGAGATAGAGCGGGTCTAGAAAGTGGTACGATTATATTTGCGATTTGATGATTGGCTGATAAGCCCAGACGGCTTTAATGCGGCTTCAGAACACATGCCGGGCTATCTTTACCCGCGGGCCCCGAACCCTAAGCATGAATGAGTCATGTAATCACCGCTGACTCGGCAATTGGTAATCCCTTGTCTAAGTATAGCACCTACGCGAAAGAACCATGTGATGCGGCCGTCTAGATCTACCGGCCCGGTTACCCCAGTCTAAATTTCGCCCTATCTCGGCTCCCGTCTCAGCGGTTCTCGCCCAAGTAGTAAGCGAACTGGTCTTGTGATCGGTGACGCGTGTAAGTTCCGGACTTGTCCACAATAGGACTCCGTCGGAGTATGCGATTTAAAGCGCCGCTACTCCCGCCAGTTTGCATATATAAACCTCTGAAGATACCACTGATGAGGAATAAAATCCGAAACTGCTCGTCTACCTCCATTGAGGGCAGTCTGGTATCTCTTCATCACGCCTCCAGCCCACCGATCTCACTCAGCCGCTTCGCGGCTTCGTTCGATCGCCACCTTAACCTAACTTTGAGTACGAGTGGTAATCCAAGGATCTAATAGCTAGGTCCATTTGAAATCATGATCTCAATCGGACAGTTCGAGTGTGACAAATAGTCCATTTGAGACCATGATCTCAATTGGACCTTTTGGCACTCAGACTGTTCATTTGAGATCATGAGTGTAATTGGACTTTTGGTACTAGTTAGATACTATTATGGTGAAAACCTCTAATATATATCTTTTTTTTTGACCAGAAGTAAAGACTGACACATATCTTACCCTCACATATTTAGAAAATCATGGTACAATGTAAGTGCCTTACACAATCCGCCATTTCTTGCACTTTCGTATACTTTTTTTTAGACTCTCTCCTTATTCACCAAATGTGTAAGAAATTGTATTTATTTGTATATTTATCTACGAAAATGTAAGAACATTTTGTCGCTTCTCACTGGGCTTGACTCGCCGGCAATCTGCGCCGTGCGGCTATGGTATGACCAGTCGTATACCCTCTGCCATTGTTCTCAAAGGTTTCTCATCGCGCAACACTCATGTCTTATCTTCGTAGCTGGTTTTCTTCTGATACTACTGCACATAATACCCAGCATACACCTACACCACAATCTAACTCTCTTTCTGTTACCGCACCTCTTTTGAACATATCGCCACCACCATCAGACGACGACGACGATACAGAGAAAGAAGATGACACACCTCCAGCTTTTCCAAGTCTTTCCAGTGCTCAACGTGCTGCTCCCAACTTAAAGATACCTACCATACTCTCCGATTCTGCACTAATGCCACCACCACCTCCGCCAAACTTGGCCAAACGCCAACCAAGGGCACCACAGCCAGCTTCATCTTCGTCTTTACTTTTTCCATTGGGTACGATTCGGAGACCACCGAATCCAAAAAAAATGAGGGAAAAGGTGGCACTGGCTCCCGGGTATGGTCCACTGGACTGGGCAAATTTGAAGGCATCAGGTGCAGATTTACGAGTACGTCGCGTTACTTAACTATCTTGCACGTTGAGAACCATTATCCCAGGGCGTCGATACCCTATTGCGGATATCACCTTCGATATTAAAATTACACAATAAGAAAGAAGATGCATGGACAGCTATTAATGGCAAAGTGTACAATATCACACCATATATGCCTTTCCACCCAGGAGGTGAGAAGGAGCTCCTACGAGTCGCTGGCCGAGATGGAACTAAACTTTTCAGTGAGTTTCCCGTATACAAGACCAATAATGTTTGAGCTCCCAAAACTGACTCAGCTATTTCACCAGTGCTCACGCATGCCTGGGTCAATGCGGATTTCATGCTTGATACATGTCTAGTTGGTTTTCTGGTCTCAGAGCCAGCTACATAAAATGAACTATCCCCTAGATCTCATTTGCTTCGGATTGTATTATCTCAATCACCTCAATGTCCTACATCGTAGATGTATGTACCGTTCATGTTTCTCGTCCGGACTTGGGACGTTTTGGGACTATCGATGTGACTACAACTACAATGGGATATAAAGAAGAACTTATCATAGGCTAATTTTATCGGTCGATATCAAAAACGGCCATCGCACAGAAAATGCAGATAGCAGACTTCCAGCTGAATTGTCATCTTTATATTGAAGCTTCTAATTCCTGCCATCGTTGCATTATAGGAGTCGCAGTTTGGATGAGTTGTTGCAATCACAATTGTACAAACGCTATCGAAAATAATCTGACTAACTAACTCGGGCAATAGTGAGTAAGAACGCTCTTCTAATGCATTAATGCACACTTATGTAGATTGGCGCGGGAGATGCACAATATCACAAACCTTGCGAATGAATTTCTACAATCACAAAACACCTTTTCGTTGAACAAGTCTCAAAGTGAGTCAAGACACGTACTCTTCGTTCTACGTTTATTTGCACCTCGTAGTAGTCTATTATTGGGGGCGGATAGGGGTATTTGACCAAAAAAAGGAGGTGAGAAGAACATGCGCTCACATGTCCTCTGGAGGTTGCGCAATAGCAGCTTCGTTTCACACCACGTCACGCAAGATAGCAACAATGCTGGCAATTATAAAAAGACACAGAAACATCTTATCTTCTTACGCTATCTCATTTCCAATATCCCAACTTCATAATGGCACCGGTAGCGACAAACGAGAGTAACCAGCGCGACACTTTGAAGAATCTCAAGAGCAATATTGACACTCGATTGATCAACCCGTTTTACTCTCCGTCTTCTGGAGACGACGACGATCAATCATACCAGTATGCCAAATATAAAGTAAGAAAATGCCTGATCCACTCATCGTTTTACTTGCTCACGCGCTATGGTTATCAATACTAGCCTTACTTCCCAGCGGTTGACTGGGAACCACTTGGTGAAGTGGAAGTGATCGACCGCGGGCTCTCTGCAGACCCTGCGAAGAAGAGTCTTCTCGCTGTAGGAAAAGTCAAGCACTTGACTCCTGCAATCGGGACTGAGATTATGGGGATAGACCTCAGGCAATTATCTAGCACACAGAAGGACGAACTGTGAGTTGATCGTCTTATCTTACATGATCACTCAAGTCTGATCTGATCTTTTTCCAGTGCGCTTCTCGTTGCAGAGAGGGGAGTTGTGTGTGAGCTCTGAAGTATTATGGCATCATTCCATTATCTCATGGAGCACTGTAGTCTTCAGAGACCAGGAAATTGATATCCACGAACAGCTTGACCTTGCGAGGCACTTCGGACCACTGCATAAACATGCGACCACCCCTATACCAAAAGAGCCTGGTCTTGAGGAAGTCCATGGTGCGCTGCAAACTCTCACGTCGTTGTATTCATGTCTAACTCGTCTTGGATTCAGTCGTATATAATGACGCTGCGCGTCGTCCGGATGCTAGTGCATTCTCCAAATTGGAGCTATGGCATAGCGACGTGACCTATGAAATACAGCCTCCTAGCACTACCTCTTTGAAGGTCATTACTGGACCAGAGTACGGAGGTGACACTTTATGGAGCTCAGGGTAAGTTATACTCGTCAACGAAGCATCTAAGATGTCACTGACACTTTTCCAGCTATGCCTTATATTCTTCCCTAAGTCATGGTTTGCAGACCTATCTTGAAGGCTTGACAGCGCTGCATAGTGCTGTTGCCCAAGCTGATGGTGCCCGAGCTGCTGGTCTCCATGTTCGACGAGAACCTGTTGAGTCTATTCATCCCGTTGTACGCGTACACCCTGCCACAGGATGGAAGAGCGTGTACGTCAACCCCGGGTTCACGCGAAGGATTATCGGTGTACCCAAAGTCGAGTCCGACACTATCCTGAACTTCCTTTTCCGTCAAATCAGCGAGAACCCAGACTTTCAAGTCCGATTCCAGTGGGAGCCCAATTCTATCGCGTTCTGGGATAACCGAGTAAAGCTACTTGTCTATCCAAAGTCGCGACGTTGACTGAATCTGTTTTCTATTTAGATTGTTACACATTCTGCCACGTTTGACTTTTGGCCTCAAACACGCCATGCTCTTAGAGCGACTCCACACGGAGAAAAACCCGAATCCGTCGGGGACTATGAAAGACGCACGGGCAAAGCTGCGAAAGACCGCCAAATCGAGATCTGGAAAGAGCAAGGTGTGGAGCTGCCCAAGTCGAAGAACGGTGTATCTGGGCCGCGAGGTTATAATGACTAACATAGATACCGAGAACTCTAGTATGGAACTGAAAGCTTGTAAATTACTCTTCTTTGATGTATAGTATTGAAATGCAAGGCCACTTTTGTCAGAGATATGATTGCACAAAGTCTCTGAAGTTTGTCAACAAATACTATTGTGTGCCGTGTCAATCAAATACATGGCATAATCACAATGATGGTCATACCTCGAGGGCTGATCTCAAGTGATCAAGTGATTTTACTACTCTAATCTGACACCCAAAGGACCCAGATATTCGGGAAAAAATATCAGATTGGCACAACATTGTAATGCCCGATTTCGGAAAGATATTGAGACCAGCGGCAGTCTATTAACAACATCGAACCTGACGGTGTTTTCGTGCATGGCCCATCTTGAAATCATATCCATTGACACAGTTGAAGCATTATCTCCACAAACGAGATTCTGTACGAAAGTACGAAAGAACCCAAGAACAACCTAAAATTGAGCAATAAAAAATACAGATCATCGTGATAGTGTTCTCCTGATCATAACCGTGCCACATGCCAATGCAAGCAAAACAGCGAGGTTCGACTCATCCCACTAGGACTGACAATTCAATGGTAACAGTATTTGCGGTCTGTGGCGTAGCAGTTGTGGGGAACGACTGCACTGCTGAAGGGTTGGCTTCCAAGAATGCCTTGCTTGTAAAAAAGATCAAGGCGACGCTGGGGGTGAGTATGGTCACCGAACAAGTATTCACCGATTGGTCGCAGCTAATTGTGTTGACATGGGGAGTACTTTGCAGGCGCCCGTCAGATTCGAAGCTTGCTCCGAAAGTCTGGTATTGGTCAGTGAACATCCAGTATATAAAACCGTACGGTCGGAATTTACCTGATTGGCCCACGTAATGTTAAACTTCTCTGAAACAGAAGGTGCCAACAAATATCTACAGATCACAGTTGAACCACTGTCCTGTGCTTTTGCATATAAAATTACGACTTACTTTACTTGGATAGAGGCTGGCATCGCATTGAATTCTGATACTGCCTCCTCCGATAGAGAAGTTAGCCGTGTGATCACTTGCGCCCGTTGGATCAGTGACGTAATTCATTAACACCATTCGTACTGGCGCCCCGCCTTCATAGGTAGCATATGCAGGGGTAAAAACAGTATCGTAATTTGCTTGAAGGTCTACCATCTGCGCTGTTCCTGATGGTCCAAACGCTTCGGCCACAATTAGGGTCGAGTAGTATATGCGCCAATTGTCCATTAATGGAAGGAGGATTGGCTGGTTGGAGGAGCCGGAGAAAAGTATGAAAACAGTAGATCGTAAAATGATCGGGTACTGCACTTAAGAGTGAAGACTATTTGAGTCAGCAGATTAACATGTGGAAATTGAGGTCGATACACTTACATTATAACATACATTTTGGCCCCCAACTTGAAACACCGCACCAGAGAAATTACCATAAGCCGTTTCTAGTCCATAGTCAAGTGCCCATAAAGCTGACCAAAGCTGTCGCTAAGTCCAGGAAATCCGCCGCAGGACGCAGCGTTAGATTCAAACATTAAAAAAGGCATTCCCGCTTGTCTAGCAGTACTCGTGAAGTTAAGATAAGGCGCAACAATCACAATCTTTGCTCCGCTGTTGTGGTTCAAGAAATCCGGAAAAACATCTTGAGGTATGACAAATGAACCAATGCCCTACTGGGCATAACAATTATCAGTTGGGTAGCTGAAATTTGAAGTCAACAACGGCATGTTCAATACATCCTGCTCAAGGCTCACTGTTCGACCGCAAGAAATCCGAGAGACGATGAATACGGCGAAATGAATACCGTGTCCCACATTATTTCGGGAGACTATGTGCCCGAAACACTAGGAGCAACAAGGTTGTTATGACTAGGAATATTAGGGCTATTCGCAATGGCTTTAACTACTGAGCCAAGTTCGTTAAAGTAGGCACTTGGTGGGTAGGTGGAGGGGCGCTCAGAATGGCTGTGAATGATATGGCGCGGAGAATTGAATCCAAAGCATATAGGTCAGGCTACAAAGAAGTATCGCGTCAAAAGATATATATGAATATCTCGGTACTTACTTCATTGCCAACATGGACCCAAGAAGGTTCCCGCCGTGGGTGGTTTCCCCGAATTTACCAATATCAAGTCGAAGTTTAGTCGTGTCATTGAATGGAATGCCTGGATGGTCCTTTCATTGGAGTAGGGATATTACCAAGGAATTATTTGACGTTTCCCAGAGCCGAGATATTGGGCAGTGTGCACAGAGTTTTGGGAGTAAACAACAATGCAGGTGTTTGAGTCTTAATAGAAAATAGCTCAGCTTACTTGCTGAAGGACCTATCAGTCAAGGAGTCACAGGATCATTAATGTCACCCGCATCTTTTGATATCATGACGCCACCTAGAAGGCTGTCAACCAATGTGGCAGTCTCTTGCGTGTTACACGACCCAAACTTGGATTTCACCAGCTTTTTCTTTAATGTTTTCCATGAGATTAAGGGAAGTAAGAGAACTGGACCACGATAACATCTGAGCGCTCCATTATATACTGGACGCAATGATGTTAACCTTAACGCCCTTATAGATCAGTACTGCGCATCGAGGTATTTTTGTGAGTGCCGAAAGCAGACTTACGGACTTGGTAATGACACTAAACTCAATGGAATAACTAAAAAAAGAACCTTTTTGTGGAATGGATATACCGGTGACGGCAGATGTACTGCTTTGCAACTGTATCGACAACTGCTTGGCCGGAGGAGGGTTGGGTAACTGAGGCGCTTGTATGATGGTTGGATCATGCGCAACAGTACCAGTGTAGCTCACGGTCGCTGCTGTCGAGGTGAAGGTGGTTGTGGTGGTTGTGGTGGTTGTTTCCCTTCCAAAGGTACTTCACTATAGACTGTAACACTGGCGCTTACCATGCTCAACAGCAGCGGGCTCAAAAGAGAAGATAAAGTAACATGGAGAGAAAAAGAGCGACAGAAAGGGTCGTCAAGGAACAGCGAGGTGATAAATTGCAAAGCAGGAACGGCAGTATAGGGTCTGTGCTTTCATCACTACCGTAGTGACTCGGAATCCAATCAGATGCTGCAGAATGCCGAAGACAGAAGTGAAGGAAAAATAATTCATGCCTTATCCTCTAGATTTGCGAGTGGCCTGTTGGCAACGTCCGCACTCGAGCAAAAATAGGACCGTACAGGAACGAAGTGCAAGAAATGTCCAAGTCAGTGGAACGGATGGTGTGCAACATTATCTCGACAAGGTACAGGTTGTCAGGTCTTTGTCATCTCGATGGCGCGCATCGTGACATATGCCCGTCTTACACCATCTAGGGAGCTCAAAACCTCAGTAAATCAAGATACTGATAGGCAGTTGAGACATCATCGCATGCAACTCTGCAGCAATGAGTCTGAGGGATCCACATGAAACCGATGTTTCAGCACTTACCATATGCTGAGTATCAATCAGGCTCACCTAGTCAGTCGATATCTCGTAAGCCTCAGCGCTGATTTTTGCGTAGGTAGGTCTCTCTGAATTTCGGGGTGGATACACCAACGAGATAAGCCTGGCACTCGCATACGATTCTCCCCATGCGGTACATAGATGCACACATTGACGAACACGCGTGCGATGGGAGTGAAACCGATGACTATTATTGAAAAAATCGAACTAAGACGTGGGTAAGAAAAACAACTGGGCTACCTATTTTATGAAGCTTAAACAGAATGTACAATAGAATAAGAACAATTACCTTCGTACGAGCCTAGAGATACCGTAGCAACAAATTCAGAGAGAATACCACATTATACAGGATACTGCTGAAAACCGATAAGAACGACAGCAAGATACGAATGAATAACAAGGGATATTAGGTATAGCACAAACCACAGATGAGAAAGAGTGGAAACGAAAACCGCATGATCAACTAATAGAATCACAATAGGCGTATTCATTGATAAGATTACAATGAACGACTGGTCAATCAGTGCGGTGATGCACCACTGGACACCGAATGTGATGTACGCATGAACGATTGGTGCTGCAACTGGTCTGAGGCGTAGTTTCGATTGGCCCCAGCAGGAGTAGACACAGTCCATGGTGGTGGGGGCGGAACAGGCAATGTAGCATCGTGAGCAGGAGATATATTCTGCTGGTGGTGATGATGCGACGCATGGTGCTGATGGTGTTGATGAGAAGGCTGAGAATTCCCCGTGCTCGACCCATTCGTCTGACCTATTGGTATGACCTGGAAGGAACCCTGATGGTGACTCAAAGGCATTGCCTGCTTCGTTTCAGGTTCAGTTGTAGCTGTAGACGCGGCAGTCGTGGATGCATTGGTTTGATTCTGGGCCCGCGACTTATCCCCTGCGAGCTCAGAGGCACGCGCAGAGGCCCGAAGGGTCTCCATATCAATACGAGCGGCTTGACCATCTGCACCTATAGCCTTGTCCCGCTTGCGAACAAGCTTTGCGTAGTCTATATCAGTAATAGACTGCCATCAGTACTGCATGAACCCTGATGTAATAAAGAACGGCACTGACGTAACCCGCAAGCATTGCATAGCGTTCGAGCACCATCCGGGCCTCGGCGCCATTCTGGGGTTTCGCGAATATTGCACGAATGACACTTCCCTGGAGGAGTGGCCCGCTGGCCAGACCAATGCGGGGAAAAAAGAGTATCAGCCACGTCAATCCCAAGCACGATACTTGACGATAATAGGAAGTACGAAAGGATCAGAGGCAGATAGGTGCTCACACTTCTTTTTCTGTACTTGCTTTTCGGTTGTCCAGTTTGAGCCGCAGCACCAGCCGCACTTGTTGCTCGTTTTGTCCGGATGATTTCCATATCCTTCTCAGCAGCAGATTGACCTTTCTCGGCCGGCTGTATATGAATTAATAAACGAGTTTTGCGGGCTTATAAGGCTATACGCACTTCAATTTGCCCGGCTACTTCCGTTCCTGTGCCGGACCCTGCTATGTCCTCCCATGGCCGCTTTGGTGGACGCTGCTCATCTACAAAACCGTGATTTGAACTCTCCATTGATGAAGTCCGCTCGGCACCCGGTAATGACATCCTGCGGAACTCCTCCAATAATCGAACGACCTCTGATGCATGTTGGGTCATTTCCGCAATTTCTTCTTGACGGGGCTGTACATTAGGGGTAGTGCGTTGAATTTGAGCTAAATGTCGTACTGAATTAGTAATAGTAATTACTATATCTTGAAGTGCTAGCATACCATAGCGATTTGCAAATTCGTAAAGGATAGTACAACGCTTGACAATCTGCGTGATGCACACTCAGTCATCTAGAATAGACTTATGAATTAATTCTTACTTCGGACAAGGTGCTGTCACATAGCGGCGCATTCGGCGTATCATCAACGGGATACGCTTGTGGCCGAGCATCAACAGTTGTAGGAACAAGTGGAGTTGTCCTAGAAAAACCCATTTGCTGCTGCTGTTGAGAATGTTGCGGCTGCGGAGGGGGCTGAGATTGCACGTGCTGGGATGGCGGTGGCGGCGGCGGCGGCTGTTGTGGGTGGTGTTGCGCAGGTGGTACTATATGGGGATGAGACTGGTAGTGTTGAGATTGGTGTTGAGCAGGCTGCTGATGATGCTGGACGTGCTGATGAGGCGGGTGCTGCTGTTGCTGCTGCTGAGGCGGATGTTGGTGGTGAGGTGGTGGTGGCTGATGTGGAGGCGGCTGTTGGTGCGAAGGCGGCGGTAAATGCGAAGGTTGCTGTTGGTGTAAAGGCTGTTGGTGGTGCGGAGGTAGCGATTGGTGCGAAGCCTGCTGGTGATGCGAGGTTGGTTGATGGTGAGGAGGCTGTTGATGGTGTGGAGGTGCTTGGTGATGTTGAGCGGGCTGATGATGCTGTGGAGGTTGGTGGTGGGGAGGTGGATGATGTTGAGGTGCTTCATGGTGTGGTGGTTGATGCTGAGGAGGTGGCTGGTGATGTTGAGGCGGCTGATGTTGCGTCTGGTGTTGGTGTTGGTGCTGCTGATGCTGGTCCCACGTCTCCTGTGAGGGAGGGGGAGGCTGTGGATGATAAGAATTAGTATGCGGCGATAGTTGCTGGTGATGACTCTGATGATGCGATTGCTGCTGAGGTTGATGGGACGCTGTACTGCCGAGGGTTGTATGTACGTTGGAGGGTAACCCCCATAACCAGGAGTAGAATATGCTCCAGGACTTGTTTGGTGTTGCACTTGCTCTTCGGGAGGTGGCGGAGGAGGTTGTACTTGATGGTATTGCGGTGCTTGCTGCGCTGGGGGATACGAAGGATGATGCGAGATTGGATAAGAAGGCTGCTAGAAGTCATTTGAAAGATCGAAGTTAGTGCACGTCAAAAGGATCAAACAGGCAAGCAAACTTGGGGCAGCGCATCGTGACGTTTAAGCGCGATAAGGGCGCACGTCCGACACACGCATCAGACAGGTGCCGATAAGAGGCTACGACTTACGTGAGAAGGTCGTGCATCTCGGGACACGTTGACTGCTGACCCTGCCCGAGTCCGTTTTGACGAAGTATTTTGTGGATGTGCAGAATCATCGCCACGAGAGCCAGGCCCGATAGTGACGGAGTTTGGTACGGGAGTGACTTGGGCGGAAAGAGGGATACCAGGAGTAAGGTAGCCTCCATTATCGTGTTTTGGGACGGAGTATTCTACGGTTTTGAGGTGGTGATGATCATGACCAGCAGACAGGGGTGGGGACTGTTGATGCTGCGGAGGAACGGCAGGATGGGTTTGGGGCGGTCGTGCCCAAGGAGAGTCATGGCGTGTCTGATAGGATTGGCTAGCAGATGCAACGTGTTCGATTTGAGGGGAGCCATTCTGAACAGGGACGACAGGATCTTGGGAGGGTGGTGGACGATACTGAAAGTTAAGGTCCTTCAAGGATGGGAGACGAAAGTCGTTGTTCATGTTGGGCGGTGGTGGAAGAGAATACCTAGCATGGTGTGCTGGATGATGGGCAGAGGCCATCGGTGCAATAGTGGATGAAGATTGGATAAAGATCAAGAAAGCTCTGCCAGGACGAGGACGAGGTAAGAGAATGTATCAGAGATTGACAGCGAGTGTATCTGGGAGTAAAAGGCAGAGTGTATCTCAGCGTGTATCTCCCGATGACGACGGATCTTGCAAAAAATCTGGGCGTCAGATTCAGAGACAAAAAAAGGAAAAAGAACGCACCTGGGGCCTCGTAATATGATGGCACACGGCCAGGTGTGGTTACTGAGAAGCCAGTGTGTTTGCAACGGGCGTAGTGCAAGAAAAGAGGCTAGGGAGAGGAGCAACGATGAGCTCGCGGTGGTGGAGGCAAGAGACAACGATGAGCTCGCAGTAGCGGAGGCAAGAGCTCTGGAGGCTTTTTGTCTTGTGTGGATATGACAGCCTTGAGGCGATGTGGACGTTGAGGGCAGCCAGATGACTAGATCCCATCTCATCACACCTGGCGGAGTCCCAATAAAAACGTGTAAAACGGGTATTTTTTATCTATTTAGCCCTATTTATCACTATTATCGCCCCCTGCACCCGCCCGTTTCTGCACTGATTGTGCCATCGGCTCGGGAGAAAAACCCGAAATCTTGGGTGTGTTTCTTAATTTTTGGTCGAAATCTCGATAGCAAAGAGATCCAATGAAGGAATCGGTGATCCCCCGATGCAGCGTGGTGAGATAGCGATTCCACCTTGCTTACGTACGCCCAATCGCCGCCTCGGACGCGAACACAATGGAGTTCCCTTTCGCCCAATCCAGCACCAAGGCATGGCTGCTGCATGTCCGCTGAGAACAGCGCCCGGCTGCGTGTGTGTAAGTAAATCAAAACTCGTCAAAGGCATGTTGGGGGGCCGCTCTCAAGACCGCACAACCATCCTCCACCCCGCACAAGACCTCCTTGATCCACCTCGTCTTCACCTGACAAGGCAGTGGCGATAACTAACTGTCTCACCTGGGGGCCACCATCAATACGTAGCATTGGTGCCTGATCTCTTTTGGTATTACCCGCTAAGATCGATCCAATTTGGCTTTGATCTCGAGCAAATCTGGTATGGATCAAGAGATCATGCTTTCGCACAGGAAACCCCGATACGTAGGAGAAGTCCTTCCAACAGATCCATTCAACCATGATCCAAGAATTACTGAATTCTTCGCCTTCAAGCTCGACAGCCCATTTCACAATACTCAGCCGTCCTCTCTTGCCCTCGCCCTCCTCGCTCATGTTTAGTATGCACAGCAATAGCCCACAACATATATTATATCACCCTTCATAAGCGCCTTCTAGTCGTATCCTTGGCTCCGGTTTGCTTCCTTTCGGCCGCTGTATCAGACCACGATCAGTCAGCGTTCAACTTTAACTCTCCACGGTTCGTCACGGTGTTCCACTAACGCACCAAGCGCTCGAGGTCATGCGCGACCACTCGCCGCATCAATGTGAGTGGTCTACTTATCTCTGCCTGTCACATCGGCCTGGGCACTCAAAGTGGGGCTAAAAATTTGCCCCTTGTTTACTCTCGTAGTCACACAGGCAGTCTCACATGTGTCTCAAAATTTCCCAGATCGCTGCAAGGTAAAAGGGCACCCGTGGGTGTATTCACGTCAATTTGCTGTGTTTACTTAGGCAACGACATGCCTCCAACCTGACGACGGCACTCAATTGTTTTGGCCACAGTTTGCAGCATCCACGATGGAGCGGTGAGAGCGGAATTTGTGCACTTACCGACTCCACGGTATTTTGGATTTATACACTCAGATATGGCTCACAGAGACATCCCACTCCAGCGTGGGTGGAGGCGGAGGAAGTCTTAGCATAACTGATGACGTGTGCCGATTTTTACGGGCAACATACAGGCTTTTAATGATTTACCGGTCACGACACAAGTTTTATGCGCAGTTTTGACTTCCATACGAAGATCCTTGCCGAACATTATGGCCATTCGATGGTGCGGCGATTATTTTTCTCCTCTGCTGAAATCATTGTAGGTACATCTTTGTCACTTATTGGTAGCTCATACGGCTAATTGTAGCCGGCCGTTCATGTTTTTATATGATGTTTCCGTAAACTAACCACTGTAGCACCGGCGTGATACTAGATTTTATTTTGGGACTTGAAGACTTTCCCCCAGAACTCTCGCGATGGGATTTTTATGACTTCGGTGAGTCCATCCAGATTTATCCACCAAATTATACTCTTGTAATTCTTTTAGATCTTGATAAGTGGACTCTGGCAGTGGACCTCAGACTGTCTATCAGTGTAACTTGACTTGCCTCATTTGCAACGACAGTGACGTCTCGGAGGCACAATGCAACCCCATAGCTCCGCACCTGACTTCGCCAGTTGCTCAGAACAAACCGTGGAACACACCGCTGTTGGTTCAGAGACAAAGGCAGTTGCGCTAAGGGCTTCCGGTAGCGTGATGTCAGTTTCTGCTATGCCCAGAGGGCTTGGCATCCTCAGGGTTTATTCAAGGCACTAAGACCAACAGTAGCAAAACTGACGGCAGCCTAATTTTACTAGAGCATTAGTTGTGCTCGACTTTCTTTTATGATTGTGCAACCACATTTTTGGAGCGTTTCTGTACTATTTCTAGACATGTGCGCAGCTGTCCCACCTAGTCCCGACGGTTCATATATATCCACGAGCGAGGATTTGAGATATTGTTTGTTGTTTCAGAGCTTGTCAGTTCTTTGTTACCTTGCATACCAACGCTGAACCAATGACGACCTTTCATCCACGGATCCTCTTCTTGCTCTCTAGTTCCATGGTGCAGCCTTCGCCGTGATCATCTCTCCCCAAGAGAAAGGTTAAAATGCATTGACTCAAGGCGTCCATGAATGTATTACAACTTCGAATGGACCCTATATCAGCACTACTTCCTTCTGTTTGGAGTATCATGGCGAGGCGCCCCATCGGTCCTAACGAAAAATGAACCACGGGCGTATGTTACATCAGGATGAAAGCCTCGCGTTGTTTCCATGAAACGCGATCGAGCACGGAACCTGCACGATATTTTGCTTCGAGAAAAGGCAGCGAGGATCGAGGCTAGTCAGTTGACGCTGGACAAGGTCCGGTGACCCCAGTGTAACTCTCCAGACCGCGAGATGGATCAGCGACGAACTTTTTAGGAGTCACGGATCCCCAATAGGATGGAACAGAAAAAGCCTCATGCATAATTGATTGACCAAGGCTCTGGCTCGGCGCGTGGCAAATGTCCAGTTTAATGTCCCGCTTCTGATGCACTTCACACAGCGGATAATTACTCAATCGAATCAGAAATCGAAGCCTACTTGTGCTTCTCATGGACAATATGATAAATTGTGCGGTTCTATCACATCCACCTTATCCCATCAATGACCTCCATGGACCAATTCTCAGACATAGGAAATGAAGCAGCTAGTCCACTTCCAAAAAGAAGACAAACTATTTTCTCTCCTAGCCTTCCAGAACTTCACCGGGGTGAAGCGTTCCATGATCTCATACTCGAGTATCACAATCATATACTCATCCTCCGCGAACTGACCAGACTGATAATGTTGATGATATCTTCCAGGCTTATCTTACTTATGTTGTTGGATCATGTGCTAATTATCACCACTTGTACTACATTCATTGAACACACGAGCTACAAATCTCAGTGTGATCGTCAGCAACACGATAACGGTTAAGAGATACAACTTACTCATGTTTCACTTCAAGAAGAAAGCCTGTGCTTATTTATTTGCCGGACCTGTGGACATTTCCATTTGGCGCAGTGTACTGAGAGTAACCACTCCCGCTGTTATAGTATGTTGAACCATTGGGGTTGCTGTAGTAGTATCCTCCATCCCTATCATGCCGTATTAGATACCAGCGGATTAAGTCGATGTGAGTACCTACGTGTTGGAATAGTGATATCCAGAACCACCACTGCCATAGTCACGGCTGCAGTAATGGTTTCCCTATAACAATGCCCCTGGCGGTTCCACCAACTCTGGTTTCCGATGAAAAAAGACAACTAACCTGACTGTTGGTACCCGAACTGGTATATGTATAATCTCTGCCAGTGTCATTAGAAGACGAACTGGTTTGAGAGCTGTTATTAGGCATCGTGGCGAAGATGAATGGGGTCAGGCTGAGAGGGAGGCAAAGTGGGGAGACAATGCGACCTCGGATATGAAGGATGCACGTCGTTACACACCTTATATACTCCTATCGTTGTTTGCTTCCCGTTGCATGAAATGATACATATTTTGGCATCGAAGTTGCAACACAGCGTGACCGTGATCCCTCCCTGCATATATATACCTAACAGATCAATTTTGAAATATATTTTTGTTAGACTGCGAAGAAAATTAAATCAAGACCTGGTAGTACATACCGCAGGCACTATTTTAACATGGCGACGAACAAGTTCTTTCATCCAACAGGAGTAAGCGCACCTGTTTTGTTCATGGTTTATTATGATGATTATAAGACGCTGCCATTGGAGCTTCCGTGGTGGTTACAAAAGACAACACATTTTGCCGCTGGGATTACGTTAACAGTATTGATACGTAATACAAAACGCTCTCGGCGATTACCTCCAATGGTTCAAGCTTTGAAGTTGAGCGCTTCTTTTGGTATACGATCGCCACCTCACTAAATTTGTACATCAGGTATCAATCTGCGAATCAAACTAAAACCTGGGAATGTTGGATTAAATCTCGTCAGTGGCCCGGGACAAACACAGTAAAAGTACGTGCCTTTAGAGTTCAAGAACCATAGCTTTCCGGGGTTAAACCAACGACTTCATTATCTTATTTATATGGGGCTGGCATATACTTGTTGAATCCTATCCCATTGTCCAATAGTACCGTGCTCTGGGTAATAAAAGGAGCTGCTGTCCATATCAAATATATGTTATGAGCTTTTTGAGCAAGTAAAAAGCAGAACAACGTACTAATTTGAATAGTGGTAACCCGACGGTCCATCTCCATAGTAAAGCACTGTGGCAGATAAAATGTTTCTCTGTGATAATCAGTACAAGCATGCCATTAAGTTTCCTTACATCATTCCAAGTGCAACAGGCTCCACATTGCTCTAATTTTCCCGCTGGAAGTAATCTTATATCCAATCACATCCGGCCAATATGGATTCGAAGTAACTTTGAAGCCTTTGGACTCTGTGACTAGTAGAGATCGGAGCAGATGAAGCTAACATGACAAGCAGAAATGCACTGACAGAGACGAACCTGGCCGCATCGTGACGATGCCTTCTTATATGCTACTATATTAGACAATGATTGTTAGCTTTCTGACCAGATGATAGATAATTCAATTCACCGTCTTTGGGTAGCTTACATGGGCCTTGTCGATGATGATATTGATTTGACCATGAATAGAAATAAATATTAGGCCTCGGCATCCAGTATCAACGAACCACATCTAAACTCCAGACTATCCTTGGTGTTTTACCTTTACGTAAACCACTGGTGTGTAATCCTCGCAAGTATAGCGTAGTTGGGTCTCCCTTCAACTTTCAGTGGCAGATTAAGCTGATGAGAGTCAGAAAGTCGATGCGCTGATTGATGCTAAGGTTGATGCCGACGTGCCGCGATGAGATTAAGTCCGAAATAGTGAGAGACCAACTTGTACACAAATAAAAGCCTGTTTTTGAACCTCTTTCCAAGAAGTGTATCATAAATGGCCTGTCCTCCTATGAAGCTCCATGAGGGACACGCCTCTGATTTCGTTACAAGCCCCTACCGATGTGAGTGAATACCGTGCTAGGATTATTATATAACAAGCAGCTGACCATCTGTGAATCCAGTATATAGATGTGTGATTTACCTTTTCTAGCTTCAAGTTCGTCTCTGTCACCATGGTTCAAAATGCGTCTATGAACTGTGTAGTGGTAGGCCACGAGCTCACATATGCATTGTTAGCTCGTCGCTATTTCTTAACTCTATCACTTGTAGTTCAAGATATATTATCTTCCTATGAGTTTAGATATCCACCAGTTTTATGAACAGTGTGGGATTACCCACAAAACTCCTCCAAAGCTCCCTAAAGATGGCGCTCATCCGTAAAATTATTTCCTGGGGGTGTAGGGGATGGACTACAAACTGTATTTATCAAAAATGCTAGTTGATTCTATCCATTCTGGTATAATGCAACCCATTCGTCTCTTTTCTTGACGTGCAGACACTCAGGGTTTTTGTCCCAAAAGTTGGACCAAGAGGACGGATTCATTCTTTATCCAGTGCGCGTATCATTATATTTTCTGGTTCATGGTGACTAAATATAACTATTGTATGCGAAAATACCTGATTAATATGTCCACTCAAATATATACTTCTAGTCGTTGACACTTTACTTTCCGTATCAGTTGATGGATTCGCAACAATTTATCACACAGTATGTAACATTACTATAGTATCAACTCAGTATTTGATGCCAGATAATGCCCAGATGACTTTCCAGTTCATATACTCGCACGAGCCGCCCAGTCCTGAAGACCAATGGATGGAGATTACAGTGGGTCGTAAGGTGGGTTATTGCTTAAAACATTCGAAAGAAATAAAACCCTTTATAGCGTGCAGAATTGAACATTCTGAATCTAAAAGACCTTAACAGAAATGATGTGAGTTTGCGCATTTCCGTCTCGTCAGTAAGCACACAATATTTATATTGACCTCCTTCGCAAACAAGGATCATTGACATTCCTGATGGCCAACCACAAATTTGGTGATGATTCTGTGTTTTTGCATGTATCAAGGTCAGCGCTTTTCAAGGCAGGCACCCATGGTAAGCTTCTTTCCTCTGTCAAATATACCCTTCCCCACCTAACGTATTGCTATTTGGGTTAGAAATCTTCACTGCCATCACTTCACTGATGGGTCAATTTATGGACCTGAGGTATCTCACACGTCCTTATGAATTTAAAATCAAGATGACACTAAAGATTCAGATTTTGCTAGAACTCGGATGCTATCGACGTAGTTCATATAGCACAAGTCAGTGGCCATTTATGCAAGGTGGACTAAAAAGAAGAAAATATGAGCTAATTCAATCAGGTTGGTTACAAATATCTTCCAGATCACAAGTGAGTAAACACAAAGGCTCTATTATTTTATCTCACGATTACCACCAATAGATATATGCTATCGCATCTCTTCGAGACAGAAGGTGATCAGATTGGATATCTATACGATTCCGGCGACAAACTAATTGAGGTGACTTAGCTCACCAATTCATGTTCCACCTTCTTAAAATCAACTTAGTTTAGGTTGAATATATATTCCCCCTGGATGGATCTGATGGCCACATTGAGATCCTTGACGGAAGAGGAATATGCCCAGGCTTTAAGCCTCTACTCCATACATCATAACCCTGCGTTAGAGTTAACTGAATCTGACCTGCAGAGAATGTGCGCGGTTCATTTCAGTACGATGAGTTTCTGAGAGAAATGGACTCGGGTACACACATCCAAAAGTTAGCCCCTTTCAGCCTATCTTGCGTCTTTGAATCTCGTGCAGTACAGAGCTAAGAAGAAGCCTGAGATCCTCAACCTTCCAAATTATAATGCGTTCGGAAAGCTACCTGCCCTTCTCGACGCCGACGCATTCGCCTTAGCGCAGGCATCCCAAAGGCTCAATGCTGCACTGAGCCCAACCAACTCCATTCTCATCGGCTCAAATAGTTGACTATGCCTATCCAGCCTGAAGCTTTGCGAGAAAATGATGATGGGGCACAACTCAAGAAAGTCCAAAGTATCATCCAAGACTGGGATACGAAAACACCACCCGTACTGGGAAGAGACACGGTCGTCCGTAAAAGATAAACGCAACGCGTCTGTTTGTGCTGCATTCGCCACTATAATTAACTCATCTTGAACTGGAAGGGTACTATTTCCCCAAGCTTCAAAAGGTGAGCACGTCTATACTCCAGTGTCTTTGCTTTGATAGAGCATCTCCCTCATAGGCTTACTGAAAATTACACAAATCGCAGTGCTCGCAAAAGTATTGAAAGAGTAATACTATGCGTCCACGTGACAAGAGGGACTCCATCTCTTTTAATAGAATCCAATGCTACGTGAACCGCGCATCTACCAAGCTGTCTGCTACTAACAGTGTATGACTGATAATCTATCGCCGACGACAATAAATGATATACTGTCGTTAACCGTCAGCTCGGATGGGGGGGCTATTCGGACGTCACAGAGGTCACACAAGCCGAGTTAGAGCTCCGCTCGGCACTATCAGTGTTTGAACATGATTTTGAGTGTGGCGCACCTGAACTTTTTGAAACTGAGATTGCAGTACCTTAGTAGAGCGTTACTTTCTCGAAAGTCACGCACATGGAAGGAACTCGCTCAATAATTCAGGATTTTGTGCTAGGAAAGTTGGAGTAAGTAGTAAGAATATATAGAACTGCTATGGGTTGAGTTGTTGAGGAAAAATGACAGTGGAACATATGTTTTCAGAAATGTCCGAATAGCCCCCCCATCCGAACTGACGGTTAACGACAGTACCCTCAGCCCTGGTATTTACTATATTTTCCAATGCAGTGATATTTAATAATCTTTGCGGATAGCAGAAGCTTATCAAGGGTCTTGAACAAGTACGATTTTAAGTTCGTTTCCTCGGATGATATTTTCGACTATGCTAGCGAACTTTTACATAGCACACGAAAACATTATGTCTTCACTGCCTTGGATAGAGCGCACCACAGCCCGAACTGATAGTGACAAGTAGAAGAATGATGCTGGCGGCAAGAGACATCCATGGCTTTTAGCACGCACGAGAAACAAGAAGTACAAATCAGAAATCAACGCAAGTAAACGGACGTGTATCAATGTCCGGCATGGTAGTGACAATGACTCACCAGTGGTCCGAACGAGACGTCGATGTGAGCATTTCTGAAGCGTGTCACAGCTGTCCCCCAAAGGCCGATCATGAAGATAAAGGCGATGGCAGACGTGAAAAAAGAAAGTAGCGAAAGTACAGAGAACACACTAAAGCGATATTGTCGAGCTGGAATACCACAGAGGAGAGGAATAAGAGATAGTGTGGCAAAAAGAGATAGTATGGTCGCTGCATAAGGGATCCTCGCAAGTTAGTCTATTCTCAAAGAACGTTCGATTAACGCTCACATATAGGATAAAACACAAGTGCTATCGTCAATGGTTCCACTATCTGGGGATCAAAACTGTATCCAATCCTACGAAATGCAATGACGATAATGTGTTCTTGTCAGTCAGCAGGATTTTTGAGTTTTATAGAAGATTACAGCACTTTAATGGACTTGTACAAGATCCTCCAGAGTCATAGCACCAGCCCCAAATGCCAAATCGAACACCTATTGGGACTCCAGCATCGATAAAGTAGAAGGATGAGATAAGGGGAACAGAAAATGTAGTAAATAACCTGGACATAGAAGGCATTCCAAGTGTCAGTACTGTCAGTACCCATCCCCGCCTGGCTAAATGAACACAAAATGCGCACAGAAGTACGAATGCTGCGAGTGTTAGAAGGAAGACTGGGAAAAGAGAATTAGGAATCCGTATAGGTCTTGCATTAATGCTGCTGTCCATGATAATGTGCTCTAGAATGCCACCTCAGTTTTCCAACGGACAGAGTGAAACACGCAGTTTGAAAGGTCTGACAGTGTCCATGCGTAGAGAACGGACAAGGGAAAGACGCACACGGTGATTTTCGTATTTTCTATGGTCTGTTCTCATCAGCCAAAGTAAATTTAGAGCCACCAGCGTTATCATCGCCCTAGCCCTTTAAAGACAAAATCCTCGAGGCTGCAGGACCTCTTCAGCGTACCTCTGCAGGCCGTAATTTCATGGCGAGCTCAATGATAATGTTGAGGCTGCATGTCAGTAAAGAACATAGATAGAAACATTACGCGCCAAAAAAAACGAATTGGGAGCCTCAGATCAAGGCACGCGTTTCATTCAAAGCATGGCATGAGAACGAACAGGCGTGGACTTGTTGTGTCTTGGGCACGAGGCAAAGGCGAACCATTCTCGTATTTTCCTTTCACACTTCCTTTCCAATTAAAGCTACAGGTAGCCTACATCATAAACCAGCACCTATCAATGTGGATAGCATTAAAAAAACATGCATTGTAGAGAGTAATACAGTACAGGAAGCTAGTACAAAAAGCTGGCCAATTTCAACGAAAAGAAAAGGAAGCAGAAGTTGTTTACAAGGAAGAAGAAAAATGACTGAGAAGAAGGGTAGGGGTAAGGAGAGGGGGAAAAGAGACGCTGGGGACAGGATGGAGAAAGAAAGAAAAATAGCTTATAGTACCACAACAATCCGGTCCCAACTCAATTTGGCGTATGAGGAAATCGAAAAAGCAAGAGCCAAAAAAAAAAAAAGATAAAAGGTAATATACAAAGAAGGAAAGGTTGGCCAAACACTATTACGTGAAAAGAGGAGAGGAATTGAGTTAACCAAGCTGACACTAAGATGAGTGAAAAAATGAATCGCATTCCGTCCTTGTAACTCGCGTCGAAGAAAAAAAAAAGGATAAGACCCGCCAAGAAGTAGATAGCGGTGGTAAATTCCTCGATATTTCGTGAATCATAGCTCGTCGTTACATGTCTGCGCGGTGTTGAAACAGGGTGGGGCTTGATAGTTACACTGTGTTCGCCAAGTGAATGTGTCTGATACAAAGTTTCTTTCTTGTTGCTACAACAGGACAATTCTTTCCGCGTGAATGCGGAGGTCGATGAGTGATGTATTTGTGTTTAATAGTTATGCCTTGAAGAGTGTAGTATAAAACGAAGATCTGGTCGTTGAAGACAGTGAACGCGTTTGAGAAGAAGGCGAAAAAAAATTAACTTCTGATGAGGTCGATGCCAGCGCCTAAAACGCTGCCTTTGACGCCCTGTTCACTCCCGATGTTGTCCATATAACCACCGGACCGTCCAGCGCTAGATGCCGACGATCCGTTATCACCAAAGCGGTTCGCTTGGTAGCGCTGCTGTTCTTCTTCAAAGAGTTTTCTTCCGACATCGGCACGTAGACTCGACGTCAAACCTGGTCTTAGAGACAACGTCGGACCGACAGCACTTCGAGGAGGTGCGGCAGCCGGAGAAGGTGACACATTAATGAACTCATTGAGGTTGAACGGGACGTTACCAGGAGTTGGAGGCGCTTGGGGCGTTGTAGACTTGCTATCTGTGGTCATATATGACCACCCGTTGGGTGTAGCTGTTGCATTAGATTCTGTATGCGAGGCCGAAAGTGATGTAGGTGAAGGCAACAGCTGAGCAGGTGTGATGGAGGTTGGAGTAGGAGGGATCACATTCGGCTCCATCGAGGCCAAAGTACCATCACTGTCTGAATAATTTTTAGAGATACTACCCAAGCTGGATGTGGTTTGAAGGCGCAATGGCTGACTCAAGCCGCCTTCGGCGCCGTGACTCCCGCCTGTAAATATGGTCTCTCGCAATTCACTTCCAGCTGTGGAAGCAAAACTGCCCTCACTTCTCAGGGGGCTCCTACTGCCCTCTGTACCGCCAAATAGCACTCTTCCTTTAGCACGTAAGCTGGCGCCACCGCCGAGCGCCCTAAATGCTGCAAAGTCTCTGGAATCCTTGTCCCGCGCCGCGGCAGGACGTGCAGGCGATGGCGATGTATGAAGGTAAAGCATTAAATTCGCCGCCTCTTCATCATCAGTGGGTCCAGACATTCTGGGAGTAGTATGCACATTCTCCAAGTATCCACTACCTTGATTATTCAGAGATCTACTCTCCAAACGAGCGGCGGCAGATAGGGGCGGGGGCGTTGTAGAACGATTTACAGTTGCGAATGACGCTTCAGCCGATGGAAGTAAGGAAGTCGCGGCAGTACTCGTAGTCCGCGCTGAGCTCTGAGCAAACTGAGAGAATGAGTGGGCGGACCCCACATCAGATCCGGCCGAAACACTCGACCTTGGAGAGGCGCCCACAATAGAAGGGCGAGAATGCAGCCGAAGTGAGGTTAGTGTTGCAACAGCCTTCCTTTCGACATCTGTATCTTCTGCAACCAACGTGGCGGCAGGTGAGGCCGACCTCACGTTCCCCTTCTGTTTTCCCTTATCTTTTCGGCTAGATTTAGGTCTAGTGGCTTCTTGCTTGCGGTTGCGAGACTGCGCACGAGTACCTTCCGCGATACTACGTGCAAGATTGGTGGATGCAGAGGCAGAGAGCGACAGGTCAGAGCCTTTCGACCCCCGACGGGTTGCGGCGCTTGAGCGCGAAGCAGCCTGTACAGGCGGATCACTGGAATTGTGCACAGTCCGCGCCTGTTTAAGAGGCGGTGGTCCTAACAGGGACGCGAAGAGGCTTTGCGTTGCATTCGCGTCTCTGCTCACAGAGATACTGGGATAATGTGGTCGTGAGGCTGAAGCAGAGACGGATGGCGGAGCCATAGAGCCTTTGCTACGTGGAGCTGGGCCAGCCGATGCACTTGCCCTTCCATTCCCAGACATACCTTGAGTGGCTGGATTATTATAATAGTTGTTGCCTCCACTGGCTTTACGCTTGGTGCCTATTACACGCACGGGTGGAGCAGTTAGGGTGTGTATTTTCGCCTCGAGATCGGGCAGTGAGATGTGCGAAATATTGTGTGTAGCTTTGTAGGAAGCATATGAGAGACGGGCGCGAAGGCCTCTGGTGACCTATCGGAAGGTGAAACAGGAGTCGTCAGCGTGCACTTGGATGGGAGGGCCCGCGCCCCGGGCACGATGTGCGCAGCGAGTGGTGATGTAGCCACAGAACGCAAAAGAAAGCACAAAGTCAACGTGCCCGCACAAGAAAACGGGGGCTGATGGGGACCTGCGCCCGTCTGGACGCGTCTGGGAGGTGGGAGAGAGGAGACTGAACGTACCATGGATATTTCTGCTCTAGCTAAAAATTTCTGTACGGCTTTCTTCCTCTCCTCTCTCTCCGGAAGGTCGAGGTCCACTGTGGATGTTGGCGAGAGGGCGGTGTTGTGGGGCTGGAGATATGCCATGGGGGGCGAAGCTGAAGTTACCGAGGACGAGGGTGTCGCCATCTGGGGCGCGTCACGTATAGGGTCAAGCAATATGGTACAGAGACTGTGTGTGCTGGACGCTGTGTGGGGCGACGTGGACGGGTGGTCGACGCTGTGTGGGACGACGAGGGAGGGGAAGCGCGTTGAGAACGACGTGTGTGAGCTGGTGGAGGCGCGACGACGCGCTCAGGTGCATCTTATTCATCCGAGGTCGCGCGTGGGAACTTGGACCGGTACCCTACACCGTGCTGTGTGCCTGTTCTCAAAACGTAATATTACCCCGAAAAATACAGCAACTTTCTCGTAAAATTAAATCGCTCCTGGAAAACCGAAGACGCCAATAAAACACGCCTTGGGAAGGACTGGTCCCATGCATAACGCGCCCAAATGCTCCCCACCTCGACTAGCCAGCGCCACTGAGATTCATTCTGTCTGCAGAAAATGTAATAAAGTCTGATACCAATTTCAGCCTGTATCAAATGATGACCAGATAACCGGACTTCGCGGCGGAAGCAAGCACGTACTCGCCATTGAAGGAACAATGGCACGCCCTAGCCCGAGTAAGACCATTCCCCATCCTGACCAGAACAGACGCTATTATCATCTGACCTCCCATCCGAACAGTCATATTCATATTTGCCACCCAGCTGGAACCACAGTCGTTCGAGCCCTGATGGTACCCCGGCCATCCTCATCGTCAATAGCATCTTCAGAACCTATCTCCTTATCCCAGTACCATCTCGGCAAAAATCCAACCCTTGCCTCGCCTCCCTCTACGTCCGCCACCCCCGCTTCGTCCAGCAACGCAACGCTGACTCCTTCCCTAGGAGTGAATTTGACGCGCCAAACATCCCTTGCCGCGCTTGACGCCATAGTGTCCTTGAGAAACGAAAGGAACCGTCGCCCCCAGTCTAGGCAGGCAACAGGATCCCATGCACCAGGTTTACCTCGGACTAGACGAGGAAGTTCTAGTGTCTTGAACGTCTGAGTCGTAGTTATGTATCCCGAAGGCGTTCGAAAGCCGACTATAATTTCCTGGGAGTGGAACTGTGAGCCGTGTTATGTGCTGTGGCTCGTGCACTTACTGGTACACCTAGAAGAAATGATTGAAAGTAGAACTTCAACAGTTTTCTTCGGTTTCTTGTATTAGATATAGCTTGAAAATGCACGAGAGTTATCTTACTTCTCAAACTTAGCTTCGTCATGAGGCCCTCGTATCGATAGCGAGGTTTTTAGTTCTACGAAAGTATCGGGTCTTCCTGTATATTTTTCTATTCACATATGCTTAAAAGCTTTTATGCATCAGACCCATTAAACATGACTTACCGCGTACACAATCAACCTCACCTCCTATGATAATGCGCGTGTCGCCGAGCTTGGTTTTGACTACGCTACACCATTGCACATTAGTATTAACGTCTCCACTCCATCCTTGCGTGTCTGCAGAACAATCCTCTTGTTTGTGTGGTGTGGAAGACGTGCAGTAAGACTCGAATGCGTATCCATAGTAAGTTTGGCGTCGATGTCGAGGTTCCATCGCGTTTCTACATGTATCCTCAAAGATGAGCAACAATACACATGCTCTGGAAGATGAAACTGACTTCTCCTTCAATTTGGCGTCTGAAAGATGTTCTTCAAAGTACATCGTTCCGTTCATACACATAACATTCAACTCCCAGCCATCCCTCTCCTCATAAGCCGCCGTCAGTATCCTCTCTCAGTGCAGTGTCAGGTTTTGCCAGTACAAAATGCGCAGAACAACTCACTTGGTCATTACACCTCTCCAGGCGATCACCCCGATATCCGATGGTTGCCCTTTGGTGCCATCACCGCTATTGGCTATTTTTGCCTTTGCCTTTGACCATGCACGCAGGAGTCCATCCACCCGCCCGCGTTCATCAGGACGACGCACCCAGTTCTCGTATCTGTTCCCCAAGTTCGCACCACGCGGAGGTTCCACGAAGTAACGCATTGCAGAATCAGTAAACTCCAACTGTCGCTCGGGTGTATATGAGAATGTTAACAACTGAGTTGGTTGCTGAAAAGTTGGCGGATGAATAGGTTTCTGCGAAGGAGCAGAATATGCGAGAAAACGATGAGGAGAGTTCGAGGGTGTATTCTGTTCGGATACAATTGGAGACTGTGCACGTATCCTCGAAAATGACCTGGGATCTTGTTCGCCTTCCACTAAGAATTCAGAGGCTTTGCGCTTTGTCGCCATTGTTACGAACTGTGAAACACTGAACACTGGACAACGTCACGGTTAGACTTAGAATTCGAAGCAAGCATCCTTTGTTTATTTCACAGGGCTTTGCCAAACTTCGATATCGCTTACTCCGGGATATTAATATTCCCGACCGACTCAGGCCGCGGCACCGTAACAGAATATGAAAGTGATCCATATCGTCCGATATCTGGTCTATGCTGAACACAACGACCAGAATTGGAGGTGCTACGTTGCGCAATAAACATTGCAACAATCAATTCACCCCTTTTCCCTTGTAATGAACGTAGTGAGTGGATTGAGCAAATTTACATCAGCGGTCGCTCCATATCATATACATGCACATAATTTTCTTGAGCTAGTTCGTTCCCTTGTTATTGTGTAGTCTCATCTGACGCACTTCTCTTTCATTTAGAATCTCAAATCAATCTAAATACATATTAAACCTGGTGAGTGGTGTGGGCCATCTATTTATCTGCGGTCCAACAAGTTACAGAGACGCTGATTCCAGATTGGAGGTAGGTCGAAGCTTTACAATGGCCCCACCCGCTCGATCCAGTCCGACATCGATAACCTGATAGAACACCAGATGTGGAATCTCCACATACTATGTTAGTACTACTGGCACCGTCGCCGATACCGATGCAAGTACATACAGCTGGAATTGCCGCTAATAGATATATAAAATAAATGCTAGAACTTTATTCTCCCTCTGGGACTTCGTCAAGCCAATAAGCTGTTGGCATTCCATGGTGTGTGATATTATACTACTTCTGTATTTCTTATGGTTGAATGCACTTCTTGAACAAAGCTCAGAGCTGACGGATCGGTGGAAAGCGTTCATTGCATCCTATATATACATCGCCTCCAGACGGTCCACCCGCCATTGGCGCTTTGACATGCCAGTGCCATTCAGTGGATTGGACGGCCGACTCTATAGTGCTTATTCCACGTGGAAAGGACGTAATTCAATGACTCGCTGAGACAGTGTGTTTGCATCGTGTCCACTGTACACCTAGATCTAATGGCTTAAGCATCTGCATTTCACCATATCTTTATCCCATTCCCCGATGCTCAACCGCCCCGAAGCCATTGTCAGTCCACAAATTGCTTCGATGTTATTAAAGCAGCTAAGTCTATTACATCTACGACCACATATTTCAGGACAACAGGTTATCTTGAACACGATTTAAGTGCGTGCTCGGGAAGTGAGGCGCAGTACGTCTCATAACCACCTTCATTTTACACACCTCGTTATAACTCACCCTATCGTTTCACTCTCCCTTCTTTCGCCGACTCATTACCCATCCCATCCTTGACACCATGTTCTGTACGTCTACCCTAGGTGAACGAATCTATCTTTGTGCTAACCGAACTATAGTTAATAGAAAGCCCAAAGCACCGGCCGTGCCAGCTGACTGGCCATCACCTTATCACAATAAATGTAACCAACCCAACTGCCGCTATCCAAATCCTCCACAAGCTGCAAAGGGTGTATATATATGCAAGGGTGTACCAGGTGGTTTCTTCTGTGAAGGTACATACAAGGTATCGAACGTCAAGGCTCAGGAAGCCACACTATATTACAAGGAAATATCACGTCGCACCGCAGAGGCAGCATTACGTTCTGAAGAAGAGAGGAAACGCCGAGAGGTAGATTGGAAAAGGTCAGAGATGGCGAAACGGAGGCGAGGTAAGGAAGAGCAGGAGGAACGTCTAAGGGAAGAGAGGGTGAGGCAGGGGTACGGACAGCGGGTTCATGTTCTTGGTGGTGTGGAGATCAGACAAGTAAAGCAACACGTGAGGCCTGATCCACGGTCTGGTGCTGTGCATCGACCTTCACAGGCTCAAATTGAAGAGGAGTATATAACTGATCGGAAGATGATGCAGATGTACCCCGAACGGAGGATACGGCCACGATGGTGCGTGTCAAGAATCAAGATGTGATCTACTTGACGAGACGAGTTTAATTTTATTTGACAGGATATGAGACCATTCTCAATTTTTGGAGACACTTCGACATTTATGAAAATTAACTAACCATCTGTGCTATGACCGTACCTTATATGTATTATGCTAATCAAAGGAATTTATGAAAAGCGCATAGAGTCGCTCGTTATCGGCATTTGTAGCTTAAAGCGCTACAGAGAACACGTCAAATACTTTTCACGTCCAAAGTAGTCCCTATCTTTCTGGTCTGGAATGCATAGGTTCTTATGTCTTCATGTGTGCCATAGCCCTAAATAAGGTGAAAAACTTGAAGCATTCTAAATCTACAATAAGCGTACCAATATTGGCAAAGACAATGGTGTATTAAAAAAAAAAACGGCTGTACCTACATTTATGGAACCATCATTTGGGCGATAATATAATAATTTGCTGTGTGGATGCGATGATCCAATATTCATGGCGCTATTTGACTCCATCATAAGGTCTGTAGGCAAATTTCTTCGATATATAACGCTGCAATCCTATTCCACCAGTGAGCTGGTCTATTGCAGCTTGAGATTTTTGCTGAGCGTCAGGGTGTATGGTCATTGTCGTCACGAAATCGGATATAAACTACATATTGTCTCATGTCAATGTTGTAGAAACTAAAAGAGGAAATTTTCACTTACAGTTCGTACAGCAGCTAAGAGGTAAATGGGTTAAGATAAAATATGTGTGATAGAGCCCTTGAGATATTTACTTACCTCTGTAAATCGTTACAGACCTGCTTCAATAACAACTTCATCTTCCTGACGTTCTATGGTAGTGGAATAAACCCCTTGAAATCCCAGACAATTCTGATGGAATGATTGAATAATAGAAGTACGGTTCGTTTGAAATTTCCTTACCAAATTACACAAATTGATCACCATATTTCTTGGAGCGCTTTGTCAACAGTTCTCAACTATTTTCCAGGATTCAGGATACGCACCTTCGTTCCAACGATTTCGACATACAAGAGGTTGCCTGTCACACACGTCAATCAACGTTCATTTCGAATAATCAAACGAAATGGGACCAACCATTTCTTTAGGCGGGAGATATGGGAAGACCGACCAAGATCTTCTCCCTTCAGTTCATCAGGGAATGAGCACTGAGATTTTGGATAGTGAGTGCAAAGAGAGTAAGAACGGATGCTAAGACAGTGAGAGAAGCAACTACATAACCAACAAGTTCTTGGTGGGTGTGTGCGTGTGTGTGTTGATACATGAGTTATTTCTCTGACTTTGAACACGGTTTATGTATGAGACTGAGACAGTCTGTATATGAATGCACGATCTGAAGTTCCGTTGAACGTCTGATAAACTAGCTTTTGGAGTCAAAATAAGGGGCGCGTTCAGTTACAACTCGAAACACTTATAACGATAGACATGGCCTAACCTTGGTCGTGGCTTGAAGCTTGGAGGCTGAATGCGACGCCCGAACTAAAGCTACAACTTGAACTTGAAGGAGTCCCGGAGGACTCGGACGTCTGAGGCCGAGCCGCTTTTATCCTTAGAAAAATGTTCTAATTCATATGAATGATGTGATTACTGATGCTCTTAAAACCGTAACACGGAGATCAAATTGAAACGGACTAGCAATAAAGCTGTATGCATCCTGCTCTTCCACTATCTTGTCAAGTTCTTCAGGTTCTGTCGAGATCGCCATGAAAATTTGACTCCTACACAGAGGAATTGTTGAGGAATTGTCCTCGAGCAGCAAGGATGGGCGGAGGTCTCAATATGGTCGTAGTGCAACTAGCTCACCTGAAATCGTTGGAGCAGTTCGGGGCAAGCTCACTCGAAACTGAGTACTGAGTATTTAAATATTCAAAGTTGGATCATGGTAAAGAAGCACTGTCGTACTAAAGCGGAGCTCATATTAGCATGGCTTTACGTATAAACCAGCGTTGATTTCTTCACCATACCATGACTTCCTCCAGACAAGGGTTGTTGTCTCCTCTCGAAGGCTTTTTATGTGGTGGGACAGCGGCATGTACTGCGGTGAGCCAATGTCACAGCTTCGCACTTTCCCAGTAAAATTCAGGCGCTTTCCAGGTCACTGTATCCAATCCTGCAGAAGTTGCCAAGACTCGCATGCAGTTGCAAGGAGAATTAGCCAAAGGTGGTGGCCAAAGGGTGTACAATAATGCTCTTGATGCGCTAGCTAAAACTTGGAGGAATGAGGGTATCCGTGGTTTGCAAAGAGGTCTTGGTGCTGCTGTGTGTTTATTTCGCTGACATCGCGCCTATGTAATGCTAATGATATAATAGTATTCTTACCAGGCAAGAGCTCCTGATCTGATGTGCAACTCATCGTATAAATGCACTCTGGCTGACCGCATACCATCTACTAGATTCTCCTCCATGGCTCGTCTTTCGGTGTGAAACCTCTTGGGACCGTGCTGCCACATTTGCTAACACACTCGAAGCTTTTTATGAACATGTCAGACGAGCGTTCAACAACTTCGTTGGAAAGCCTCCCATAGATCAAATACCACTGACTTCTATATCCGCTGGAGCGGTAAGCGGTGCCATCGGTGGTATGTCGTCCAGTAATAGCCCTAAGAATGGCCCGGGTCATCCTGTGACTGAAGAGTCGATCTTGAAGCTTGCCTTGGGAACCCTTTCTTCCTTATCAAAGCCAGAATGCAGGTAATAATGCTTATCTGGTCGAGTGTATGGGACAATTCATCATATTTGCCAGGCGTACTCTCCAGCTCTGCCTGTAGGGACGCAGCGCTACTACAAGAGTTCTTTCAATGCATTCACCACTATTTGGAAGGCCGAGAAATTCCGGGGTCTGATTCGTGGTATCGATGCTGCTGTGCTCCGGACAACGATAGGCTCATCGGTTGACTAAGTTAATGCTATTTACGGTTTTCATTTTTAACTGGGTTTACTCTCTAGGTTTTATTACCAAGCTATTATGGTACAAAACATCAAATTGTCTCGAACGGTCTTCTTCCCGAGAACAGTATATGGACGTACCTTGCAAGCAGTTCTGTCTCTACTATTTGCGTGGTACGTCAGGCTTGCTTTATATGTGATTGGTGCTGTTTGAATTGGCAATATAGACCATAGTGATGCAACCATCCGACACGGCAAGTTTTGAGGAATGGAATGACTGCTTGAGATTTTAATGAGACTTATGCAGGCACTCACCCGATTGTATAACCAACCTACAAAGCGCTTGCCCAACGGCACTCTAATCGGAACATTGTACAAAAATCCTATCGACTGCCTATGGAAAACTATTCAGGCTGAGGGTATCCGTGGCTGCTATAAGGGTGCGTCGAAATAGCTAGAACGATGTTGTGTGTGTTTACAAAAACCCAGGATCCACTGCTCAACTGCTGCAAGTCGCTCCGCATACGTGAGTGTCCTGATTATTCTTCTATTCTTTGGCTAAGACAATGAATCGTTAGGATCATTATACTAACTGCCAACGATATTATTCGCAACATCTACACGAACATGAAGTCCGGACATCCCGAAGATGTTTGAATTGGGGTTGGGGTTGATTGCGATAGAATCTCACCTCATGGCTGTATAGGTTCAGCCATAGACACTTTTTGCTTATAGCAGATACTGGTCATGATATATGCCAATCTACTATTGCTCATACCATGATCCACCAAGCTGCTGTTGCAAGCAGTGTCTAGAGATAAATCATACGATGCGGTTCGTGCAGTATAAGAGCTTGTCTAGGAAGTTTAGTCTCAGGGAAAGTAGACTTGATTTATCCTTGTGCCAAAGCTACAAATGGCAGTAGAGGATGGGTATTTCTTTTCGGCACAGATTAGAAAGTAAACCTTCCGTGGAAGTCATGCACATGGTTTCTCCGCACCACCCATGGATACACCATCCATATGATTGACCAGAACTTGGATCAGCTGCAGCCCGCATCCATGGGTCAAGGTGAACGGGCCATTCATGAATTCAATGGCTACCGCTAGCGCTAATGTCGTAGTATCAGCGGCCGTATGGGCTTACTAATACGACCTCTTATCTTTCCTCTGTACCATCATCGTACCACTACTACGTAGCAAGTCCATAGGCTCTGCAGACTCATACTATCCTTTCCGTCACTCTATCCGACCCAACCATTACAAAAAGCACATTTGATCTCTACAATGGTGTCGCGTGCTCAAGAAGCTGCTTATACTGTTTTGGCCAGCGTCGACTTGTCCAGCTATGATCCCGAACAGTCAAGGCTTATGGACGAAAAGTGTATCCTAGTGGACGAGGACGACAATGCCATAGGTGCCATGGACAAGAAAACATGTCAGATCGTTTTGAAGTCTCGTGTTGTAGCGCGGCCTGACAAACATTAATAAAACTGCAGGTCACTTGATGGAGAACATCAACAAGGGTTTGCTCCACCGCGCCTTCTCTGCATTCGTTTTCAGACCGTCCGATGGCAAGCTTCTCCTACAACAGCGCGCGACGGAGAAGATAACATTTCCAGATATGTGGACGAACACATGCTGCTCTCATCCATTGGATGATTTTGAGGAGGAGAAAGTGGAAAAGGATCAGCTGGGAGTAAGAGTTGCAGCTTCGCGAAAACTGGACCATGAACTGGGCATTCCCTCTAGTCAAACTCCCGTTGATCAATTCCAGTATCTGACTCGGATTCATTATTTGGCACCATCAAGTGGTCTTTGGGGTGAACATGAAGGTTAGTCGTGCATTGAAATTATGCATGATCACATGGTTTACATTTCTGTTTAGTTGATTATATCCTGTTCATCACCGCCGACGTTACAGTGACACCGAACACCAACGAGATCCGTGACCACAAGTACGTCGATAAGGCAGAGCTACAGGCCATGTTCGATGACCCTGGTACGGTCATCTTTTCTTGGTGAAACATGTTTATATATTTATTCATACCTTCGAGCAGCGAACTCTTTCACACCTTGGTTCAAATTGATCGCAAGAGATTTCCTTTTCGGCTGGTGGGATGAACTAATGAAGCGCAAGGATAACCAGGGTCTTGTATCTGCGCAGAGTCTCGCTGGTGTCGCAGACGGATCGAAGGTTATCAAAATGGTGTAACAAGGCGATCTTTTTATAACTAACTATTCATGCTTCCGGTTTAAATTTTTTTCACACCTCGAACGACATATCCAGTGTTGAAATGTAAGGATTGCCATAATCACTGCTATGAGAATATAGAGTCTCACATAGTTGTTTGAATATAAATTATTTGAAGGATATGCTTGTTTTCTACACGTCAGTAACTTGACAGTAAGGACCACCGTATCTACACCCATGTTAAATATGAGTTTCGATGTAGCTCGAAGATAAACCTGTCATCAGCACTTCTCGCTTTCTATAGAAATGCGAGATACCACTCACCGTGACGAACACACATTTACAACGATCTTGATCAGAACACCATCATTTGTACTCGATTTTCTTGGCGAGGTGACGTTTGTTAGTTCCCAGATATGAGGTAGGTCATGCACGCCCGTGTTTAAAGGATTTTTGGCAGCGCTGGGGCAGCATTGGAGCAGACTTTCGACGTAACCTCGATTGCAGCCAGGCTGACTCTAGCACAGGATTTGTATTTACGGGCGCTTATAGCTTAGTACAGGCAATAATTACAACTGTAAGCATCGATCAAAGTGGTCAAGGATTGTGCGAATGGATTTCGTCATTCCTGCGCTCCCCTGGCAATACTATGGACAAGATGGTCGACCAACCTGGTGTTAAAAAATAAAAGAAAAAAGGGGATCATGCGTTCGACAAACCTCCCAAAATTCACGGTAAAATCCGGTATTGGCCCAATCGATGATAGCTGTGATTTTATAGCCATCGTCTCTGGGTCCACCATAATGTTCTTCGGTAGAAGGTCACGGTGCGTAAAGCGATAGCACAATTACTCGGGATTGATGCCATTAAATGATTGAACCATGCCAGTCCTACAGCTGATTGTCCGCAGCGGCACGAAAAAAAAAACTGCGTTAAGTATTTCCGAGAATCGCAGACCGAGAAGAAGACGTGTTTTTTTGTTCTTTTTTTTTTGGGGGGGGGACAAGCAAGGTGCGGAAGGCACGACCTGTTACAGATCCAATAATCCTGGCCTGCGTCATCCCTATTTGATTCACCAGAAGCTTTAGCGCTCTACATATTGAGGTCAGAGATTCCGCTGGCAGCGAATCCACCCCTGCATCGAGAGATACTCCTTTGATCTCCATAATACATACACCATACACCAATAGGACTGGCATTCGATTTTGACAAAAGCACTTTCAACGGTATGCTGGGGGCGGAGTATTAAGACACACAATAATGAAGAAGTCTGCTACGTACATCCTGTGCGCTGAACCTGGGCAAGAGATAGTGGCACGGGCACTCTTTGCAATGCACATGCATATAACCTCCTTTGACAAATTGAGTCCGCCATGCTTTAGGACTACTCCTTCTGAGATCTTGAGTACATTGTGCCACCTACCCTTCCCAGAGAGAACTTTCACGACATTGAGGGATTCAAGGTCGTGGAATGATTTGGGCAATGAGAGTTCCAGTTTCTTTGAGAAAGAACGACGGGGCATTTTGGGCGTGGGTTGGAGCAAAGCCTGTACCCCTAGTGAAAAGCAGCGCTGCATTCCATCCAGCCACGAAGTTCTTGTCCCACCACCGCTGCCCGCAGCAATGGACAGCAGTACCGTGACTGTCTATTCAGCTCCTATCGACCACAAGAATAAAGTCATCGCCGATATTTTCACGCTTGTGGTATCTTCCCAAACACTTGTCGCAGTGTTAAAGGGGAAGGTCAAGAAGAGGATGACGCTTGAAGCGTACTGTTCCAGGAAATGGCGGAGGTCAGACTGACAAGGTAGAAGCTTGTGGATACGAGGTAAACCAATATCGATTGGAGGAGTCCGAGAGTTTGAACCACTGTTCAAGGTACGGCGTAGGAACACTTTCCCCGTTTGATCGTACTGATTGGTGCACCATAGCCTCTGGCCCACAAGACGGAGGTGACAAGATACAGTCCAATCTTGGCGGATAGATAGTCATGCGGCGCATTGATCCAGCATTTTCTCTCCATGCACGATGCGCCATATGATCGTTATGTCAGCTTCCACTGAACGTTTGACAGCGAACCAGAGCACGGGTATTTTAATCGCCGTTATCGGTCTTACATACAAACATACTGCTGAGAATTTTACGTCTCCAAGTTTTTGAAGTGGAATTTAACGAGAAACTGAGTTCCCAGCAATCTGACTATGCACGATTCAATTTCCGAGTTTTGGTATTTTATCTTGACTGTGACTACCTGCTTTTTTACTGAGTGTGACAACAGTAGTACTGTTTCGAAGAAACATCTGTGGCTTCTCTGTGGTCATTAAACACACCATCTCCCATTCCTTCCACAGGCCATATCATCAACCCGTAACACCTAGCACACGGGACAGCAATATGCTGAGCTCAACTTGTTGAGAGGTGTAGGAACACCTTATTTCTCTTACCATTGGTCTGACGGGTGCCGCGAGGCCTCGATGGAAATTCACGTTAATCACTTGGCCGGTCCTTAGGCCCTAGGGCCGGGACAAGGTACGTGTTGTGAACGAGGCTGGTAACGTCTTTTTCTTCTTGCGCTTATCCTCAAACATAAGTTCAATCAGGAGTTCTGAGTAAGTATTATATCTTTGCTGGGTGGATGCATGTTGATTTAATCTTCTAGGCAAAAGGACGAAACTATGCAGTTCTTGCTGACAGGTAAACATATATATTTTGTGCATCTCGGTCCATAATTGACATGTCCATCTTGAAAGTTGTCGGTGCTAGGGGACTCAAACATCCGCTTCCCACTCCTCAGTCTTGTATGCTCTTCGTTACGATCAAAGCAGACGGATGTGAACCGATGAAAACTGATTGTGTTGTGGGACCCTCCGATCCAAACTGGAATTCTTCTTTCACATTGTAAGTAAAGTATCATCTACTTTGATGTAAGCTTTGGTCCTCATAAATAACTTTAGGAACACGGTGAAGACTTCGCAGATGTGTTTTTGCATTCGCCACACCCCAGATGCCAATAGTCCAAGTGGGGATTCGATGTCGTTAGGTGAAGCGAACATGGAAATCGGTGAACTACTACTGTCTCTTGATAGTAGCAATGGTATGCGAGCATGGATTTTACTTGTATATGTTGCTAAATCATGTAATGCAGGCGTATCGATCCCTATTTATGACTCCAAGTCGGAGCAGCAGGTTTGTAAAGGTTATTTGGATGTCAAGATCGGCAACTTGGAAGATAGACATTCCGCATTAGTTACCTCTGAAAAATCCATATCCGGGTTTGTGTCTTTTCCCTTTCGCTGCGATGGGCTTGACTAATGTCAGCCTATAGAAACGTTTCACCTGTGGCTAATGAGGCTGTTGAAATCGAGCATCCATTACCAGTAAGTTCATTTATATAGGGACATTAGAGACGTCGTCACAAATAGCCTGATACTTACGAGTAATATTTAGCTCTCGAACCAAGACAAAGCTGATCTGGTCGTTGAGACCGCCAGGGCAAAATTACAATCCTGCCCACCACAAAGCTCGTCATATAAAGAATTACTCAGTATTTTCTCAAATAGCCTCTTGTCTCGCTACGAGCAGAAAGGTAATATCGAAGACTTACAAATGGCTATTCAACACAACATGCGATTACTAGAAATGTGTCCCCTAGGACATGGCAGCCATATTGCAGTTTTGTGTAACCTTGCAAACGCTCTGAAACATAACTTCACCCGCTATGGACAATCTAGTGACTTGGAGCAGAGCATTCAGTTGTATCGCTCTGCTGTGGATTCGTGCTCTCCTCGTGATCCTAAATACCTTGCGGTGGTCCAAAGTTATGCCTCCGGACTACGGCTTCGCTTTTCTCATCAGGGAGATGCCCAAGACCTTGAATTAGCTATTCAAAGTTGCATCATTGCGCTAGATCACTGCCAGCAGGGACATCCACATCGTGCCGCATTACTGCAAACCCTTTCCAATTCTATATTCAGTCGATTCGATTTGAGAGGACAACCAAACGATTTAAAGCTTGTCATTGAATATTCTACTACTGCACTGGAATTGCGACCTCCAGGGCATCCTGCCCGCTTCTCCTCTCTTTACGGCCTCGCTGAAGCTTTGCAATTCCGCTTCGATCGAGAGGGTGACTACAAAGATCTGGAACTGTCCACTGAATACCAACGCTCTGCAATGGCTCTATGCCGTCCTGGACATCACAGTTATCCCCTGCTTCTCAATAGCCTTGGAAATGCCCTTTTGGCAGCGTTCCAGCACCGGGGAGATTACGGCAAGCTTCAATCAGCCATAGAAATACTCACCGACGGAGTGAAGTACAGTCCAGAAGGGGACGTCAATAGGACTCTGTTGTTTACCAATTTGGCCAATGCTCTCTGGAACCGCTTTCACTACGGTGGCGATTCCAATGATCTGGTTCTTGCTATTGACTACTACGAGAAACCGCTTAATCTTCAGCATAGGCGGAATCCGAACTACATTTCATCCCTTTTTAACCTCGCCAATGCCCTGCTACTCCGCTTCAGACAGAAGGGGCAGCTCAAAGACCTGGATCTGGCGTTTGACTACTTTAGGACATTATTTGAAATATGTCCAAGTGACCATGCCACTCGCCCAACCTGTCTTACCGGATTTGGTAGTGTTCTTATAAACCGCTTCAAGGAAAAGGGGGACATTCGTGACTTAAAGCAAGCCATTCAATACTTCGAAGAAGGTCTCGCAATCTGCCAACCGGGGGATCCTATGCTCAACGGACCGATGCTACATCTCGCTGATGCCCTTATCATCCGTTTCAGACAGGAAGGATGTGGAGATGACTTAGAGCTGGCAATTAAATATTGCGGTGATATCATCGGGTTGCTACAACCGGAGCACATCACTTATAAAACATGCCTGATGACTTTCGGGGATGCTTTATACAACCGATTCGAACAGCAAGCTGAAATCACAGACCTAGACTTGGCTATCTCCTACTACAGAAGAACTTTACTCGCTGTGGATCATGTTTCGCCCATCTATTCTCTAGCTACTGTCAGCCTTGCCAATGCTCTCTTGGAGTATTTCAAACAACGAGCAAAAATCGATGATCTGGAAGAAGCTATACAGTTATACGCTACCTCTCTTAGAGAATGTCCTTCGGGGCACCCCAACCGTTCTACATGTCTCACAAACTTCGGAAATGCTCTCATATGTCGTTTTCAATGTCGTGGAGATGTGGATGATATGGAGCTTGCTATTCAGTATCACACCGAAGTCGTTGAACTGCATTCTCCAGAACACTACGACCATAGTCTATGGCTCTCCAACTTGGCTTGCGGAATCTTTGCCAGATATCAGTATCAAGCAGATAGTGATGACCTGTCACGAGTGATCGCATATTACAACAATGCGCTAGAACACTCTCAGTCTCTCAAGGGTCCTAAACACTTCGCTCTTTTGACGAATCTTGGTACCTGCCTTTCCCTTCGGTTCCGCGTCGATGGTGTTTTGTCTGATTTGACAATGGCCATCCAATACCACAGGACGGTATTAGAGTCACTTCCCCCAAAGCACCCTATGGTTGGACTCGCATTAACGGGTCTCGGCTCTGCTCTGTATAGTCGTTATGAATCTCAGGGTGATCTTGATGATCTTGAGCAAGCCATTCAATTTGCCTATTCTTCATTGAAGCTGATGCTTCCAGACGATCCCTCTTATGCAATGACCGTATGTCAACTTTCCGACTTCCTTCTAATATGCTACACGAAGGACAAGAGCCTTCAGACTCTTTTAGCGGTGTACCTCCTGCTTCAAAAGGCCGTAGCCTATACTCCAGATGACCATCCTAATCGCGTGCGGATCTATCAGTCCCTGATAAAAATCCACGGGGTACGCTTCAACTTGAACCACGAGGCTGGGGACCAAGAAAAAATATTCGAATACTACAACAGTGCTCTCAGTCATTCTACTGGAAGTCCCTTTGACCGTTTGCAGGTAGCTTTGGGCTGGGTTACGGATGCTGAGAAATTTGGCGATACATCTGCATTGAAGGCATATCAGGTCTCGTTCGATCTTCTAGATCATCATATCACAGCCACTCCTTCCGTTTCTTCACGCCATCAGGTCCTGCAATCACGGAAGATATCCGAAATTATGGCATTGTCTGCGGATGCAACTTCTTGTGCAATTCGCGAAGGGAAGTTGGAACTTGCAGTGGAGCTGTCAGAGCGGAGTAGAGGAATGCTCTGGACTCAGCTCTCGCGCTTTAGAACCCCATTGGATGACTTGCGTCTTGTAGGAAAAGCCGGAAAATGTCTAGCTGATAGGTTCGAGACAGTTAGTCGGCAACTACAGAGCAGAAATACGGAAAATGTGTTAGTTGGTAGTACGAATTCACGGCTATCACTCGAAGAAGAAGCAAGGCGATATCGAAGATTTTCAAAGGAGTGGGATTCCATTGTGGATCAGATCCGAAAAATAGAAGGCTTCAGCCATTTTCTAAAGCCTACGCCCTACTCTGAGCTCCAGGGGGCTGCAGCTTAATGGACCAGTTGTCATCGTCAACATTAGCCAGCACAGCTGTGATGCTATCATTATCTTGCAAACCGGGCCACCTCGTCATGTACGCCTCCCCGACGTTACAGCGACTAAAGTATCTGAAATTTCCACGTCGCTCTTGGATATCTTGAAGAGCACCTCTGGGATAGGGGAGGAGAAAACAAGAGAAAGAGGCATCACAATGATTCTTAGGGAACTGTGGGAATTGATCGTGAAGCCTGTAGTCGGGGAGCTGATGGGGATCATTCCTAGAGGATCTCGCATATGGTGGTGTCCGACTTCCAAGCTTTCATCTTTACCACTGCACGCTGCAGGGCAATATCACCAAGATGGGCGCAACCTTTCGAACATCTACATCTCATCCTACACGCCCACAATAGCCGCCTTGATACGATCTCGGAGATACAGCACTGATACCCGTACTTTTCTTGCAATTGGACAGGCTCAACCCAGCCAAAGTAGCCAAGAACCTGAACTTAAGTCTGTAGGCACTGAGCTCAAGCTTGTCAAAGGTCTTGTTCCAGCTTCCGTTTCGTTTACCGAGCTCAACGGAGACGAAGGTACTTCTGATGCTGCGCTTCAAGGCTTTCGCGAACACTCGTGGATCCATCTCGCCTGTCATGGAAAGCAAGACTTTGCGCAGCCTTTTGATTCTTCGTTTGCGCTGCGTGATAAACCCCTTCGCCTCATAGATATCATTGGAGAAGACCTCAGTCACCAGCAGTTCGCATTCCTATCTGCATGCCATACCGCCGTAGGTGATAGAAAAACGCCAGATGAAGTCATTCACCTAGCAGCTGGGATGCAATTTTCGGGTTTCCGGAGTGTTATCGGCACTATGTGGGCAGTGGACGATAAGACTGCCCAACACATGGTTTCTGAATTTTACACGCATATGTTCAGTGAAGGACTCGACTGTACCAATGCAGCAAAAGCACTTAACAAAGCTGCGAAGACTGCGAAGACGAAATTCAAAGAAGTATCACTGGACCAGAGGATTGTATTCATTCATATTGGCGCTTGAAGAGTTGTGAAGCAGCGTGTAAGAGCTCTTTAAAATCATGTATCATAACATCTTACGACAATATCAAGACTATCTTTGCACTTGCAACCTATCGAAAATATAATCGATGACAGGATTCTATCCTTGCATTCAGGTAATAAAAGACAAAAGGCACTAGCAGTACATATGTATATATTCCACAAAGAAATCAAGTTGGAGAGAGAACATGGGCAAAAGCTTAAAGGACAATTTGATGGAAAGGAAGTAGCTAGTCAAGGGGGGAGGAACAAACGAGATAACAAGCATATATATAGCTACAACTGGACGATAAGGGATAGCAATTCCGGATAGCTTAAAAGTCGTTCTTGAGGTACGGGTAAGGGTGTGACGGGGCGAGGGATAAGGGAGCAGCTGAGATGGAGGTATGGGGGATATAAGTGGCTGAGGTAAGGAACTAAAGAACACGGGAAACCAAGAAGTGTATAAGTTATCAGCAAATGCATATCCATCATTATCCCAAAAGTCTGCTGGTATTCCATAAACTCTGGCAGGTCGATGGGCAATGAAACGAAGCCTATTCCACACCTCGACAACCAGTGCCAAAGGCAAGAACTATGGCGTGTCGTTTTCCTTGAACTGCACGATATATAATATACAGTCAGGGGCCGCATGGTCGTCGAATGCGTATGTGCACGAGCCGCAAGAGAGAGCAAGGACCAAGGCAAGCATCATTACGATCAGCCTAGTGCAAAGCGCAGCGTGCTCGATTCCCTCTGTACATCTTCAATAGCAGGTCCACTAGCAGACGCGCAAGACGAAGAGGTGATCGGCGACGAAGGCAGCATAGAGTTAGGCGTTGGAAGACATGCCGGAGGTAGAGAAGTAGAAGCGGTAGGAGGATGAGACGACATTGGTTCATCACCACTAGGATTGGAACTCCGGGTCGAAGAAGATGCATTGGAGGAACCGCCACCAGGAAGACCAAGTTCAAACCAGTTCATCCCTTCGCTATTCGCACCTGAAGTTGCAGTCAGACTCGGAGCAGACGAAATGGACAACTGAAGTGCCGGGGAAGAGAGCGGCAAGGTGTTCGATAACGAGAACATGGGGGATACCTGATCTGATGACATCATCTGCCCGGCGGAATGAAAAGGTGGAAGTTGAAAAGAAGGCGACAGAGGGAAATTCGGAAGCTGGAATGGGTTCGGAATTTGAATCGACGATGGTAATTGGAGAGAGAGTGGCAACGCGCTGACATCCAGATCTCCCAACCCTTTGCTCAAATCTAGAGCACCCAGGCTTGATCCAGAAGAGGAGCCTAGTGGGGGTGAAGGTGAAGGAGAGGGAGAAGGTGCAAGCAGAGAATGGAGGAAGGACGTCCATTCGCCAGCAGCGGGGTTAACAATATCATCGTATGAAGCACTCATACTATCATTTGCACCGGCACTCGAGCTTGACATCACGTTGGGTCCGCTGCTCGAGCTCAAGCGGCTTTCTATACCTGAGACATTGCCAATACTCATGCTAAATCTGCCTACTGCACTCGCCCATTCTGCCAGCCTTCGCCGATCAGGAGGCGTCCCACGGCCCATATACGCGCGGGGCGGCTCAGATAATATAGGTACGTGCAAAGATGAGAGAGGCGGAACAGGCGGTATTCGTGGCGTCACATATGGATTGGACAACGTGACTGGATTAGAGGGGCCCGGAGGTGTACCTGGGCCAATTGGGAGAGATATACGTTGAAGAAGGGGTGTCGATAATGTGGTACTGGAATTGCTTCCATTATCCTGATAACTTGTCGTCTCACACTGCGAAAACGTTGAGAGACCGAAAGAGGGACATGGGCTGAAATTAAAGTCAGGGCTAGTGTTATGTGAAAATGTGGCGGCATCAGCAGCAGCAGAGGTAGAGACGAGATCTACGTCCATTTTTGTCGTTGGGTTTTGGGCTTGAGTTAGGGCTCGGGGTTGCCCCTCCTTGTCGCCTGTACCTGGTTCTTCCGCCACTGGTTTGCCATTATCACCATCCACAACTCCTAGAGATTCATCACTTTCACCTTCATATTCCTCATCATCAAACTCCTCATCGTAATCATAGTCTTCATCAAAGTCATCGTCTTCAATGCCATCACCACTCTCCTTATCCCCAAGAGATCGCATCTTGTAATCACAATCCCAGCTATAGCCTACACCATACTCGTATTTACAATCAGTATCAGCTTCGCCCTCGGCATCTGGATCGGTGTCATCTTCGTCGGGCAAGGAACCATACGTGTAACTCGTGGGCGTGTAAAGCCTAAATCGGGTCCCTAAAGTGGGCGTGGTACTTGAACCAGCTTCAGGATCGGGAGATATACTCCGTGCTTCTGATGCAACAATAGCTTTGATTGTGTCGACACCGTAGCGTCTTAAGCTGCAAACATAAGAAATAGATGAAAACTCCGATTAAATGCTTGCAATCCAGGCTAACGGCACTTACATGTAATCAACCCGCTCCTGGCACGCTAATTTCCATATATTAACCTCACGATCGCGCTCCCTTTGCATCATTTCTCGGTCCCTTTGTAGTTGTGTATCTCTATCGAGATGTAATCGTGGGCTTTCACACTCCATGTCCGTGTCGGCACTCTGACTGTCCCTTAGGACGCCATTATCTGGCTGACCATTTCCCCTCTCTGTCGATTGGACTTGATTTGTATTTAACAAATCTACACCAACCTGCCTTTGCGAGTCATTCTTACTACTATCTGATCCATCCATCCACACTGGGTCGAGTTCCAAGTCATGGCCTGGGAACGCCACGTGTGGCTGTGCGGGTGGCTGAGTCAAGGAGCCCGCAGGTGAACACGAGGACGACGACGAGGAACTAGCAGGATGTGGTTGCGGTGAGATTGATTGCGATGGCTTATGCCCGAATGAAGTGGAAGCTGATGTGGGACTAGCGGAAGAGGAGAGTGTGGTATAAGTGACGTAGGCCTGAGTGGCCGGTGGGGGTATACTGGAAACATCTGAAGCCGGATAGGAAGACGAGGCCAATTCTGGTAAAATTGGGGGTGGTCTCATAGAAGTAGAGGATACGTTTGAAGAGTGTGTCTCAGATGAAAGCGAGATAGTATGTGCATTGAGAATACTGCAAGTAGAACAGGTCAGTTTCCACAGTCAACAAATATCAGGAAATCGACAGAGATCCGACGCCATGATATGGCAGAAGAAGAAACATACTTTTCATCTGCACTGGAAGAGAAGGTGTACTTGGGCGATAACGGAGATGGCTGTGGTGGAGATGACTCGCGGAGAGTGGAATCTGCATGCTTAGAATGTGGCTTTACAGGCTGCGGAGAGTGCTGTAAGGTTAAGAACAAGCTATAGTACGTTATATGCGCACCTGTGACTCTCGTACTGGCAATACATCGCCTGCTATGATGTTTTCCTTGCGTTTCTTGCGGTGTACGACGAGTGGAGCAGAACTACTGCGGGGTTGCGACAACGACATGCACGGGTCGACGACATCGAGCTCAAGAGCAGAATCAAGGGAGAGGCGCTGTCGTTTGAGAGCGCGGAGGGCGCGAGGGGTGAGACGGGGATCGTCGATTGGAATGGGAGAGATAGGCGGTGTGCGAGATCGTTTGCGGGAGGGAGGCGGGGGGGCTGTGGTGGTTATGGTTGGCTTTGGCGGCGAGGAGACATGCTTTGTCGCTGTCGAGGACGATGAAGGAGGTGAGGAATGGACACGAGCAATACGGGAGGACCGACGGACGGTCATTGGCCGTGGATCGAGGATGGCGGCCATTCAGTTCTGAGCCGAAAAGAGAAACGGTGTGACTTGGAAAGAACGCGGAACTTTTTTGCAAAATTACACGATCAACAAACCAGCCGTACACGTAAGCAGCGCACAGACCAGTCACGTGTTCGCGCCATCTTATGATGTCACCACCCCTCTGCTATATAGCACCCCAGCCCACCCACTCATACAGAAAACATGAGCGACGAGTACAGAAACAACGGTCAGAACGGTTCCCTCGTCAACGACTGTAAGCACCCAGCTTCATCCCAGCCTCTGCTCACCCCCACCAGCACTGGACACCTCTGCTCTTCCCCACAATGAACGAGATGCGGCGACACAAAACTACCCCCCTCCAGGAGACAGTGAGCACATTTTTCCGTGAAACATAACACCTAATAACTTCACCCATAGCTTCCTCCTCAGGCGGGTACGGATCATCGAAGAATCCGTTTTCACCCGCTTCACAGCGCGGACTGGCAGACACAACGGACACCGACCATGGTGCTATCCAGCAGTCCACAACTGGCACAGATATCCGCGGCGAGATAGGCGATGCAAAACAAGGCGTCGATGTATCCAGCAGGAGAGCAGCACGAGCAGACGAGCAGCGGATGGGTGTCGGCCGTGGCAGAAGCCAATCACTGAATCCATACAACGAAAGTTCCTGGGAGACGGAAGAAGAGGCAAGAGAAGCTTTGGGAAGTCGTTTTTCGCAATGAAATGTTTGCTAGCGAAAATTTAGCTGTATCATTATTCTAGCTCAGTACGATGATCTGTATAGCTACAACGTGGAACTCACATATAATTGCCGATGATAAATGGACGAATACCGTATGAAACTTCCGAACGCTGACTGATGATAACCAATTGAAATACTCATCATTCCGCACGACATTCAAAGATGTGTCGGTGCGTATGAAGGCGTTATAACTACAACTTGAGAGACGATGGAGAATACGCATATCTAAATGCAAAATGGTAATTAAAACCATGCAAAAAGTAGGCTTCTTCATTGACAGAAATTATGTTTTCTTTCGAGGATTCTAGCGATCGGGGTGGGGTGAATCAATCAAAAGCGTCGATACCCTTGGTCGTGCTTTCAACGCGTAAACCAAGGTGCTGGCTGTCAGAACTTACAATGTATCCCGCCACGTCGTGGTCCACAATAAGCAAGTTTGTTGTAACAGACATGGGATATCAAAATCTCACTTGCGCGTTTTTTTTAGCTTTTGTACGCCTTCTTGGCCTCTTGAAATGTTTTTCAGGCAGTTCGTTTTGAAGACAAGATACACGTGAGATGCAAGCGTGACTTATCGTAGCGAGTTCGTCGACCCGCACCCCTCGCAGGTCCCTTCAAATACTAAGCCATTCGACCTATCCGTGTTATCTCCTTGGCACGTACGACACACCGCTCTGGGAGCAAATTGTCCTCGTGTTTCTTACCATCGTTGTTCATCGCCCTGATTGCAGCCAGCGATCCTTCGACATTGGAATTGTATCATTTCTGCGTGATACTAAATTGAAACTCGAATGGCCAGCTGCCTTGCCATAGCTCGAGACCATTCTGCAGGACAGGGCTTACCATGCTTACCATAGTGAAAACATTCGAGCGCCAATATACAAGTTGCCAATTGTTGCCAGCGGTGGCGGTGGGTTGACTTGGATGCTACTAGTAGACCGATGCCGTACAAATCGAGGTCAAGATCAAACCATGAATCCCAACTCACTCGCTTACGGCTACTAAATTTGACTCGGCCATCGCGTTTCTGTGTGCTCTAGAAGTGAGAATGTGGGGTGGCTAATTTTTTGTTCCAAATACACTGGGGGAAAAAGCTGTCAATGTGCAAGGCGATGTTTCAAGTTGTACTTAACATACATGACAGGCGATGTCACCAACAAGTCGATGGTACCAGAAATCTTTCCAGTTCTTGGAATAGCCACAACATCGAACCTAAACAAGAAAACTACGAAACCGACAGTCTCTACTATGCTTAACGTAGCAATACGCCATGGCTTCAGCACTGCATATCACCCGAATTGCAAAACTTAAAGGGTTAGTAAAGGAAAAACGAGCGCTCAAACTGCTACCTGAAGTACTTCTAACCTTCAATCATTGCCAAAACTATTTTGACTATTGTCTGATTAACAAATATTCTTACGGCTCCAATCGCTTGGGGTCCCTTGGGAACAGCGATGCACGACGGATGTTGTTCAGTTTCAAGAACATCAGCACTCGCTGGGCACCCCATGCGGAATCCGTCCAGGTAGCCTGACATACTCTCGGGATTGACCCCCTTGCCTCGCATCTGCTCTGCGTGGAAAGTAGGGTCGTGTATACGCTGCGCACCAGAGAGAATCTCTTCACCACGCATGAAAAAGTCATACGAGGGAGAGAGGCTCTGACAGACAGGAGGTGAGTGGGAAAATACAGGATCTTCAGGGTCAGACATGGTGTAAAATGGACAAAGGGCCATCGGGAATTTGTCAATAATGAAATAGTCGGTATCATATTTTGTTTTCACAATACGCCTAAGTCTCTTTTCGTTTTCGGTGCTGATAAGTTTCGTCTGTTAATATCAGAGCCTGGAGGGGTATATTAGATAACGAACTTAATGTCATCCAATATCTCTCTGTCAACACCATCTTCGGTCAGGAGTCCTACTGCTTCCTTGAGTGTTAGTGTAAGCGTCCCCTCTGGGCCTTCTCTCCACTTGAACTCGTCCGCGGGGAACTACTTGCCCACCACTTCGATTTCTTTTGAGTACTTCTCCTTCAGACCACGGAACATACTCAGCAACATGCCGTCGAGCAATTTGCGTACTTCGTGATAGTGTTCCTCGCTGATCATCTCGAGATCGAGCTTTATGAACTCTGTCATATGGCCATCTGTTTGGCAAGTTAGGACGATTGTGCGAGGAAAGCGGTGCCTATAAGAGCCATTCATAAAATGTTCAAAAGCGGAACAAGGCCGATATACCTTTGAAGTAGCTAACTTTGAATACTGATGCAAATATAAGGATTTCATCAAGTTCCCCCTCCTCTCTCGAACGGAGGTCAATAAAATTACAGCCGAGTAGCTTGTGATTCAGACGGTAAAACCAACGGTGTAGTGATGTCGTGGTCTCGCAATGTATCTCGGTATGGCCACAAAAGAGCTCTTACTCTCTTTGCCTCATCATCCTTTCCACACTCAATATACTCCAGTTTCTTCTGTTCTACGGCTAACCGAACCTTCTCAAACTGATCAAGGTCACCCTTGATATAACCAAACTCGCCCAAATTGAATGTTCGGTCCAAATCTTCCAACATTTCGCGATGTCGTAACCACATAGTATGATGAGCTTCAAGGTCATCCAACTCCTCGGAAGAGTATTCCACGGGACATGTGCTTTCAGGAATAATGTCTTCCCAAAGCTGGTAAATATGAAACAACGCCATCCTTGGTGATAAACCTCAGCTATTAATAGGAAAGTATTCATCGTAGTCGACACACCGAAAGGGTATCAGACCGTATTTCCATGTCACTTGAGCAAGGTCCTCGAGATAAATCCGCTCTTGACGAGCCTTCATATTGAATATTGGCAGCGGGAACGCAGCAAGTTCAAACAACTTGTGGTGAATACGGCGCTTGTGGCTCTCCTCCACCTCTGCCTTTTCGCTGGCACAAAGCTCCTCAAAGTTTTCGGGAAGCACAGGTAGCTGGCGACCGGGTGGCACACCATCCATGCGATACAGGGGCGGAACCTGGAGCTGCAAAAATGCTGGTCCAATCCACGTCCCCTGCCAATCAATGATTGACGAAATCGTAAGTGGGATTGTGGGAGAAATCGTGCCCTGCTCTTCGGAGTATTCGACGAAGATATTCGAAGCATGCAGATCGGGGTGCCACATGACGGGTCTTGCTTGTTCATGGAGACATGGGACGAGGATGGGGACAAGCGTGGTGAAGACGGATAACAATGCCACATGGTCGTCGCGACTGCCTTGGCCAGGGAGGATACGGTTCGGGTCGTCGAGGATATGCAACGTGCTGAAGCTATGTATCCAATCTTGCTCTCTACGCGCGACGGCTGTCATGTAGTCCTCTGCAGTGTGCCCTTGCACAGCCTGTCAGAAACAGATATGGGAGGCGTAAATAAGAAGTACTCACAAGGGCCTCTATCTATATTCATGCTCCCGCGTTCAGCCTCCCAAAAGTCCCTGCGTGCAATGGGCCCAATGCAGAATATGGAGTTCAACTCGTCGTCTGGAGAGATCCCTTCGAGTAATGTGGGGGCACGCAATGGAGCGGGAATATCATCCTTGTAGTACAAGCTGCCGTAGTGGGTAAATTTGAGCTCTAGTAGCTGACGCTCGCACTCGCCCAGAGTCTTAGCGAACATGCCTCGTTCAGCTCTGGGCAGATCACCCAAAACGTCCGAAAGGAGGCACCCAGAGGCTTTCTCCATTAAAATGAATTCGGCGCCAACATCCGTGCTCTCGGCACGAGAGTTCCATGCGAGGACTGCTGGTATTGGGAATCCCAGTCGGCGGCGCAAGAAGTCAATCGTGGCGACCTCGCTTGCAGTTGTGAAGTGGGAAGGCCCTGCAAGCGACGTAGGAAAACGCGCAATAGCTTCGCAGCCATTGTTGAAACGAAGGAGGAATACCCTGTTCAGGGATTCATTGATTTTGACCATATCTGTGACGGCATCCGCGCCTACAGCCTCAGCTGCTAGCTTGCAGAACGCTGCGACATTGAAAGTAACGGACCGAGCATCTCGATGTTCTTTGTCGTTGCACAACCAGTATCCTGACGTATATTGAAAGATGGAGTGCAGATCTGTAGGATGTATGATAGTAGAAATGAGTACAGAAACCAATAGAGGAACACTTCATACTTGCCTGGCCTAAATTTGCAACTTTGCGCGTTCTTGCGGGCCTTCTGGCGGACGAAGGATTGTAGTCGTGTGAGCACTGTATGTCAAGTTAGCAACACTCGCGACCAAGGTCTGTTGTACTGACATTTCATTTACATTCGCAAATGCCTGTAGTGAGTGAAAGGACAGGCTCCTCCCCATCTAGTGTTTCGAGGTTTAGAATGTATCTTAGAGAATAGAGACAATTGATCATCTTGACATCGCAAGAAAGCACGTGATGAGAAATCTTTGAAAGTCAGCTGAACTTTGATTCTGAACCTCTCCGCAGCGGCTGGACTTTAACATTTGTAAGGCCATGTTCGGTAGCATCATTTTGCAGATTATATCATGTTCAAAATCACAGATGGTAAATCGGAGCTTGAACTATGACTTCAGGTTATCGGCACTGATTTAGTTAACAATCTACTATCTACAAAGTACCATGTCGACTGAACTGAGTGACGTACAGGCCAAGGTCGGCATCTACCTCCTTGAAGAACTACTGTCGGACGAGGAAGCTATTGCAGATGAAGATGAAGAAGACATTGTGATTACCGCAGCGACCCAAGCAGCTATTTTTTACGCAGAGCCTCTCTTTGACAAGACCCCTTATCATACATTGGTACTCTCTGGCCATGGCTGGATTCAAGAATTGATTGATGGGCATCCGGAATGAATTAGGTGTGAGCTTGGGGTCAAGAGAGAGATATTTGATGAGCTGGTTAGGACTTTGAGAGAAGCAGGGCATACAGATTCGAAGAGTGTGTCTTTGGAGGAGAAGCTCGCCATGCTTTTATACATGAGTGTGACTGGGCTCACTGTCAGACATGTTGGTGAGCATTTTCAACGTGCCAATGACACTATATCAAAGTAGGTTCTTTGTATTTTATGTTTTACTCATTTTTTCTAATGATTTTGCAGGTATTTCAAGGAAATTCTATTCGCATTTTTGTCCGCACCCATCTGTGAGGCAACAATAAACTATAACAAAAACGAAACCTGTCTCCTTCTGCACTTGCAGGGAGTAAGAGGTTCGATGAGCTTGAGGTCGACAGACGCTAGCAAATATAGCAAGTAGAGGACTTTGAGAGGTAAGCTTCAAAGCTTTTCGTTGAGGAGTAAAGCGGGTAAATTCAGTAATAGAAAACTAAGGAACCATACATGAATAGGTAAGGCTTTATATAGTGAACTGTTTGTTCCTCAGACCGAAAGGAGAATAAACAAAAAGTGGTCTGAGGAATTAATCGGCCAATAAGAAACAGAGAGAATAACTATCATATGACTTTTAACTTGATTAATCAGCGGGTGAGAGTTTGTACTAATAATAGAGGTTTGTTACGCGTGTTCAGGAACTGTATCCTCATGATAAGGTACGATCCTGAACAAGGCGTTTATTAGTATGTCCAGGCTCTACTGGGGCTTGGAGCTGGTTGGCGAGATGCCTACTACCAGTCCCTACTCCATGTGCTGGCTAGCTGGGAGCGATACCCAGTCTCTGATCTGTGATATAAAATGGTAGTGATGGTTAAGAAAGCCTGTGAGGGCTATGAGAAGTAAAACGGCGAATGACACTTCTAGCCCTAGAGCCAAAGGTGTAATGGGAAAGGCGTTCGAGAACCAAGACATAGCGAAGATAAGAAAATAATAAAATGGTCCTTACATTACCCCCCCCTTTTATATTCTTGTCCCAAGAATCTTAGCGCCGCAATCTGTAAAGCGGTTTGTGATCCAGTCGAAGAAGTGGGGTTTTTCGGTAGTAGTGGTGAAATTTTCATAAGGGCGGAATTGTAAGGTGGCAGAGGCGATTACGCGCGGGGCGGCAGGGTGTTTGTGATGAAAGGTGGCGATCAGCGAGGGAGAATTCTTTAGGTGATGATCAGGTTCCCACGTCCTTTCCGTGATCGGGTATCCTTTCCAATGGACGAAGTAATTGAGTTTGACCCCTTTTAGTTTAGTAGGTCGTGACACGATGATTTCTTCGGCTTCGTATTCGACCGCGCCATCGACTTGGATCAGCGGAGGTTTCGAGGTACAAGGTTGATTAGGAAATTCCGGCATGTGATACGGTGATAATAGTATTTTGTTGAATACGGGATGGATCACCTTCCATGATCTAGGGACATCAAGGAGATAGGCTGATGGGCCAACTTTTGCTTTCACCGTGAATGGGCCGAATCACTTGTCATCTAGTTTCTTCATCAACCAATTGGTGGAGATATGCGTACCTTCTAACCACACCTTATCTCCCTTTTGATACTCTCGTGCTTCCGTGCGTTTTCGGTTGTAATACTTCTTAAGATTTTGATTAGCGAGCAGCAGTGATTGCCAGGTCTGCTCATGTAATTTTGTCATAGAAGTTGCGAAGTCTTCGGCAGCTTGCGAGCGTCCGGAAGGCTTCTGACCAGTCCCTTTACAAGGGTGAGAACCATAATTTACGAAGAAGGGGGTCTGATTGGTCGCGGAGTGAAGGTGATTGTTGTATGTAAATTCGGCAATGGCTAGCCAATCAGCCCAGTCGTCTTGTCGGTGATTAATGAATGTGCGCAGGTAGTGTTCCAGATCTTGATTGATTCGTTTGAATTGCCCATCAGTTTGGGGGTGGTAACCTGTTGATAGACCGGGTTCAATCCCAAGGGTTTGATAGAAATCCTTGGTGAAGTTCGACATGAATTGAGGTCCTCTATCTGATATGATTTTTTCCGGGATACCGTGTAGTCGTATTACTGAATCTCGCAGTTGTTTGGTGTAGCCTAACAAATCAAGAGTGACGTGTGTTGGTACAAAGTGAGCCATTTTCGAGAATCTGTCAACAAAAACTTGGATAGCGTCGTATCCATTTGACTCAGGTAATGCTCCGATAAGATCCGTCGTAATTATCTGCCAGGGACGATCAGGGATCGGATTTGGATGGAGGGGAGCGTGTGGCTTCTGGCGATGCGACTTTGTTCTCTGACATATCTCACATCCTGCGACATATCTCCTGATATCTCTCCTGAGGCTAGGCCACCAGAAGGATCGGTTTACTCCTTTGTATGTCTTTCTTTCGCTGGGATGTCCACTGAGGCTGGTGTCATGTTCTTCTTCGATAATGCGTGCCCTTAACTTTGGGTCTTTGGGTACGTAGATGTTGTTTTTGAATGACCCTAATGTCAATTCGTCTTCTTCCTCGTTTCCTATCCAGATGATCCCATCTCGTTTCTTCCGGATCTTTGGATCGTCTCTCAACTTCTTTACAACGTAATCATCTAGTTTGTGCTGCGAAGCTAGCAGCTCGTCCAGGTAGTGTTCTTCTAATATGTCCTCCATAGTATGAATGTTTGCTTCTGTGAGCTGAGGTAGAAGGACCTGTCCTTCATTGTCTCTCTCGCCTCTCAGATGGTCTATTCTTTGACTAAGTAGGTCCGCTTTCGTGTTTGCTGAGCCTTTTACATGCTCTAATTTGAAATCGTATCTGGCTAGTGTGTCCATCCACCTAGCCTGTCGTCTGTTTACTTTCTGGGGGTCTCGGAAGTAGGTGAGGTTCTGATGGTCGGTGAATATGGTGAACTGGTGTTTAGCTCCCATGAGGAGATGTCGCCATTCTTCCAACGCATGCATTACCACTAGCATCTCTTTATCCCAGATAGCGTAACTTCTCTCTGCAGGGTTCATTGACTTTGACAGGAATGCGACCGGTCTCCATTTCCCTTCTTGCTGCTGGGATAGTACCGCACCTGTGGCGTAGTTGGAGGCGTCACATTCAACTTTGAACGGATTTTCATCATTAGGGATTGCGAGTGTGGGCAAGGTGGTGATTGTCTTTTTGAGAACGTTGAATGCTTGTTGTTGGTCTTCAGCCCATTCCCAGTCTACTTTTCCGGTGAGGATTGTCAGCGGTTTTGCAATTTTTCCATAGTCTCTGATAAATTGTCTGTAAAAGTTCGAAAATCCTAGGAACGACTGTAACTCCTTCTTTGTGCGTGGTATCGGCCATTCTGCGACTGCTTGTACCTTCAGCGGGTCCATGCAAATTGTATCATGAGAGATGATCATTCCTAGATATTTGACCTCTTTCTTCTCGAACTCGCATTTCTCTGGTTTGAGATATAACTGATTGTCTGCGAGTATCTGAAGAACTTTGGATACGATCTTCCTATGTTCTTCTAACGAATCAGTGAATATCATGATATCATCAAGGTATACGATAACAGATCCTTCATTGATCAGGTCTCGGAGAAGTCGGTCCATCATTGTTTGAAAGGTGGCCGGGGAGTTCATAAGTCCAAAAAACATAACTAGAGGTTCGAACAGTCCTCTGTTAGTTCTGAAGGCGGCTTTGTGCTCATCTCCTTCTTTGATTCGAACATTGTTATATCCCCAACGGACATCCAGCTTGGTGAAGAATCTAGCACCTTTGAGTTGGTTTATCAATTCTGAAATGAGGGGTAACGTATATCGGTTTTTGATTGTAAGGGCATTGAGTTTCCGATAGTCTTGTACCGGTCTGAGAGATCCATCCTTTTTCTTGATAAAGAAAAACGGGGATGCATAAGGGGATTTTGACACTCTAATCCTCCCTGTCTCCAGGTTTTCTTTTAAGAATTCGTCAAGATGGATTTGTTCATCGCGGTTAAGTGGATACGTTTTACAGTCTAGACCTTTGGCTTCCAGTAGAAGTTCAATTGCGTGGTCCCAGACCCGTCGTGGGGGTAGTTTGTCAAATGACGCTTTCGTGAATACTGGCTCAAAATGATGATAAAACGGGGGAACAACGTCTCTGAACGTGAGTGTTGATTTTGCTCGTTCTGATTCTTCTGCAATCTGCTGGCTTTTGGTCTGAGATACGTTGCTTTCAACGAAAATTTTGTCAATCCTACTCTGTAGGTCTACAGCGATGACTCTATCTCCGTCTTCAGGGTGATACTCCGTATCATCAGAAGGGTACGTGATAGTGTTTGTTTGCCAGTTGATGTTGGGATTCGTGCATCGTAGCCAATTGTGTCCTAATAAAATTCTGGTCTCCCTCTGTCCAGTAACCAGGAAGTCCATTAATTCCGTGCGGCCCGCCACAGTTAGATGAAGGGTCACATATTCTGTCAGAGGTCCAGTGCAATTTTTGGTTCCATCTGCATTTGAAACAATAACACGAGTCAGAAGTGGTTTCGTGGAAATGTTGTGTTGCCGAACAAAGGCTTCGTCAATGATGGAGTCTGTGCATCCCGAATCTATCAGTACTGGTATGACATGCGTCTGGTGATCGTTGATGGTGGATAATTGGCATTGTAGCGAGAGTTTGCGTTGATGAGATGGGGGAAGGGATGCGAAGTCTTTGATCACATTCAACTGTTCTACAATGTAATCTTCATCGTGTTGCTTGAGCAAATTGATTGTATCCATTGTGATATGTGGGTAACACTGGGGTGAGGCCCAGTTCCGAACCAATGCTTTGGCTCTGTCTTCTTTCTGGTCTTTAATTCGTCGAGCCAACCATTCCGCTGAATGTGGCTTAGCGTATTTCTCGGCACATAGGTTTTGGGAAACATGTTTTGATTTATCAGTTACAAATACATTTTCTGAACCGTGCTTACTGGTCAGAGAGTCCGTGCTTACTCCTGACCTTCGAGAAAATCCTTCGTCTTTGTCTCCTCCTGGGTTGTGGTTGCTTCTCTAGCTGCAACTTTCTTCAGAGGGCAGTTCCTTGCGATATGACCCGGCTGGCCACATCTGTAACATAATCTGAACCAACTCTGTCGGTCTGTATCCATGGGTACGCCTTGTCCGGGGAATACACCTCTCTGAGGTTGATCCTTGAACCTTCTTGCATACTGATTCGTCTGGGTTTTTGCCATCTGCTGTGGCTGCGGCTGTTGCACATGTTGGTGCGTATACGTCTGTTGTCTGTAGATAGGTTGCGACGGCTGCATGACTTCTCTCTTTCATCTTTCGTCTAACTGGAACTCTTCTCTTCTTGCCTCCCATGCGTAGGCTTGCGTTTTCCACTCAGCAAATGTTTTTGGTAGGTCTTTCTGGATGATGACAAAATCGCAGATTCGAGAGTGAAGATTCTTTTTGAGAATGTGGTTGATCACATCAAAGTGAGTGGTAGCATCATATCCGGCCTTGTCCATGAGCGTTGTGAAGTGGCTAAAGAATTCATCGCAATGCTTATTCTCCTGTTTGTATATTTCGATCTCATTTACCGCCTGTGATCTTTCGTTTGGATTCCCAAATACTTGGGCTAGATCGGTCAGGACGGTCGAGAGAGTCAGCCATACGGGGGTAGTTGCATCAAGAGCTTTGGTAAGCACATTCTCTTTCCAAGCTTTTACTGTCGACGTTCCTTGGTCGCTGATTTTGGACAGGAGGTAGATGAGCTTCGTCTTCTCATCTGGAAAGTAGGATGTGTAGGCGGTTAAGTACAACTGTAGTGCTTGGCGCTATGCTATGAATTGTTCCTTTTCTCCTTTGAATTTGAAGGGTTCTGCTGCTAGAGTTACTTTGCCGTGTAACTGCGTGGGATTAGACATGGATGAGGGTTTTGGAGGAATTGGAGGTGGAGGTGGGCGTGTAGGTGGTAGCGGTAGGGTTTGTCTGGGCGGAGTTTCCGGTTCTATGGACGGCTTTGGATTTTGGTATTCGGAAAACACTTTTGAAGATTGAAACAAGGTTTATTTAATTTGAATCATAATCAAACTCATCACTCCAATCGTTAGAAGTAAACCCAAAAATATTTTCTTCTTCTTCCAAATCTCTTTCTACCTGTGAGCTAGTGGTAGAGTTACTGTTTAAGTTCGAGGTTGCTTCATCTGGTGAGGGGGTCCTTTCAATAAGAATGTTTCCTTGGATCAACAATGAGACAGGAGGGATATAAGAGAAGTTTCCTCTAGTCAGATGGTACCCTGGTCTGTACTGCGAGTAGACTCTGTTGTTATCTCAAATAAGCACTCCCCAGAACTCAGTGTTAATTTTGGTAATGATGAAACAATCTGTGGGGTGGCGGATGACTAAGTCAAAGACTTCCTTCGCGTAGTTTTGGTATTCTCTGAACAATCGGCAGACATTCCTAATCTGTCTTTGTTCTTGTTCCCAATCTCTTCCTTCGAGGATCTCGTGTCCGATCTTAAACACTAGTCTGTGAAATTGCGAGATGCAGGCTACTATGCTTCGTATTGCGTCGCGGCAGAAAGGGGTGACAACTAATACATGGACTCCTGTTTTAAGATAGTCTCGTGGGTTAAAGGCGTCGTTCTGTTCGGGAGTGAGGGGAAGGTCGAAGAAAAATGGTATTTCTTGATGAGTCTTCGTAGTACTCAGTTTCTGTGTCGCTGTGGGCAGGCTGGGGGTCCATGGCAGCGTTGACAGGTACTACAACGTGGAGGTCTCTGTTGTTGAGGGCGCGGTGAAACTCTTCGAGTGAACGGCGTTCTTCGTCCGTTACTAGACTCTCTCTGATGTTCAACACTTTGACAATTGTAGAAGTGATCAAAGACGACGGCTAGGGTGAGGACCTGAGCAAGGACAAGTAAGAGTGTTACTTCGAGGTGGGTAGGAATGTTGGAGAGGACAACTAGCTAGCTTAGCTAGAAGGCAAGTGGATGTTTTAACGGGTAGGAGGACGGTGAATGACAGCACGTCCGAGGGATGAAGGAAAAGGTAAGTTAGGGCTATAATGGGCTCAAGCGAGATGGTGCGCTGTGAACGGATTGTAGAGTGAGTTTTCTATTTTGTGAGGCAACGATAAACTATAACAAAAATGAAACCTGTCTCCTTCTGCACTTGCAGGGAGTAAGGGGTTTGATGAGCTTGAGGTCAACAGACACTAGTAAATATAGCAAGTAGAGGACTTTGAGAGGTAAGCTTCAAAGCTTTTCGTTGAGGAGTAAAGCGGGTAAATTCAGTAATAGAAAACTAAGGAACCATACATGAATAGGTAAGGCTTTATATAGTGAACTGTTTGTTCCTCAGACCGAAAGGAGAATAAACAAAAAGTGGTCTGAGGAATTAATCGGCCAATAAGAAACAGAGAGAATAACTATCATATGACTTTTAACTTGATTAATCAGCGGGTGAGAGTTTGTACTAATAATAGAGGTTTGTTACGCGTGTTCAGGAACTGTATCCTCATGATAAGGTACGATCCTGAACAAGGCGTTTATTAGTATGTCCAGGCTCTACTGGGGCTTGGAGCTGGTTGGCGAGATGCCTACTACCAGTCCCTACTCCATGTGCTGGCTAGCTGGGAGCGATACCCAGTCTCTGATCTGTGATATAAAATGGTAGTGATGGTTAAGAAAGCCTGTGAGGGCTATGAGAAGTAAAACGGCGAATGACACTTCTAGCCCTAGAGCCAAAGGTGTAATGGGAAAGGCGTTCGAGAACCAAGACATAGCGAAGATAGGAAAATAATAAAATGGTCCTTACAAATATCCACAAGTTTCTTCAAATCCGCTCCAGTCTATATGGCCTTTGGCCCCTTTTTCTTCTTTGTAGTTGTTTGATTACTTTTGTTGTTGATGCTCGTCATTTTCAATAACCATAGAGGGTACTGTTGTGGGGGCTTGGAAAGCCTGCTGCTGGCTGGCCTTCGTGCCATCAATAGTGTTATTTGGTGGGTAAATTGATGGTATTGATACAGGTATTCTATCTTCAAAGATGCCCAATTCTGTATTACCCTATGACCAGCCTGTTTGGCATTCGGCATTGTTAAGCCACCTGGCACAATAAAGTCACAACTCAGCATCATCAAGCCACCCGGTGTCATGCACCAAAGTTGATTGGTAGCATAGACAGGTGTCAATAACGAAGCGAATATTCAAAAAGACTCGCCTTTGCGCCACACAGGCACAGTGCCACGTGGAATAGTAATCAATATTGCCTTTTTCGAACTTGTAGCTGATCAGCATCACCTCTATTAGGCAATCCAGTCACGCTCACCTTTGCTTTTCCATTCGGTACTTTTGGCGTTTTGGCGTTTTGGCAAATTTTCGTGTCGCCACTGGCTACACATTGCATTGCGCCCTCGCTTTTGTTGTTTCCCTTACTCCCCTTCCTTTGCCTAGCCCCACCATGGGCCCCTTCCTCTCCTTTTTATTCTCACCTGACGGTCATTCCTGGATCCCCATTCTAATCCACTTTTTCGTCACCCTCCTCCTCCTCATCTTATTTGCACCCCCACCATTTCTGATGTCACCACTTCCTATCTGCTTCCGTCGCCGATCCGTTGACTACCACGTGCCACTGCTGATATCAGCAAAGCCCCGGTGGCCGGTCCAAATAGGGCAACAGGTCCATCTTCATGATGTCGATCTGCCATCATATACTATCAAAACATCAGTCGCTCGTCTCGCCTGGTTGGAGCATGGGTGGGTAGTTTTTGAGCTGGAGAAGGTTCATCCCCTTGTGTTGCCCATGTTCATCGCTGTCCCATTCACTTGGGTACACTTATCTTTTATCCATTGTCTTTGCTACAGCTACACCTACCACACACTGCCTGGGACTCACTTGTTCCAAATTGGGACTACTCTTCTCCCTCCCTCGTTTGACCAGGTGGTCCAACACAACCAGTCCATTGGTAAGGCCATGGAACTGTCGGATTTGGACTAGGTGGTGGACTGGTGGCTCCAGTTTCTTTTTTTTCAGCAGAACATTCATTTGCAGTGCGATTATTTTGATTTTTGAATCATTTTTATGGACACATATTTTTTTAGAATGCCTGACTGACAATAAAGGAACTGTGTTGATACTGATAGTGTTTTGCCTTGCCCTTTTTTTTACTGCATCTTCCCATGACATCATGATTTTCCTGCTCTCTTTTTGCTATTGGACTTTACTCTATGGCTGTACAAACCTGTGGCATTACTCACAGCATTCATTGTTCTATCCCTTTTTTTTCCTTTTTTTGACAATCTTATCCTGTACTACCTACGCAGGATCCGTCAGCATACATTCCTTCCTTCATGTTCTTTCTCATTGTTTTTGCACAGCTATACTGTGCATAGCCTACTTCTCTTTTACTATATAAACCCCTATATTCTACCTTGTAAAAAGCAAACAAGAACTCGAATCCAGACTTCTTCTCTAAATCTTAAGTTCACTACTCTGCTACTTGTGATCCAGTGTGGTCACAACACTTCCCACTGCTACCACTGTTAACTGCTGTCATCGTCACTCATCACTTTTGAAAGTGATTGTCATCCCTTTCAATTAGAGTTTTTCTGAGCACTACAGTTTGTGCGTCAGGAGCCTGCTATCACTGGGAACCTCGTTATGTTGTCATTCTCAAACCTACCTTGTGCTAAGATTAGCAAGGTAGTGCTCATCCTATATTTGTCTCAAAAAGCCCCTATCTTCTATAGTTCAACTATCCCTCCTCCTCAAAACCCACACCCATACATCTCTGGGTTTTACTTTGAAGGATTGTCATACATACCACCCCACAAACAACCAGAGCACCCACTGTTCTAGGAGTTCCGTGGAATCTGGGAGGATTGTGTGTTAGTTTGTTTTTGTGTGTGGTTTTTTGACAGCAGTTCTCATCATCGACAGCAGTGTACTGATTGATTTGGGACCCCTTCCCACACAAGCTACAGATACTATCATAGCCTAGAGTCCACTTAACAGCCTCCATTTCAAAATGAGAGCTGTTTGCAAATGCACTCTAGCCTTTTATCCAAATGAAAGGCCTTTGGGGGGAGCCCGCCTTTGGTGTCAATAAGCAACAGGTGGTGCCACAGCTGAGCTTTGGCATCAAGCGGCATTAATGGATGACCAGCATGGGTTAGCATATGATGGACTCAAATAAAAATGTAGTACTATTGTTGGACAATAAGTGCAATTGGTCTGGGGAGAAGTTGAATAACTCACCAGTAATTGAGCTTGAGACTGTTGGAACTTGACCAGTAGATATAATTTTTAGTTTTTTAGCTGTCTATGTAGAAAAATAAGCAAGAACTTGAAGCATTGGAGCAGCGGAACAAAACCAAAAAGACAACACACAATTTGGAATGGTTCTGCAATTTCTGGTTACACTGGGTCACAATGGCACTCACAGACCAAATTAGGTGGAGCTTATCAGTCAAATTCTGGCATGTCATACCAATTCCTGATGTTTGTGACAACACCAACAAGATACAATCTTGGGGCACTGGAGCACAACCTCAAATGTTACAACTCAGCAGAATAATGGCACAACCTATCAAAGGAGGAAGATTGTCTTCACTAGGAGAGGAGTTGCTGTTATTCCCCATATATTGCTCAGGTATATATACTATAATACATGAGGTACTGTACAGTTGTAAATAAAATTCAAAGTCTGATGTCTAGCATGTGACTGGTCACATGATGAGTCTAGACACTGGTCAGGTGATACATCACGTGATTGGTCTTGTGACTATGAAAAGTCCTAAATGTAATGTACAGTAAATAGTCACGTGATCAGTCACATGACTTGGAAAATGAAAAGTAAAAGTACAGAAAAGTAAGGCAAAAGTAGGTGCTGGTATGTCTATTATAACAAGCCATGGCCTGGCTCTCAGAGGAATGGCCAGCCAGAGGATTACTTGGACTATTGGCCATCATGGGCATCACGGGGGTACACCCACATATGCTTCTATTGGACATTCACCAAGGCAATAGAACCCAAAATCTGTTGAGGTGGCTCTGCATGCAGCCTTGTCTACATTGCCCAGGGTCCTGGGGCAGCCACACAGGTATTAGGGGTCATACTGCTATGACCCTAATGTGTTTGGTGGTAGAAATGTGTGAGGCAACATCTGTCAGAACCATGGCCTCTTCAGAGTAACAGAGCTGCGGAGTACAGGGACGGAGTAATGGAGTACGGAGGACAAGATGGGGAACCGGCTTAGCTTGTGCGCTAGACCCTTCCACAGGCCTTGGTCCCTAACTCATTGGAAGTGGACGAAGGAGAAGTAGAAGATGAAAGGGAGCAGAGTTAAAGATCCTTCGGAGAAGGAGGATTGGAAATGATTTTAGAAAAGGACTGGTAAGAAAGTGAGGGAATCTAGTTGATATTCAAACTGCGGGAACGGAGTACAGGAGCTACAACTTATATACTGTTGGAGGAGCAGGAGTAACTCGTAATGTAGGTATGGAGTTCCATGTGGACAATTATCTAGCGAGAGAAGAATGTATGTGTGAGGAGTGTATCATAAGGTCTAACTACAGAGTCCATGAGCAATACTAGAACGTGCAAGGAGAAATGTATGGCGGACTAGAAGTCCAGTGCAGGAGTATCAGAACGGACAACTGGAGTACCATGTGGGAATGGAGCATAGAGTTATGCCAACCGGCAGACCACAAGGAACGTAATGTTACAACCAAGAGTTTGTATACTCTGGCGCACAACTTAGACAACCAAGAGGGAAGTGAGTGGGAGTGAATACCCCTTATGATAGGACCAAGTTTGTTGTGGGTAAACAACAGGAGGACTCGGTTAGGAGTCTCCTTGATCTATTAGGGTTTATATACATCTACAGACTATTTGTACATGTGTACTATACAGTTGATGAAGGCAGTGGCTGATGATGTCATAGGGCACAGCCTGTGTGACCAGCTCCACCGCATGAGAGACTTGTAGCTAAGAATAAAGAAAAGCAGTGCAGCACAAGAAAGTGGAGTTTAAACAAAAATGGAAAGTGCTGCATGGCACAGTGTGTGAAACTACAAAAGAAAGTTAAAGTGGAGAATGAAATTTAAAGGTCTGAAAATTGTGTATTGTAACACGTAATCCCAAGTATACCAATGGTTTGGGGGTTTCAGGCTCAGAGATGCCAGAGTTTTGTCTTCTGGTACGGATATGACAACATCAAACTATAATAAAACAAAACCTATCTCTGATTGCACTTGCAGGGAGTAAGAGGTATGATGAGTTTTTAAGGTTGATAGATGCTAGAGAATATAGCAAGTCGAGGACAAGGAGTAAACTCAAGGGTTTTTGATAAGGAGTAAAACTGGTTATTTAAGTAATAAAAAGCTAAGGAATCATACATCAATATGTAGGGTTCTTATAGCTAACTATCTATCTCTTCAGACCAAAAGAGGAATAAAAGAAACTGGTCTGAGGAAAGAATTGACCAATAAGAAAAAGAGTAGCTATGGTACAACTTCAGAGATTGACTTCAGATATTGATAAGCAGGTGGGAGAATATACTAATAATAGATTTGTCAGGCATGCTCAGGAACCGTATCCTCATGATGAGGTACGATCCTGAACCAAGCCTTTATTAATATATCCAGGCACTGATGGGACTTGGAGCTGGTTAGCGAGATCTCAGCTACTAGTTTTTACCCATTGTGCTGCCTGGCTGGGAGTACTACCTATTCTCTGATCTGTGATATGAAGTGGTATCTATGGTTAAGAAAACCTGTTAGGGCAATGAGAAGTAGAATGGCAAAGGACACTTCCAGCCCTAAGGCCAGAGGTGTAATGGGGAAAGTGTCTGAAAACCAAGACATGGGATGAAAAGGTAAGGAAAAGTAAATGGTCCTTACAGAATGTTGCTCCTACACTCTCATACAATGCAATACACTGATAAGGATAATGATCTTATATGGTCATACATTGAGTTTACCATAGTGGGCAAAACTATCCTTCCATTCTACAGGGATATGATCACTGCAATACACATATTTGGTTCCTAGTGGAGCCAATGCCAGTGAGCCGGAATTCAATTGCTGACAAAAAATCCAAACAGCCTGGGCCACTCTCAAAGTGGAGTATGAATGGGACAACCATGCTACCCGCATCACTTTTTGACAAAGCTTCTATTCACTTTCTCACAATGCGTCAAAAAATGTCATGACCTATGTATCAGCACTATTCACCATTATCCATCAATTAGAGGCTATCAACCTTAAGCCCTTGGACGTAGAGATCACAGACAAGCTACTTGCTGGCTTGGATATTTTATTATCCCCCCTCTGAACATCCCTTACTCTCAAACATCCAGCTCCCACAACAAAAGAGATCATTGATGTATTGAAACAATATGAAGACAACAAGATTAAACCTTGGAAATATTACAGCATCAATCAAGTTCTATACATGGCATTGACTTTGATTGGGGCAATACAAAGGGCCGCAATAATGCTTGTTGGCATTGTGGACACCTCAGTCATGTGGCACAAAACTGTGTTGCTGACATGCCTGATGACATAAAACAATGAATTCTTACAGGTGGGCACAATTATGCATAAGTGCACATTGCCACAATCAATAATTCTCCCACAATCCCCATTGATCCTGCAAAAATTTTTGCCACTGATGAGTCTTCCACCACATGGCGTTAATTGTCCCTGTTGTGACCCTGATTTGGATGATTATTAACTCAGGGGGTGTGTTGGAATACATGATGTCAAGTCTCACAACATTACAAATATGTATAAATAGTTGTTAATTTCCCATTTTGTAATTACTTCTTCCCGTCTCCTTTTTATCTTATCTCTCGAGTTTCAACAGAAAAAGCTCATCCTCATGAACTACTCCCACACCAACTCTCACACATTCAATATTCTACCCAGCACTGCTACAAAGCTTGGCATACAAATGCTCACTTCTCCTGTTGTTGAGGAATGCATGGACATCCCACAGGTGGGCCAGACTGCAGGCCAGAATGGAGACTTGAAAGGAATGCAGACTGCATATGTTGGTTGTCAAAAGAGCGGGACAAGTGACACAGCTTCAGAATAGAAGTACCTGGACCTGGGGCAGCTCTTGTTCTTTTCAGATCCAAAGGGAGACTCTATTATTTCAAGACTAGGTTATGCTCAAGACTAGGTTATGCTGTAGGAGCCATTGGAATAACAATTTCATAGTTAAGTGGATTGATAATCACAATGTTGTACTTGCTGCTAATGTCTTCTAATGCCAAATGGTGTCTATATCTCTGTGTATTATATGTCACCTTATAATTACTGCAAAGAAAAAGAACCGGTAAATGCACATAGACTACGCATTTATCCTCAATATTATAGAGCCTCGTCCCACTAGAACGAGGCTCCTTGGTCCCGTCGGATTCTTTACATAAATTTTGTACGGGAACAGTTTACATGTCAAGAGCATTCTTTCTACATTATAGCCTGCCATTTCTCCACTAACAAATGTACTTTCACGCCAACTTCAATAAACAACCGCACGCTGTACAGGATGAAAATGTATTGCATGCAATACTATAGCTATCGACAATTGTTACTACGAATTCCAGTCACAGCAATTCGGCGCCACAGCCCAAGCTGTCCAAACATTCTTTGCTTATAATATAGACAAACAAGGAACTGCAAAGGAAATAGAAGATAACTTGAAACTCACCATGTGGACCACAATACTGTACCAGTCCTGTAAATGCAAGATGAGAACCACGAAGAAAAACATCCATAACAAAAAAATATCAGAAGGGGTTGCCCGAGTTTTTGAGCTGTGGCGGGCCTCTTCGGCAGTAAGAATACGAAGACCGTCGTGATAAAGCATCATAGAAGGGAGAAAAGGGGGAAGTAGATAACTCACAGTATCAATCAAATCATGATGAAAATCGAATATGAACAGCTCTTGGGGATTCACAGAGCAGTGCCTGTGAGATAGAATCAGCACCAAATTTACGAGACTTTAACAAGATAGGCTCAGAATTCAAAAAGAACAGCCAGGAATTCACATCAAACTTCCTCGTGAGAGGCAGATCAGGCGGTAACTCCATAGTAGCATCATAGCCAACAAAAAAAAAAAAACGGGAGGGGCGACTTACAGCTTCGCCTAACTCTAATGTGGGTCTTGAAGATAACCATGGAATAGGTATATCTGCAATAAAATAATGAGTAATGAGGAACGAGGACCATTAAACACGAATATGATATCAGTGGATTGACAGATAAGTGAAAAGCATCGAGCCTTGCAGGCACTCATATACTCTAGTTTGAATGATGTAGATTCATCTTACGAACGAAAAAGAAGTGTGATAAGAATGATGAACTACTCACACTGGATGAGAATCATGACCTGCGAGCTTCGGCATAACTATACATAGGATTAGCGATGCCACAAGTTGCCTATAGACATAGAATTAGCACATAGTATTAGCGACGTTTCGACAACTGAAAACAACATCTGCAGAAAACCGATCAGTGTAACTATGACAAAAAGCATAAAACATCGCTTCCAAGTCTAGGTATGACAGGATGCTTGTGAACAAAATAAAATTCATCGCGTCGAAAGAACAAAAAATTGGAGACCATATTGCAGAACAACTTACCTCTCCATTGAGAGCACCATCTCTTCGTCCATACAACATTAGATACAATTGAAGAGGTGACCATGAGACATAAACTCTACATAGTTTGTGGGACGAAGGGACGAGGATTATAGAAAAAATTACGAGTTTTTCATGCAGGACGTTTAGGGCAGGTCAGGCAGGCCTCGCGCGATGGCGTATATATAGATTATGTAACCTGTACACTTGGGGGAAACGCCACGCCACGCACGTGCCTATGTTCAGAAAGTGATCCTGCGCTGGTCTACTTAGGTTTGGAGCTCGCTAGTTGCTGGTGTGATCAGATACATCATGTATACATGATGTTCGTCAACCAAATGTATCATAGCTCGCTAATTGCTGTTGTGATCAGATACATCATAAACACATGATGTTCGTCAACAAAACAAGGCTTGAAAGATAGTTCGTCACTGCATCGTTATCATGATTGATATAAGTTTGGACATTTCCTCTCAGACTCGGAGCTGTTCGGGTCTCTAGGCTTTTAGTGAAGTCGCCGTGATCATCTCCAGCAGTCTATAATGATATGACCCCCAGCCTTGGTTATCCCTTGTTTGTTCTACGTTTCAGTGGTATGTCTTGCTTGTTGTTGGTCTTCACTAAGGTGTACGAGTTTGCATCTCTAGCTCCTGGAAAATTTAGACTGAGCGTGCCCAAACCCTGGATCTGTGAGCATCCATCAAGGCCTTTGAGAAAGATGGGCTTAATCATCTGCGTGATGATACGGCGATACTGGACATAGCTTTATTGTTCAGCGTCCTTTCGCGGGCTCGAAATAGATCACATATACCCCATTTCTTGGATCTGTACGAAATCCAGTGCAAAGATGTTGATATGTATTCCAGTGAGCTCACTTCCTGCTGCTTTTGCAGATAAAAGCTTCAACCCGTGTAGGTTGTATTCGCTCTTATTTTCCTTACTCATACGTCAAACCTTTGACGACGAGGCCACTAAACTAGCATAATGTTCACTTCCTTGGATGGCACGCTCGGTGCTATGTATATGGGTGTCGTGTTATCCGCTGTGTACGAAAATTTGCCGCTGCTGTCTTAATCTTCTTATCGATGTGTATCCAACAGTCTATTTGGCTTCTCGTGTATACAGCTTTTCATCTACTTCCAGACTCATTGGAGAAAGGCATGGCTAGGATATAAGTCAATCGTATGTCTGCAGCCTCCACCCCTCCTCGTTGTTGACGTTATACCCATAGTGCGTGTCTTTGTGGTAGGTAGATATATGACAGTTACACATCCTTGCCGACTTTCTTCTTCTTCAAGGCTTATCGATGCCTTCCATTTTGCCCTTATCACATATGGAGTGTACTTCTTATCGGTGACCAATTTCGATAAAATCTCAGTGCTTACACATAGTATAATTTGGCCAATACGCGTGAGTTCGCATATTCTCTAAGATGAATCCTGATGAGTCTTAATTCATTTATCACAGCTACAAGTCGTAATTACCGTAAGCAGAATGCCTCGTTCAATCAATGTATCCTTCTCTGAGGCGTACTATAACAGGTAATTGTTAGCATAAGTGCTCATTGGTGTGTTTCGTATCTGTCATTTCTGCATTGTCAACTAATTTGTTCAATATATGTAATTAAATATTTGTAGCCTCTATCTCCATTGCATCTGGATTTGTAAGTCATCAGAGTCCTCTATGCGAGAAATTGTATTTGTCCTTCGAAAATGGCTTATACGTGTGTCATTACAGTATGCCATGGTAGAAAAAGGCTGCTATTGACAACAGTGGTATGTTATTTACCCTCATGTATAGCAACGTCTAATGACAGCGGACGGGTCCACACAGTGTTTTGCGATCATTAGCTCAGCAGGTGCGATCCAAGTCAGTGTTTATGGTCGCCACTCAGCTTTTCTAATTCAATGTGCCGATGCTCCTCCACAGCCTTCTCGCTCTGTAAGTTTATTACATATATTTGTTAAAAACACTCAGAATAACAATGGTGATTTATAGATCTTTGCTACTATGCGTGAGTATTGAAGATTTCTCAAGATATAGATTTTAACAACTTTACTTGCAAATTATAGGTACCGCAATTCGTATATGACGCATATACTCGGGAGCAGGGTGAGTAAAGTAACGGATATCTTAAGGGCGCCCTAATTGAGCGTGGATGCTTTATATTGGATCTCAGGTGGTAATGGTGTTTTCCATAGCCTCTATGGGGTTCACAGACCTACTGATTGCGATCACTATGTGCTATCTTTTGAGAGCCTCAAAGACAGGGTTTGACGGGTACAGTGTCCTGCTCCAACCCGGTCAACACGCTCCTTACTTTATCCTCCCCTCACACACAGAACGGATTCAAGGCTCAAAACCCTTTCCATATACGTTTTAAGTTCCGGTTGCCTCACCAGGTTTGGTTTAATGCTATGTTCAACGATCGTTTTGCTGACTATGGAACTGAAGCTTGGACTGCATTATCACCTTTATCGCGGTATGCTTCAATATCCGTATCCTGTTATACTGCTTACACACGCGTTTAGTGTGCAGCAATGCCTGGCAACTTGATTTATATGGCGGGGGAATTTCTACTTACAACACGTGAGTCATCTGGTTTATTTCGTGTCCTGTAATCCAAACATTCAGGGATATATAAAAGTCTATGTCAACTCTTTCATGGCAATGATGAACTCTGAATATTACCAAAGTGGCGGGAAAGGGGCGTTATTTTCCGGGATCGCTCCAAAAAGTGCCTTCCACAGCGATAGCCAACGTCGAGTCACTTTCGTAGAAAGTGATAGTGAGACAAAAGACAACCAATGCGAAGGTTCACACGGGAGCGATAAGCACTACGATAAGCCCTACCCTAGGCTCTCCACGATGCCTGTGAGTATTCAATCGTAATTATCGCACAAAAGGAGTTCACACTTAGTTTTCACACAAAGTCCTATCGTGAACCTGTAGAAGTGGTTATAGAAATGGAACATATATCACAAGAGATCTGAATCCAGTTTCACGGAGTTTACCGAGCAACGTTTTATGATGCTTCAGGAGCAAGTATATTTATTTTGTAGTTGTCGATTAAAATTGAAACCCTAGTCATACTTCTGGCTTCAGACCTGGACTGTCGCCATTAGCTTGTTTTTTAAACTTACCACGATTTCTCAGTACGATGACTAAAACTGTACAGCAATAAAGAAACCTAGAGCTCGAACTAAGACACGGTACGAAGGTCTGAAGAACACATACAACTGAGATGCTGGGGAGGCTATGCGGTGGATACTATTGAAAAGTGCTTCGTGTCTGTACTAGGTATGCGTATCTACATTTATCTATGTTGATAATGTTTGGGAAGTGAGATAGTACAAACCGATTACACCGGCCCCACAACTGTTTGTTTTGTTTTGTTCAAATGAGCTAATGTTTCGGCAGATAGGCCCAAGTGCTCCTGAACGAGCTGAGCCGGGATTAACGCCAGCCACTTGGGAGAACGGTAAGTTTGAAGACTGCATAATACAAGGAAAATAATACCTGTTGCAGACCAATATCTTGGTAACGGTCTAGTAAAGCCAACGGGGTCAGAGCACCACGGCGTTGTTGTATGATGCTAGTAGCTCACCAGATCTGAACACTTCCAAAAACCTAAGCGTAGTATTCCCAGTATTTTCGATGTAATGCCCTAGCAGATACGTGAGGTTATGCAGTACGTGATACGTGGAACGCAGCTTACCATTAGACGCGGGTACATAGCCGATGTCGCCAGCCTGAAGGGGAAAGGTAAGCAAGGTCTCGCAGAAAACAGTGTCTGATACTGATACATACTTTGAAGTCGAAAGTTCTTGCGTTGCTTTGAGCCGCATAGATAGTCATGCGACCAGTGCCTTCGCTGTATGAACATGAGTCAAGTGCAAACCGCAAGAACTGAAAACGGAAACAAACAGGAAAAAGCTCCATTCATCTTGGGTTGGATGCCACTGCCAAAAAATGATTATTTGCAAGAGATATTTCCTCGTAGATAATACTTACGTGTAATTCCCTTAGTCGCGATAAATCAATTTTCATATCTGACAGTTGATAGGAGGAAACATACCTCATAGCTCCGGGTTCGACAATGACTTCTGCGGCGGCGATAGTTTTGGAGGCAGGGAATGTCGAAGAATCGAGAATTTTGAAAGATCCACCACTCAATGGAGTAAACGATGTCTTCGAGAAAGGATACGTGTAGGAGTCTGGAATCGTCCCCCCAGCGCTCACCGGTAGTTGTTTTTCATCAGGAGAGGAAGCTGGACGACTATTAGATCATTTTATAGAAAGCGCAACAAGGAACAAACCAGCAGGGTAAATATATAACTCCTCGGATGGGATTCGATCAAATGCAGACATCGGGACTTGGAAATTCTTTGCAAGAACTTCTTTGGGAACATGCGAAAGCCAGTCTGTCAACTAAGGGAGTACGATCAGCCAAACCAAACAATCAGCCAGACCAAACTTTGCAAATATACCATGGTCACTTACCAAGAATGTAGAGTCTTCGCTAAAGCTTCCATCGTCAAACACCTATAAAACAGTTCAACACTAGTCCTCATATACCTAATGGAAAATACCAACCAGGATGAATTCGGCACCATCGACAGACTCGTTTGTAGCCTGGATACTAAATCGAGGATCAGGAGACATGCAGGACGTGATTGATTGATGTATTTTTACCTGTGAGGCATGCCTGCGGGAAAATACCACACATCACCCGGGCCCTACGTGCACAATGAGGAGTATATCACTGGGAGGTTCATAACATCACAAACACACTTACGATTGTTGACAAAAAGTTCTGGCCATTCTGATTAATCGAAGTGATCTGAACGGAACCCTTCATGATGTAGCCCCACTATAATTCGTGAAACTTTTAGTATGTGAAATTTTCGCTTTAAGTCGGCGAACTGGCCTCTGCAGTTCCGTGCCAGTGAAGTTCGCTGTGGGATGAAAGGTGAGATTCGTGTTAAATACAGCCACAATACACTAGAACTTACCGAACCGCACCGGCATCCAAACGCATGTTAACGCCAGCGATTTCTATTTACAAAGTAAGCCTAGAATGAATAAGCAATACACATCAGATACTCACGGGTCGCAATAGGCATGGATTGAACTATATGAATTGTTAGCCAGGTAGACATGCATACACTGCAAAAAGAAAAACATACTATTCTGTTGGCGGGCCCACCCCCCTGTTTGGAGGCGATTATGGCTTAGACCAATGGGCCATTTTGCATTGGGCCTATCCCGAAATCAGTAAAGCTTGTATTCACCGACTGCGCGACTAAGTTACTTACATGTCACCATGGTCCGTTGTGGGCGGGGCTAGCATGTCTGCGTTCTCCTTGTCGATTGCAACATTCTGGGGACGAAGAACAGATCCACCGTATGGTCCACGGACAGCCTCTGGAATGGTGTGGCTATCAGGAGACCAGAGGATTGGATTGGCATCATCGCTCGCGAATGGATCCGTTGGAGTAGAAGGTTCAGCAGAAGACGATACTGTAGCATCAGTGGTGGCATGGGTGTCAGCTGGAGCTCCTGACACAATGACGGCCAACGTGAGCGAGTAAAGTAGAATCCTTCCAAGCTTCAGCTCGAGTGAAAGCATGTTTAGCAACGAGTGGGGAATCAGAAACTAAGGGAATATCGTAGGCAGTCACCAGCGATGCTGAGAGACACTCGACGGACTTATCCCTTATATAAGGTTGAGGGGGAGGTCTTCGACTGGTTCAGCTGTGTTTCCCCTGTCTCGGACTGGCTTCAACACCAGACTGTACTTGCATCACTGCATCTGCAAAGGAACAGTCTTGTTTACAATAATAAAGTCGGTCAGCAACGGAATCGATGCCTTGAGACATATACGAACCTGTAAAGCTTCTACTCAGACTAGTACGAATTCTGCAGATTTCGACATGAAGGGATGACAGGTACTCCATGACATCAGGAAACCGAAGAGACCTGGCACCACTAGGCAATGTTGATGGGCGGACAACCGTTGAACACGAGTGTTACTTTTCTTACATACACTGCATATTGTGACTGCAAATCTGAATCTTTCGCCCTCAAACGTTGCTTATATGTAGGCCTTAATGCTATCAATGGAACGTGAACAATTGGTGTGTATTGAATTACAGGAAAATGAGATATGACTGACTTAGTGTCAAAATCGTGCATGTTGAACTTGATCACCAGAGGCAATGGCCAGGCTCAGCAATGTTCTTCGCAAGTGAACAGCGTGAATGTTCTGCATGGTGGGAGTGACAGATGACGTGAACGCAGACCGCGGACACCATCGAGGAAGTTCAATGGCGGGTGTATGATCTATTTGGCAAAAGAAGAAGGAATTTCGAGTGATAAATATCATGAAAGGATTAGTGGGGAACAGCGTGCGGCGCAAAAAGCATAAGTGGCCTACTCTCCCAATGTCTCGCCTCATAGGAGTTGAAAAAAACCGTGCAAGCCATTTTTCTATGCTGTAAACCTCGATGATCTAAGATTCTCAGGTGCCCATTCGTCGTGCGTATTGTGCATCCAACCTTGTGCGCAGACGTTAGAGTGCCATTCCTTGCCGACGAGTTCGCCTCCAACTACGATTGACATGCGCACGAGTTGCTTGCTGGTCTTGCGATGCTCATCGACTTCGACTGGGTCGGCGAGCATGATAAAGATTCATATCCGGATAGCCGATGCTACATTGTGACTGCCGTTGAATTTGTTTAGTGGGAGGTGGTGCGGTACGAGAAATGGACGAGGTTGAGAATGAAATGAGAATATTTAGTGATTCCACAGTACTGGCAGTGCCGCGGAGAAAAGGGTGGGACTTGGTGCCACAAAATGGTTTAATAGTATGTCCATTTTTGGTAACCGAGGTATGCCATGGAAGCTTCCGGTGTCCGCTCTCTCCTCCTGGAGCTTACATTGGATTTCCTCGACACCAGGACACATTTCTTTGCCTCCTCCTTCGTGCTTTCCTTTGGCAAAAACTCATTTTATATATCGCTTGCATTAGAAAATATCAGAAAATCTCTCTTTCGGATCCAGAGGCACATCCGCGCTACCGTCCGCCGAACACTTGACACAAATTCCAAGTTTACATCTTTCAATGTCATCTCCCAGCTCAAAACGCACCTTATCCACCCAAGATGAATCAAATTCTGGTACAATAAATTCTGAAAATGCCCAACCGTCCACCTCCGAGCTGCTGGAGAGCGATACCGGAAGATGTTCTCACATAGCCTCCGCATTCGCCGATGACTCTATCAAGTCTGCTATCCTAGCCAAGTTCAAAACAGTGATAGCATGGAATGCCCGGCGCACTCAGCATGTGACCCATCCAGCAAAACGGAGAAAGGTAAGTGCTCATACGCCCACTCTCCTTCCTCGTGTTCCATCAGCCGATTCACCGTTGGCCCTAGATATCGGCGCCTGCATGTGATACGTGCCAGCTCGCGCTGACGCGACCTTTCGTTTGCCTCCATTGCTCTAATACCGGGTGTTGGTCAAATAGTCACATTATCAGCCATCTCAGAGATGCGAACCACACATTCTGTCAGTATGTTCTCACCACTTGAGCGCGTCCATTGGTCCAGTGGCTGCCGAAGCGCCTACAATGACGCCCGCCCCCTGAATTCTTCTCACTTATGCGCGTCTATTTTATCAGGTGTCGATGCCAAATCAGGCGCCGTGTTTTGCGCGGAATGCGACGATATCATTTATGATACAACGCTCGACAACGTCTTCCTTTCCACTGTCATCTCGGTCGAAGAAAAACATACAAACTTTCAAGGTTTGTTTTGATGCGCTGATGTCGATCTTACTTGACATAATCATAGTGGCCAAAAAAGGTCGCGAAGCGTACGTAGCTTGGACACCCACGGAAGAGGACAACGCCGCTCTGAGAGGAACTGTCATTCTCCCATGCCAAGGTCGGTTACTATACTCACGCAAGCAGTCGCACTACCTTACTTATATTTAACAAGGTCGGAGAGGCCTGCTGAATTTGGGACAAACATGTTTTCTCAACGTTATTCTCCAGTCCTTCATCCACAATCCATTGCTACGGAACTACTTCCTCAGCGACAGACATAACAGCAAATTGTGTAAACATGCACACTGTATCTGCTGCGAGATGGATAAGCTATTTACGGAAGTAATATCCCTTCACATTTCCTGCTCATTCGAAAGGCCTAACAAAACGTGCATTTCCACCATCTAGATTTACTCACCCACATCCACGCCCTTCGGACCGACATCATTTCTGGCCACGACATGGAAGGTTTCGTCGGAGATGTCAGGCTATGCACAGCAAGATGCTCACGAGTTCTTTATCACTGCTCTCGCTCTCATTCATGGTACTTGTCGCGGGTCCACGAACGTATCGTGTAACTGCATAATACATTCGACGTTCGCGGGCGCACTTCAGAGCGACGTCACCTGCGAGCGATGTGGAAATATTACAAGCACAGTGGACCCAATGCTCGACATCAGTCTCGAACTGAAAAGCAAAACGAGTGAAGCTGGAGATAACACTCTAGCAGGATGTTTACGCAGGTGAGAGTGCCGCGTAATTTCATTTCCCCGATACGCACTTAACAACCTATAGGTTTACACAGCCAGAAAAACTTGGGTCTAAAGAATATAGTTGCAGCAAATGTAGCAAGGCTTCACACGTATGGCGTCACGTTGTTCCACGACCCTCTCGTTATTTATTCTATCTATAGGAGGCAAATAAGCGGTTGAGTGTACGCAAATTACCCCCTGTCCTCAGTTTTCAGTTCAAAGTAACAATTTCGTGGAAATCAGAGCCTTCTTCACGCTAATCATCTATTCCAGCGCTTCGAGCACAAGAACATGTCCAAGTTTTCTTCTCCGCAAAAAATCGACACACCAATACGCTTCCCCGTGATGCTGAACATGGCACCGTATACGACTCTTGTCATGAACGCGAAAGGGAAAGAATCTGAAAAAGGGTAAGCTTACTATATGTCATTCGTCTGGCTGCGCTAAGGCAACGACTAGACATGACTTGGGCCCTGATGCTATGTACGAGTATGATCTGTTCGCTGTTATCAATCACGAGGGTCAGATGGATAACGGGCACTACACAAACTTTGCCCGCTTTCAGGACGAGGTATGTTCATCACCGCCTGATTTTATATTGCCTAACCTATCGTTAAAAGTGGTATCGTTTCGATGATGACAAGTAAGCCATAGGTTGATATCTCATCCGTTCGACTCTAAACTAAGGTTTCATAGAGTCACTCAATCCAGCTTGGGGGCATGTTTAAGTTCGCCAGCCTACATGTGTTTTTATGTGAAACGACATTTAGACTACAAGCCTTATATGAAGCCTTCTTATCGCTTGACACGTGAAAGCGATATCGTCAAAGAGCAGGCGCTGGAGAGAGAGAGAGAAGCTGCGAGAATGAAGGAGGTGGATGATGCACTGATGGCCATGGTTGGAGGTGACTAACAGGGGCCCAAGGCGACTTGATAGTCGATAAATGAGTAAAGGGAGCCGTCGTTTGTAATACGTGATAAAAAAAAACAGTGATTTAGTAGATGATGTGGAACATGCAATGTCGTAGCGAAGAACAGTGAAAGGGATGTGGGTTTAACCATACATGAAAAAAGAAGCTGATAATACGTGAACGTTGAATGTGAATGTCCAACAAAAAGAAAAATTGATCATGATCTGCTTTTGGGGTAAGTGTGATATATTGGGAAGTTTGAAAGATGATACCAAATATGATTGTCAGAATGACACGAAGAATCTAAGGGATGATATCAAATAATTCGCCCTCCTTGACACGGATTTCGACGACTTCTACTTCGTAATCAGTTAGGGAAGACCTGGTGGAAGACCATGAATTGGAGATAAAGCCGTCACGGTTAGGCGGAGAAGTTGAGGCGACGTCTGCGAAATGAAAAGTTTGGGAGATAAAGGTAGAGTTCTACGGTTAGATAAATATAATAAAAGGGAGATAACAAATGGACGAACAGCGGTCTTTGATGTAGGGAGGGACAAAGAGATCCTAGGGGAAGTAAGATAAGGACACTGATTGTGCTGCTGTACTGATAAGACGACACCAACCTGATTCCATACGAAGCCCTGGCTCTTCTGAATAGTGAGGATGGGGCGAAGAGTATATACAGGACGGCGCTGCTTTGTGTGGTGGCGCCTCTTTGTGGGCTGAGGCTCAGGGTCTACAGCACGCTGCTTTCCCTTTAGGTCTTTCTTGAACTCTGCAGAGTTCTTCTCTGCATCTCCGCCGCCTGTGGCATCGATCTCCATGTTCTGTGTGTCATCCTGTCTGTCGGTGGCAGTAGATACAGGATGTTCGCCATCCGAGTCTGGGTCGGGTATGGGTCGGGTGTAGTCCTCGCCGTCCTCTGAGCACGACTCGTCCTCTGAGAGGCTCTCGCTATAGTCGTCGTCGTCGTCGCCGCCGTATGGGATCTGCTCGTAGCAGGCCCAGGTGGGGGGCGAGGCTGCGCGACCGAGGGTACGACGCCTGAAGGGGTACGGATAAGAGTTTGTGAGGGACTGAATAGCAGAGGTCATTAATGGAAGCTGTTTGATATGGTGAGTGAAAGAGCAGAGGCTGTCGGTGTGCAGTACTAACGACTTGCAAGGTGGTGCAGGCGTGCCTAACCGAACATCCTCGTTCCCACGGCCCAGAAAGGCATATCCACTTACGCCCTTTCCTTTTCTGGATATCTCTCCATGACTCGCAATCCATCGATGAGTCTCTCCCTCCATGGCGGGCTCAAAGTATGCATATGTCAGACACTTTGAACTGCCAGATCCACTTCTGCCTGCCACATTCATCGTCTGTCGCCTCGATGGCCACTCTTTTCATCGGTGAGTTAACAGTTAGACACCCTAACAGTTCGACACCCCTGTCGAGCCTGACAGGTCTGACCTTCCTCCTCTAATCAGGTTCTCAGACGAACACGCCTTCGCAAAACCCAACGATGAGCGCGCACTCAAGCTAATGGATCGTGCTGCTCAATCTCTCATGACAGAGTACAAGGACATCGTCCTTGGTTTCGGAGAATCAGACGAATTCAGGTATGGTACTATTTACATCCCTAATTTCTGGCGATGAAAAGATATCAATCGCAGTTCCCTAATAGCTTCCTCCTGCGCAAGACAACAAACCTTTACAACCGCCGCCACGCCAAAATACTCACGACCCTAACTTCGTTCTTCACATCGTGTTATGTCTTTCATTGGCCACAGTACTTTCCCGATACCCCTTTGCGGTACCCACCCTCCTTCGACGGTCGCATCGTTCTCTATCCCAACGAGCGCGAAGTTCGCGACTACTTCTCGTGGAGACAAGCAGACAGTGAGTCATGCCCCAGCCCTCTGAAGCACTCCCCATTTCGTACGAGCTGATAAACAGCATGGAGCTCACATCAATAATCTCTATAACACCGTCTTCTGGGCACTCGTCCAACAGGGTGCTCAAACTACCACAGAAGCACACGCCACTCTACGAGTTCGCACTCTTACCTCCTTTCCATATGCTTTGTGCTGAATCCGCGTTTCAAGGGGACGCTGTCGAAAGCTAAGCACGAAATACTGTTTTCGCGCTTCAGGATTAACTACAATGAGATCTTCCCGAGATTTCGTAAAGGCAGCGTTATCGTATGGGAACAGGTTAGGATGAACATTCACTATATATATACGAAGCTGAAACTGGTGTGTCTGACCAAGATACCGGATGCCCCGCATGATATCGGAAATTCCCAAGACATGGTGTCCACGCAAGATCCATCGGGGGATAACGCCGTTGAAAATTCTGAGCCCTCGAATGACAAAGATGCCACGTCGAGCTCTCAGCCAAAGCAAAAGCAGAAACTACAAGTCAAGCCTCGCACGACGATAGAAATCATGCACTGCGATATAATAGGTGATGAATTTTGGCAAACACGTCCTTACCTACTTTCTGGATAAACGAAGCATACTGGCATCACATCTAATTTTGCGTACCTTTCATTTGGACCCACTACACTTCCAGTTTCGAAGTTCATTGCCGATGTGACCGTGGTCCCGAGAAAATGATGCTGAAAATTTAGTATATAATGAGCTGTGGTTAGACAGAGAAAAAACTGTGCCCAGCGTGTACCACATCTCTGTGCCAATGAATCACCTCCCACAGTTACCAGTGGTCGTGTCAGCCTCTCTAGTTCGATTGCTGATGCCACTACACATATATAAACTCTATTCTGAGCACTATGACGGTACTTCGCATCGCAATCGATATTTCTGACGACCAGACTGTCAGGGTCGCTGGTGAGCCTGACGCTCAGGACAAAGGAGAAGAAAAGAGAGGGCGGTCGGTAAGTTCCGATGTCAACACTATACCTTCTATATATGGAAACGTCGGGTCTTCCCTGATGTGGCGCGACACGTTCCTCGCTCTCGCGCCCACTGTCTGTCTCGACGCTCCAATTTCACAGGTCACCGTGCCCACGAAAGAACTGGGTTTGTTTATAACGATTCATGGGAATGTGGATGTAAGCGGTCTTCATCAACTGGGCTTCTTCGAGGTGCTGCAAAAAACGCCTGGATGCTCGATGAGGATGCGTCAGAGTGGAGTGCGCGATGAGGCTGGGAGTGCGTTTATGGAAATACGATGCTGCCAGAAGTGGTAATTTTCAAAAGTGTGTCCGACGCAATCATGGCTGAATTGCTGTTTTTAGGTGGAAAGGCCAAACATACAGCACTGCCGATAGGATTAGCCATGTATGGCAATGAGAGGACATGCGACGGACAAGTTGGCTCTGCTGTCTGCGAGACGAAGGGGGCGCTCTGCTGACCCAAGCATTTCCCACCTCTCCCGAGGCAATCCTGGACTATGATTGCTTTCGAACACGTTGAAGCAATCATCTGTTTTCTCCTTTTTGGGTAATTTTGGGCAGTGACTTGACGAAACTTGTCACGCATACGAAATGTCTTTAAAAAGGGAGGCGGCCCACGTCGAACTACATTGGAAAAAACCCACATCGACGACCTCGTACGAGCCCTAACACACCTGCATTTTGCGCTGATTTGTGGCTCTAAGTTTGTCGGTTGAAGCCATCGAGTTCTCCTTTGTGCTCCAGGTACGTTTTGTTTCCTTTGTTAGAAGCGGAGAGTGCCGAGTGCTGACCTGCATCTTGTTTCTATCCCGTGACTGCCACGCGATGCTCTTCTCCCGCGCGTTGTTGTGGTGTTGTTTGTGTGTATGGGTCCCGGTCATTTTTTTGAACATGGACTTGCAAAGAGCAGATGCCTCCGGGATTAACGAACACAAGTGGGCGATCCGGCCTGCCCCCTATAGATTCTCTCACACTCCAACCCAACAATCCAGTCAATATCCCGCGTTTACACCATCACTCTTCGGACGAGTCCGATTCTGGCTTCCGCTCCGGTGGCCATGGCGGTGCTCAGCCAACGGGACTCCATCCAGCCCATTTTGGTACTCGTCCGGCTCATCATAGAAGCATCCAGCTCGAAACACATCCCGACTTTCTCAACAACACTGACCACTTCGACGACACCCCCTTCGTCCCACACCGTCCGCCACACTCCCTCCAGCCAGCACTCCCCCCTCAAGGCGCTCCTCTAGACCAAGCATCATTGCTTTCCTATGCACACCCTCAGGTTACCCCTTCTGTAAGCTCGCCTCCTCTTTCATTGGCAATGCAATGGAATTCACAGCTTGCTTCTAGCGTACTTATGACCCAGATGGCCGCCACACTAGCCCAGATGGGTCCCACCGCAGCTCAGAGAGTTACAGGAGTTCGTCTTCTTCCTCAAGTGGCAACAGTGCCCACAGTGGCTTTGGCTTCCATCCTGGATCAGATCAATTCCAATCCCATCACCAGCCTCAATTCTCGCACGCGAACCCAACTCATCATCCCCAAGCTATACTCCAAATCCAAACTCAGCAGCAGCAGCAGCAGCAGCAATCTTACAGTGCACACTATCCTGCTTATCATGGTCCTCACAGGGTCGGATTAGAACATACCAGGTTTAGTGGCCAGCCTGGCCCCGGTGGCGCGGGGCCCTACTATCGTACACAAGCTCATGTTTACCCCGCTGATAATACGGTGGCGTCAGAAGGGTACCATAATGTTAGTCCAGAACAACAACTTCACGGCTTACCACACATGCCCCAAACAGCATCTTCTCAGCGGTCGTCCTCTTCGTCGGCGTCTTCTACCCCTCAGTTTACACCTGGTTCTGGACCAAACGCCACATATTCTATTTCCCCCAGCGCTTTGACGGCTCCTGCTTCTGTGTCCTACCCGGATGCTGGACCGTATTTGCGCCAGCAATTGGGGCTTGCGGCTCACCAGGACGTCAATTTGTACTCCTTACCTGACCCTCCCCAGGGCGAGAAACCGAATCAGCCGTATCCAACGTTGATAAAACTGGCTATCTACGGGAGCCCCAGAAAGCAATTGACTTTACAAGAGATTTATCAAGCATTAGAAGCGCGCTTTGAGTGGTTCAGAGCAAGGAAGAACGACAAGGCATGGAAGGCAAGTCTAACCACAAGCTCTACTTTGATTTTCAAGACTAATTTATCACGTTTAGAACTCGATTCGCCACAACCTTTCGCTGAACAAGGTTTTCCGCCATGCGCCGCGCCCCATAACCGAGCCTGGCAAAGGAAGTTACTGGCAACTTGACGTCTCCGAAGGTGAAGGCTACAAACGTACCCGCAAGCGCAGAAGCAAGAGTGCCAGAGCAAATCAGGCAATCGAAGAAGATGATAATGAAATGTCCGAGCTCGATGAGGAAACCGAATATGCCGCTGATCCGTCAGGAAGCATAACTGAATTGAATCGCAGTCCGTCTTTTACGGCAGATGACAACATTGACCCCGAGCTGCGACGCGAAGGCCACATTGTTGGCGAGGGGCGAAGCAAGGCTAGTGGAAGGCGAGCTGGTGCAAATAGCCCCTATCCATCGCTTGCTCCATCGCAGCCCCCTCGCTATGGCCAATTGCCACCTATCACAGATCCCCGCTACAGCCAGCCTGAACTACATCCAACCATCTCATGTCGTGACCTCCCTAACCAAGGCGGGCGACTCCGTCCTCCGATGCCCGTTGAACCTGCCACCCAGGGTCAACCTGCGCGATTCGGGCAGCCTTCGTTCGGACAACCTTCGTTCGGCCATCCAGGTTTTAATCAGATGCCGGTTAGGGGATCGTCGGCGCCTTCGACTGCTTTCATGGCATCTGCCTCTGAGACAGTCAACCTCGGTCCTGTCGCTGCAGCCTCTAGTCGCTCCGCTCCTCGGCCTGCAATGGCACATGATAGACACGCACCCATCGTTCAGCCTACGCCCAGGCCAGGGATTGAATACATAAGGGATGAAGGTGGATTGCCAAGCGCAAGGAGGATCCCGGTGCAGCATGGTTTGCCGTCCCCTACTCACCAAGTGGATTCGCCCCAAGGATCAAGCTATTCTGAAGCTTCTCCGATCGATGAATGGCAGAACCCACAGTACTATAGCTCTAGATCTGGTGGAGCCCAAGACCGAGGGAGGGGGCGGATCTGAGTCTCACAGCCGCAAAAGTTCTCTCAAGGTATGTTCAGTACCTCATGGGGACAAAGCTTTTGTTAAACCATCACCTTAGATTTCCTATAACGAATTATCTGATCTACAAACGTGGTGATCTTGATTTTGGCTACCATATTACTCCTCGGCCCAACCCAATGATTATACGACCATGCTATGTTTTCTAAAACGGACTCTCCGCATTGTTTGCTTTGTTCTATTTGCTTAACCGTTGGTTTCTTTTCTTGGTTGCTTTCATGCTCGCTCTACAAATCACGCTACTAGTTTGCTTTAGTTGTCTCCCTTGTACATCTACTCGCTTTGTTCCTCCAACTACACATTGATATATCTGTGCTACATACTAGCTGAGCTGTATGCATACATGTATAAGTACGTTCTGGTACTGTGCTATATATAATTGGTGGTTTTGTCATGTTCGATGGGCATTGCTTGTGGATAAATTTTGCAGCGTTCCCAAAGGTTGGTCATTGGGCCAGAACGACTCATAAAGTAACGTCAAGATCTTCACTAAAATACGGTGGTCTTTGTGCAAGGTGCTAAATGATATCCGTTTTCCGACTGGTATGGTAAGGTATCGTCATCACCTCTTCGATGTACTTTTCTTCACTATCCTGGCCTCCAACGACAGTGCCAGACGGGGCATTTAATCTATAACGCGTTAGATTTTTCAACTCGGGCACTGAGATGGGATGTTTTCCTCTCAAGAAGATATGACCGGCTGGCGCGTCATATAACGAGCGCACCATGATATCCTGATGAAATAAATATTTCACATCTTCAAGCGCATAACCAGTAGTCTCAGGAAGGAAAACATATGCCCAAAACGCCGCAACAAGCGAACAAATTCCGTAGAGCAGGAATGTACCATATGTGATGTGCGAAAGCAGAATGGGTGTTAGTTGAGCAACGACGAAGGTGAAAAGCGAGGTGCACGCAGCTGCGAGAGACATAACAGCAGCGCGAAGGTGGTTGGGCGCTACCTCGGATGCGACCACTAAAGGAACGGGACCCCAGCCAATGGAGAAGGATACTGCGAAGAGGTACACGGCAACGATGGAGACGTAACTGGCAGGGACGATAGTTTTCTGCGGGTGGACCCCACTGTACCCAGCTATCCAAAGCATGACCAAGCCTTGGCCTAGACCGCCGTATATCAAGCATCGTTTACGACCCATTCGTTCCACTGCAAATAAAAGGACGAGGCTTATGGAAACGACTTTGACGATACCGTATACGCCGGTGGCAAATAGCCCTGATGTTGTTCCAGATATACCGAGCGTGGCAAAGATCTGTGGACTGTAGTAGTTGATGGCGTTCGTACCTGTCCATTGCTGGAAGGTCATCAAGAGAGATGGAATGAAGCAAAGAAGTGCTGTGATCTGTGACTCTCCCATTTTTCGAAATTGATCCAATAGTGGGAGCCTTTGTTTTCCTTCAAAGTCGGCTTTGATCTCATTAAGCGTCGCGATGACCGACCCGTCGTCGACTGGTTTCCGGGAGATGTACGCGAGAACTTTCGCAGCTTCATCATATCGCCCACATTCTACCAGAAATCGAGGAGATTCTGGCTGAAATATCAATAGAATCAGGAAGAAAGCATTAGGGGCCATTTGCATGATAATGGGTAGTCTCCATTGCATCTGCCCCGGAGGTATGTTTTTGGAAGCACTGTAATTGACCCAGTCTAGTAAGAGTGCTGTTTAGCGTAGGCCTCTTGCGGGAAGACAGACGGGGGACATACAACTCAGCATGCTGCCGATACTAAACGCTAATTCGAGATATGCTGTGCATCGCCCACGTATCGCTCTAGGTACACCTTCTGATACATACGGAGGGACCAAAGCAGTGACAATTCCGATGCCTATTCCGGCCAAAAATCGTCCAAAGTAAAGAACTTTGAGACCAGCCACTTCGCTACTGCCGATGCCAACGATTGCCTGGACCAGACAGCCAAGCATATGAATGATTGCGGATGCAAGAAGATACGGTTTTCGACCAAAACGACTTGAGAAGTAGCTGGCAGTCAACGCACCGAAACTGAAGGGGATGATAAGGACGATATCGAAGTGAAGAGAAGCGAAGAACTCACAAACTCCCTGCAACGAAAACGGAGACAATATTCCCACTCAGGTTTGCTCGCACACCGTCAGACTGTTTGTCTAGACCAAAATACTCTTGGAAAGACGGCAAAGAGATGACTCCACCTATTGAGCCAAAATCCCATCCATAGCAGTAATACCCCATGGTCACCGAAAACGCGAAAGCGTATGCATTACGGTACTGGTCGACATCCTGAAGAGCCTGTTTGAAAACCATCGATTCAATGAAATGGGGTGAAGGTTACTAAGACTTCAGGTTATTAGGTAGGAATGTCACGGTTGGGCCAGCACGGGCATTACGTTGACCAGAGTTGTGCATATCTGTACTAGTATGATGGTAAGCCTGAGTTTGAACTTGCACTGGCAGTCCTACCCCGCGGTGTATGGTCATATTTTGCAGTACCACGATGGGAACTCACACATACTCTAATTCTGCAAATAACATGTCTCTCTCTGAAGAGGAGGAGGATGCTTATCATCGTACTCAGGATCAGAAAGTCATTGAAAATATTGGGGATTTTGATCCTTCGAAGAGGAGCATGCTTCCGACTGCTCTCGCCATGGTGTGCCAAGAAGAGGACCGACTCGACCCCAAATTCGGTCTTGTCCGCAACACAAGGGATCTCCTAGGTAATGAACCAGACCTCAAGGTCGCATTGGAGAAAGCGTGGATCAAGAAAGAGTTCAAGGATATAAGGAATCGAGGTAAGTTTATTCCAGGCCCGCTTACTTGGCACGATCTAGCAACTTGCTCCCAGATATATTACGCCTTCCGAGTCAAATTAGAGAAACTAAAGGGAAATCTCAGTCGCATAAAGGTGGTCATATCGCGGAATTAGGTAAGCTCGACTTGTGTGTCAAAAATTCACAGTCTCTCACAAATGCTATATGATGTGTAGACAAGAGTAGGTACTTACTGCTTCTCTACTTCAGGAAGACGCCACTTATGTTTCTATTACCAGTGGTCAAGTCGGCTTGGAATAAGGAATACACGGGGAAAATGCACATACTTCTCCTCGACAATCTTAATATCATAAATTACAGCTCGATTTACTCTGGCTTTGCATCGATAGTCCAGAGTTCGGGCACGGGGAAGTCGCGGATGGTCCACGAACAGGCTAAGTTCGTCTTCACTATCCCCTTCAATTTGCGCAACGAGGGATATGAATCATTCGGTAATGTTTTACTTACGATATTTAGACGGGTCTACTGATTTTAATCCTGTGGTCAGTTAAACCCTATCCTGAGCCCGACAACAATGTCCGCCAATTCCTCATCGGTTTCAAGGAGGTTTCGACAGCCAAAATTAACATAATCGTTTTTCTGGGCAAAATTTATGACCTAGCCTCTAAACGACTTAGTTCGTTGCTAAATGATAGCCGAATGAAGCGTCAAGAAATTGCTGAGCGTTGGCACAACTACCTTCAGGTTGAAGGAATCCGTTCAGCATTATATCAAGATGCTCTTGACGCCACAAAGGAATACCTACACTCGGTGTGTTTCTTCGCTTATTCAGATGCGAGTTTTTTGAATCAAATGCCTGATACTGGTGATGATATCCTCCTCCAAGGATCCCGGGGGCGATGTTGTGCAGGAAACGAGGAACAGGTTTACTGAACTGCTCAAAACCATCAAGGAACATACAGCCGATGAAGCTCCAGATGATAATCACGTGAAGGTTATACTATACTTTGATGATGCCCAAAGATTAATACCTTCACCTGATAGGTGGAAGCCACAGATCAATGTCCTTGAAACACTACAATCATGTCTGGCTGGCATGTATACAAGGTCAATTTTTGTCTTGTTCTTGTCGACGGTGGTGTCCAAACTACGTGAATATGCACCTATTTTACACCTGCCCAATTCCGCACGTTCTCGAGGGCCAGGTTTGCTCCAGGCACCGATAACAGAGGTGCCGTTCGACTGCTGGCCAGGCTTCCCGATCTGCCCTCACCTTTACAAGTTGGACGATCTTTCGAAAATCAGGTTTATGGCTCGGTTTGGTAGACCCCTGTGAGCTTCTCTGCGTTCATGGGCCCAGCATTGGTTGATTTTTGTCACCTATATTCAGTTACTGGGCTCTACTGGACGAGTCGTTTCCTGAGAGCGAGGAAATAATGTTGGACTTGATTCGAGCCAAGGTTGTCGGTCGCAGTGCTCCTGAAAGGCTACCGTCCGTAGGCGAGCAGCCGAAAGAAATAATCATACTTTTGGATGTTCGGCTCCTGCTTGATTATGAGTTATACCGTCACACGAGTGTCCATCACGAGGCCAACCTGGTGGCGAGGCATATGCGTATGAATTACTCTGTCCCGGAGACTCGAGACTATCTTCGCTCTAGCTATGCATCCGAGCCTATCCTGGCTGAGGCAGCCGCCAGAAATTTGGAAATGTATAGCGAGGATTTTACGGTGATATTGAAAGCCCTCGAAAACGGATTTAAAATGGGTCTGCTGGACAAGGGAGCGATGGGTGAACTTGTCGCGCGCTTGCTCCTCGTCTTTGTGCATGATCGAGCTATTAGGAATAGTTACTCCAAACCCCTAAACTACAGTCAGGGCGTCAGGTTAATCGACTTCCTGAAGGCATTATTCTCTGGGGCTTGGATGAACGAAATCATGCGGTGCACTCCAGACAACGTGTCCAGTGAAGTCACGTTAAAAGACATGTTCAAGGAGTCGTACGTTCGTTTCACGTATTTCGGGAAGATGGTAGACGACACTGGCACGACAACAGAGGCAATGTATGCTGCGTTCCTCCGGGGCATGGCGGTCATTACGCGAGACAATCAGCAGGGGGTGGACATCATGATTCCTATTCTCATGTGGGACAAAGAACTTTGCGAATATGTCATGACTGCGATACTTATTCAAGTCAAGCGGCGCATCTGTGCAGGATCTATCAACACATACTCGATTAACCAGCGAGACATCAACTTATTTCCTGACGACTGCATTTCCAAACAAGTTCAGAATGACGTTCGATCCAATCCCTACTTTGAGTTCACCTTGGAGAGGCCTAGAGAGAACTCTGGTGAGCCAGTGCGTCCTTACATTAGTCTAATCTTGGAGCTGGGTGTTCAGCCGAAGCTGCCCCGTGGTCCTGGCACAAACCCCCAAGTTTGCAAAAATCTTGCCAAAAAGACTGCTCTTGGAGCAGTACAGTTGGTCCAGACTGCTAAGAGGGGATCACATTCTACTGCCAAGAGACAAAAATTGGACCATTAAGGCACCCCATCGAAGATTCACGTCATCAAAGGAGGGAAGATTCGCCATCATCACGACCTTCATCCCCGTTACAATATCTTTGCTTACGGCTGCTCAAGTACCGTTTATAGAGACATCGATGGCGAAGATAAAGATGTCTTAGCTAAACTTCTCCGTACTCGTGATTTCCTTGCGGACCATCCTCGCCAGGACTCGAGATCACTCGAAGCTGTTCGAAGAATGAAGCCGTTTTGGAGTGCTGGAGAACCGAGTCATCACTGGCTCGAAAGTGACCTGTTGAACCCTAAAAATGCAATGGATGTTGATGAGGAAGATCAACTAGCTGGCTTCGTCATTGCGGGTTCCATGGAGGATACTCATGTGTCGACCTCTGACAATGTGTTTGACCTTGACGTAGAGACTTAGTATTGTATACATGCTTCCAAATTCCCGAATACCTGTCGCTCTGTAATGTTTGTACAATATATTTCTGATAGCCACAAAAAGGGTAAATCCCGAGGATAGAAACATTGCTTGCTGAGATAATGATACTCTGGGCGTGTATTATATGATATCGTGCAATCCAAGACATAGACAGGGACAGGGCCTCATTTTTCTACTGCAAGTCTTTTTTGATTTCTGTGACTGTTGCAACAATAACCAGGTCATTAACATTGATGTTCTTCCCATACAAGTGCGCAAGGACCTTCGCCGAGTTATCGTATCTTCCATATTCTACGAAGAACCTTGGCGACTCTAGTTTATGTAATAGCAGAGCAAGATATAAGATGCTTGGAAACAACGATACCAACCAATATGTTATAAACTTCTGTGGAAGCTGATGATAATGTTCACGAGAAGTAAGTTTGCGAGTGCTGGTATGTTTAACACCCTTAACGTACTCGTATTAAGCACGATAAATGTTCTAAACAAGACAGGTTCCAGACAACATTACATTATACGAGAAAGTTGGATACCACGGCTATGCAAGCATCCATGGCGTCCTATGTACCCAACTTCGTGCCCGCTTCCCATAGACGTACATTGGAATGGTCATCAGACAGACCCATATGTTGATACCTCCGATGGTACAAAAGGTGCGAAGAACACCTTGATTGATTCGATTGCAGGGCCATCAGTCATGTGAAAAAGTACCTGAGGGATCAGAACATACCTTGGGCAGTAAGCCAGGGGACAACATAGTAAGTCAAGCCAAAGGTAAACAGGTTCTTGATGCAGCTGCGAAAGATAGGCCAGATAATCGAGTCGTTCTTGTATGTAGAAAGAACTTACTTGATTGTAGCAAATGCTTCGGGTGCATAGTTCGAGTGAGCATCAACGACATACGACACCACCCTGTGGGAACGTTCATTGCAGATACAAGGAAGTTGTTCTTGATAATACTTGCGCAATAGAGCCTACTGCTTGCCCAAAATTGAGGAGTGAATAAAAGATGGCAGGACCGATCCAGAGCTCCTGCATATTGGCACTTATGGCCCAACCGAACCATCCAATGGTCGTCGCTAGGAGAAGGGGAATGACCATGAAAAGGCGGAACCTAAGTACGATTAGAATGGTATCAGTATCAAAATGGCTAAGATGGTGAATAAAACACACTCAGGCTCATAAACACCATTATTACGACGAGATAGCCAGGTCACAGACCAGTCAGACAGTGGTCCAGCAATAGCATTTCCGAGGATGGCCGCAATGAACGGTCCAACACCCGAAATAAGCCCAACAGGACCAGCCCGGAAATCGTACCCGTACTCGGGCGATGAGAAAAGGAGCGAGACAGAAACGGAAAGCGCAACAACTGTTTAAAAAGTGAATTTCTCGTCACGAAATCCAAGGATCATGACTTACGCCATCCACTTGTCGTGCCGTACACTAGTGTGCCCCATGCTACTGCGGGACTACACACTAGAGTAAATGGACGAAGTGCGATTTTCCAAAACTTTCCTTCAGAAAACCGGTGTCTAGAGTAAGGCAACAGTGTCCTCAAATATGGATACACGGTTTCCGTCCCTGTGTCAGAAAAACTCCCAGCAAGTTTGGAAGATTTTTCAACGTCAACGTCGATTACGTCTATATTCAAAGAGCCGCCCTTGTTGTGATCTGGCGAGCTGGGCTCCTGAGGAATAGGCTCTCTAGATAGAACCGGACGAACGTAAGCTGTCTCTGGCACGAATAAGATCGTAAGGATAAAGAGTATTCCACACTGATAAAGACCAAAACAATGAAAACAGCGTGAGTCATTTAACTTAGTCTGGAGCACAGTGAGATTTTCCCCCACCAAAATCGCTTCGACTACAAAGCAAATTCGCCAGGACCTGTAGCCTTTTTAATACCAAACAATAGGGCCGAAAAAAAATAGAACGCAACTGACACATCTTGTATGAGGTATCCGTTGACTATGGAAACACCACAAATGCCACCTAATAACGCAAACTGTAGTTTACTTGTCAATTTTGGCTGAAAGAATAAACTAGCAGGACTTACGCTCCAGACGGCAATCCATTTACCACGCTCGTGGACAAAAAATATATCGCTGGATATTTATGATTAATAGCCAAACTGAGATCGTATAGAATAAGGCTGCCTGCTCACGCAATACTGGCTTCAACTAAGCATTCAATAGGTGCCATGCCTATACCACCGATCACTCTACTTGCTGTCAGACTTCCCAGATCTTTTGCGACTGAGCTCCAAATAGAGCTGGCAAGTAAAAGTGCATTTCCGATTAAAAAAACTGGCCTGCGACCCCATATGACGCTGGCTGGTGCGGTCAAAATCAATACAAGGCCGATTGCGAGAACAAGATCTCCCGTGATCATGGACAATGCGTCAACAGAAGTATCAAGGTTCGTAGCAACCTGCGTGAGACCTGCGCCAATAATGGGGCCGAAAGCACCAACCACCCCCGCTCCATATGTCAAGGTGAGCATAAGCATGCATTTCCGCCAGAAGGGCCAGTTGAGCGGGTCGTTTGGGGAAGAAGATGGCCTGAGATATATACGTGAGAACGCAACAAAATGAAGAGATAGTAAAGGTCAATGTACTGTGGAACTAGGATAATGCCATCTTTCGAACGCTTCAAGGCAGATTCTGGGTGGTCAACAAGCTTCCGATTATGCAGGTCGTCAAGCAGGGAGGTTCCTGCACCATGCTGCTCAGAATGACATCCTGCAAACATGAAAAAGAAAAGTGCTGACCAGGTACATTCTCACCGAGATAGCGATCAGAGAGAATACCGAGGCCCATGACTGTTTTACACTGGTACAGAAGATGAAAACCTTTCGGACAAAGAACCAGGTCACTGTATGGCGTTCGTGGCCCTTATAAAATGGTATCAGGAATCACCCAGCGTTCGACTCCCTGTCATGGGAACAATGCTGCTGACGAGCGCGCGAACAGGACGGGTAAAGAATACAGGGTTTGCGCTTAGCCAGAGGTATCCCCACACTCTGGACGACTACAGGACGTTAAATACTCCACGAAGAAGCGCTTTCGAAGCCCTAAACACTGTTAAACTTAGCAACCCCTGATCAGGCTATCAGACGTTGGATTAACAATTAAAGCGAGCATACAATCATTCCCCATGTAAATCCCCCTCGAGTCTTCATGGTAACCCTCTGTTATGTCACGACAAACTGCAAGATCTGTCCGAGTCCCGATACATTTTGAACCGTCCATCGCGAGATAATGATAATAATCTAATCAAAGTTTTAGGAAGCTCCGCAAAAGTCGTTACTCACGCTATACAACTCGAGGCACCGAAGTCAGATCGACAGCAAGTTAAACACTCACACATTGCCGCATAAACGAAGTACCGAACACCATAATAACATATACGGTAGCATTATCTGATATTATGCTGAAATTCTTCGCAGATGCAGCGCTAAGTCCACGGATTCACAAGTATCCATGCACGTCCTGTTACTAAGTGGAATGGGTCGAATACCTTGTCATGCGCCACGATCAGAACGTTTGGTATAGTTTCGGGGCTATTCGTGGACCCATACTTGATTGCAAGTTCTGTTCTGCATTGCGTTCTTCACTCGAACCTTACTTATCACGATGAAAGACGAGATTTTCGGGCGCAGGTGTTAGCATACAATAGTTAAGCCAAGGCGGATAGGAGGGAGTGAGATGAAAACTTCCAAGTCATCGGCAATCTGCGCCGTGCGACAGTGCGGTTTGCGGCAGCTGTATGGCCAGTTGTTTCTCATTGCGCAAACGCCCATATCTTATCTTCGTAGCTGGTTTGCTTCTGATACTACTGTGTGTAATACCCAGACGCGTCTACACCACAAGTTAACATTCTGTCTGTTCCCAATCACTGAAGCCGATGTATTGTTCACGGAATATTAGTGCACATTCTAGACGTAAGGACACACCAGAGCGGCTCATACACAATCAACACCAGCCAAGAAAAATCCGAAAATTTTAACTTTAGTCACATTGTCGTGCTACTGCTATGCCCGCGGTAGATTGAGCCAATCAACTATTAAATGGATGGCTGCCGAAAGGAAGAGCTATCGCAAACCAACTGGAGAAGCAGCTGGCCGTCAACGACCAAAGGCTTGATTTTGGGTAAACAGGATATTTTTTCAATGAACAAACAAAAGATACCCACAAGCTTCCTGCTATATATACGGAAACAAAGGTACCATCGAACCCGGCCCTCATTGACATATCATCCACTTCAAAATGTTGTTGGAATGATAGTAAAGCAAAGATACCGTCCATGGAGCCGAAATTCCATCCGTAACACATGTAACATATGCTGACGCAGAAAGCAAGGGGGCGAGCATTGCGGCGTTGTGAAGCTGTATCCCTGAAGCATTTCTTGGGCGCACTATTCAGAATAAGGTAAATAAACCAAACTCTGCTGTGAATGTGGGGTCGACGAGAAATCATAACGCGCAATCTATCCTGCGGAACTTGACTGAGATAAAGTAATATGAACATGATACTTCAGATTCACTTCACAAGCTTTCTTTCCTTTCAAGGTATTTGCTTGAAACGCGATTTAATTTATGGATGGCTGCTACTGTTGAGAAAATCAATTATACTTCAGGTGCAACTTCTATTGTGACTCACCAAAGTCTTCGGTTGGAAGTTATTCTTCACTCATACATCCACGTTCTGAACTACCTTGCTCTTTGCTTGAAGTGTGTAGGAGGGACCTCATGAAAACGAGAGACATAAGTGATTCTCGATATGCGTTTCCATCCTTGTATACGTCTTGTGTGGAAACGACTCAAACAAGTCAAGGTAAAACCGCGGAAGATGCGATGGACCAAGACATGGCGGAAGAAAGCGAATGAATTGTCAAGAGGTTAAAGCACTTGAATCAATTGAATGAACATGGACTACATTCCTGGCCAGCAGTGACGTCTAGAGGTTCCAGTATGTTTGTATATGGATGCACGGGTGAGACCGATAACGGCGACTTCCGTTCGAATGGCCTTATCGCTCGGTGTCTCGGTATCGGATCGTGGCTTAGTATTGCGTTATGTAGGAACCTAAAATGAAAGCGATGACAACGGAAAGAGGCCACTGTTCTTCGTGGCAATCACGGAGACAGTTAAAGCCGAGCTCAGGGGGTACTGTGAAAGATGTAGTCTTTGCTGTCAGTGGTTACCGGGAGATGCATTTGAAGGGGGGACATCAATGCTGATGAGTGTCACGGTGGTCTGAGACCAGATTGCCACAGTTGAAGGGGCCAGAGTGAGTAACAAAACCGGATTATTATTCTATTCTTATTATTCTGGTCACGGAGGCGTCGAAAGAACGAGACATATGTTGAGGTTCTGGTACGAGCTGGACGCCATGCGCATCAGCATCAGAGAATGACAGATGATGAGAACAAACACAAAGATGGATCAGAAGAGTACGAGGACTGGCGTGGTCAGAACAGCAATTGGCAGAACCGCCACCTGGACCAAGACAAACAAGGCCACACAGCCGTCTCAGTCATCCCTGTCGCTTTGATCAACCAGCAAGCCCACCGCAAAGCAAACACACAGGTCCGCCTTTCTTTCTTTCTTTCTTTTCACCAACAAAAGCTCAACATATCTTTTGTTGTAGGTGCTTCACTTAAATACCTGCCCTTATTCTCCAGAAAAACTGACCGCTCCATCCAGATTGACGCCCAGGTCGATTCTCGCACACCGCTGCCATGCGCGAGTCAAACTTTGCATTTCCTGCACAGAACAGGGCTTGTGTCTGTATTTCTTCACAGCTTTATGATAGACGAGGTATTTCTCCTCATTTTTATCTATTTTTTTTTTTTTCACCTACTCAAAAAATGGTACTCCGCAGCATTGGACACCACCTCGCCACTGCCACTCTTCAATTCTCTCCACCATCTCACCTATCTAACATCCACTTCGCCTCGCATCCGCGAGATAATGACCATGGACGGAGGACTGGAGCGTCTCGTCCGCATGCTTCACGATTTCTGTATTTGTCCCCCTCCCCCCGAAAACCCCGCTGTTCTATATGGTCTCTTTCCGCCTAACTACCGCCCTCCGAAACTCATTCCAACCCTTATCCCTCAATCTTATGACAAGCATGCTGCTTATCGGTTCTCTCTCGCCTTCCAGTGTGTTGTCAACATCGGTGTACGAGGCAGCGAGCCTATCCGAAGTCGTGTTGTACAAGCTGGTACTCTTGATGTCGTAGGATGTATTTTGGAAGCTTGGTTGGCAAATAAAGGATTTGCCGTAGGTCCGAGCTCAAGTGCGACGGGTATGCCAAGAGAAACTCGCGAGCAACGCTTGGCAAGACGACAGGCGCTTGCTGAACAAAGACAGCGGGAGGAAGCCGCAGAGTTGACTCGTGCTCTACAGAGGCAAATCGCCGTCGACGAGTTAATCAGACTCGAGCGGGCAACTACAGTCGTAGATGTCTATAATCGGGATGTAAGTTCATTTCATGGCCATGTTCTTTATGAGATGTCTAACACTACCGACTTAGGACAACTCAATGACTGATATATCTATCAATCATATACCTTCTAATGGGATTGGTATTATTACCACAAACCCACGTCCCATCGCCGCACAAGATACTGATCCGAATACTTCTACCGACACCTCTACGAATGCAACCCCTATAGGTTCTGGTACACCAACTGGTACCGTTCTCGTCAATAGCCGAGAACGCAGTGGAACTATCATTGCTCGACCGAGCTGGGATCAACCTGTTGCAGGGGGAGCTCGTCATCGAGCACATCGCGCGCGGGAACATCGCCCTACCGATTCGTCACCTCCCGGGTCGACCGACAACTCTAGACCTGATACCGAGACAGAAGACGATGGAGACGTCGATATGGATCGTTCTCGAGATGGGGATGATACATCTGTATCACCCCGACTGCGTCCTACGAATCTCTCTGCGACTCAGCGACCACGAAGGGCTGTGGGTATCGTCTCGGATGGGCCAGATGCCGCTCCCTTGGAGGTGAACGCAGATGCCCACATTATCATCAATAATGGACAAGGTGTCGAGGATGGGATTGTTTCGCTGGAGCCGAATGATGATTTCGCTATGGGCGCACCTCCAGGGGCACCTGGTGCCTTAGATGAGACCGTAACTGCACGTAATCTTCGCGGTATGGATCAAGTAGAAAGACGAAACCGAATGGCTCCCGATGCCACCCCTCGAGCCAATGCCGTCAATCTTCCCACAGCTCCTACCATGCAGAATACGATCCCAAGCAACGGTACAGTACGCCCAAACCTTGCCCTGCCACGGGGTGATCATGCTGGAAATGTTGCAGCTACTACAATGGGACGAACGTCAAGTCACAGCGCTCACCATCATCGAGAATCTGACGCTGGTCCGTATAAGGATGAAGACGTGCTGCTCAGTCTGCAGTTGCTTGCGTACCTGAGCAAGTATCCACATGTGCGTCAGGCTTTTTATAAGCCCAGGACATCTTTCCATCCTGCTAGCGTCAATTTACCAAATTCACGTACAACGCAACAACAACCAGTGGCAGGACCTAGCAACGTGCGGACTGCACCTCCTGCCGTTGCACCTGTCAAAGAGTCTCACGGATTTTTTCGCGCGTTTTCGTCTGCTACCCGCGGTAAAGAAAAAGAGAAGGCACTAGCCGCTATTTCCAATCCTTCAGGGTCTTCTCCTCGGATGACAAATGTATTCTCACTTGTCGAACGGTTCACGTTCAGGCCTAGTTCATCCGAGACTGATCTACCCAATCCTCCTCCCAAATTGCCCCCTGAAATCCAGTACTGGGCCGGGGTCATTATGCGGAACGCTTGCCGGAAAGACGATAGCCGAGGAGGCATTCGTCAGTGTGCCAACAGTAAGTGGCGCTAGAACATGTACGGACCTACAATGTCTCATTTTCTTCATTCTTTTTTTGCAGTGCTTTGCGGACGATGGGAGACGTATCCGCGAGAGTTTGCTAAATGTAGACGGTGCCGCAAGGCGAAATACTGTGGAAAGGAGTGTCAGAGCACAGCTTGGAGCGAGGGACACCGTTTCTGGTGTAGCGCGAAGGATGGTGATGATGATGCGGATTTGGTTTCGGAGCAAGCAAATGGAGCTTCAGAGGCAAGCGATGGGGTTGTAGGGAGCGGTGTTACGATTGCTTCTGGTGCGACAGTTGTGGGACGGACGGATAGGCGTCTAGAGCGGCATGTACGAGAGCGTACGACGGCTGGAGCGATTCCTCCTAATACTGAGGACATTGAGCGGGCACGGCTAGCTGGAACTGGACCAAACAATGCCGCTGTTGCTTCAAACCGCACTGCTTGGTCGAGATTTGATGTGCACCGCCCGACACAACATCCCAACCCAGGATATGTTCCCCCAAGACCACATGCTGCATTACGTGAAAATTCACCATTGTCGAATATTGATACGGCAGTCAGTCGTCGACGGGCTGAGACAGTTTCGGGTGCAACTACTCCTCCAATTGTTGCCCCCGTGTCGCCTTATCCGCTTCCCGAAACTGGACGAGCAGGTGGTCGCACGCCTGACGCTGACGTTCCTGGCCCTTCGAGGGATCGGCGTCGTGTGGACAATTCTTTCTGGGAGTCTCGGGGGGACCAAGACATGATCCTTGGTTAGGCGCGAAAGATACTAATCTGATGTTGGCATTTCACACTACTCCTCCACACTTCATGGACACGGCTGTATGCCGTGCGTATGGTACTGGTTTGGGCTGTTGGTGTCTGATACCTAGATACCTATACTACTACTACCTCCTATGGCAGCACACAATCTTTTTCGTAGTTCGAGATGATTCCCCCTCACTGTTTTATTTTCTTTACTACTCTGCTTGCATCACAGTAAACTATACACATTTCTGATATCTATCGAGTTTATGACAACTGCGGGTTAGGCCTGGACTACTAAGAGACTCTTTGCACTGAATATCTCAGGGTTTTCTTTTTCGTCCTTTTTCGTCGGCGTCACGTGATGTGTGTGACTTATTTGTGCCGAGCAAATAAAAACTTGAGAAAAAGTCGGGAAAGTTCTACGCGCAACTTTTCTTCAGCTCAACGCTAGTCCTGCTTTTGCTCCAGCTTTCTATATACTATGGTAAGCCCCAGTCAGCTTCTGTGTTCAGTCAGGCATCTAATGTATCTTGATGTGTCCGTAGGCTGCCCAGGCAACGTTCAAATCCATCAAAGCTGTCATGCCTCTGCTTGACCGTGTCTTGGTTCAACGTTTTAAGCCAGAGACCGTGAGTAGCTATCAGTATCATTGCAAACCTACTCGTACGATGTTCTGCTTAGAAAACTGCGACTGGGATCTTCCTCCCTACGTCTGCCACCAGCAGCCCATTACCTGAAGCAACTGTCATTGCTGTTGGACCGGGTGCCCCAAACAAGGAGGGCAGTGTTGTACCAACATCGGTCCAAGCTGGTGACCGTGTATTACTTCCTGGATGGGGTGGAAACTCCATTAAAGTGGGCGAGGATGTACGTTTTTCTGACTAGTTATACCCCGCTCATTATTTGCATTTTTGCGGAGTTAGTTGTTTTTTTACTGAGACGTTATCATTCTTTTTAGGAATATTTCCTCTTCAAGGACTCCGAGATTCTCGCCAAGATCCAGGAGTAAGGTTGATGGTGGTTGTTGTCTGTAGTTATGGTCGAGCTGGACAGGTTGGGCCTCGACATGGGGGTGGATTAAAAGTTTGCCGTCATTTAACCATGTTTATTCATTAATTGCTCTGTTCACTGCATTTTATCGCAATCTATTCACAAGCATCCCCACTCACACATCCGTTGCCTCGATGCTGATTAACGTTATTACTTTGCCTCGAGTCGGACGTTAGGTCAGGGCAGAACTTTGTGATATTGAAGGAGCAGGGTGAACATGCTGTATGCTTGCGTCTTTCCTTGCTGCTACTGGTGCCCCACTGCCGTCTGTATTTCGTCAGATAAACGTTTGGCGCCTCATGTTCAAACCGCGCCTAACGCAAAGGGCTAAGTGCGACGAGCGTGTCGCACAAATTTCTGAATGGTGCTATGATTGAGACTGGATCCCCGGAGGTCATGGTGGCGACACCCGCAGTAAGCCCATGACGGGAACAGGATTAGTGATTATCTAGGTTCACACAGTGCTGGCCAGGCTCTTTTCAGCTGTGGTCCGGACAAAGGTATGGACACATGCGATGGGTCCGCTCGAATCTCGTCATGCGTTTTAGTAGTGACAGCAATGAAAACTGAGTTATCAGGTGATCCTGAGCTTCGCAGTATTTTTTGGAGGGTTCCAGAAGGCACGTCAGACATATTTTTGGGTGCGGGTAAACGGAGGAAGCACAGTAATATGATTCCATAAAGCGTGTCTGCAGCAGAAAGCAAAATGAGTGGCTGATGTCGGACCCGGATGTGGTTTCGGCCTGCAGCGCCCTGTTGTGTTCTGTCAGTTGGCTTAGTAGTCCGCTTACCAAACCCTTCCGAATCACGGCCCCCCGCTGTTCACGCCATGCCTACGATTTGCCTTGAGCTTATATAGAATTGCTTGTGTCCTTTTATACCGCATCGTCACGTCCTCTCTTTCCATCATTCCCTCTCGCCACTCCACAGGGAATCATGTCAAGGTCGCAGCACGACGTCGGTCCTAACGTCATGGATGCCTCGCACGACGCCGAGAAGGGTCGTCCAGAGAGTCGTGACTTCAACGAGAAAGAATTTCTTTCCCGTCAATCCGCAGAGGCTGCCCAGCGCAGCACAGTAAGATCTGTATGCCTCGTTATGACTTGCACCGCTGCTATGGTAGTAAACGTGAGTGATTGCCGGAATATATGCTCTTCATCAACTCATGTGTTCATGTAGATTTCGAATTCAACAGCTGTATCTATATCTTTACCAACTATCGGGCGGGACCTTGGCATAGAAGAATACAAGCTACAGTGGCTAATATCCGCTTATTCTCTTAGTTCTGTAAGTTTTATCTCCATATAAAATTAATTGCCCACCCAGCTGACCTATCATGGCAGGGCTGTCTCCTTTTGTTCTTCGGGCGTCTCGCAGACTTGTACGGCCGAAAGAAAGCATTCACTTTGGGTACCTTGTGTCAAATGGCATTCTCTCTTGGTTGTGGATTTGTACAAGGTCAGTACTTACCTTACTCAAGTCGGATTCGCTTACGTATTTACGAACCACTTGCTCAGATGGTATAACGCTCGATGTTCTTCGAGGCTTCCAGGGTCTCGGAGCGGCTGCTACAATACCTTCGGCGGTGCGTGGGAACATTTCGCGCTGCTTCTTTGCTTCACATGTTAATTCAATTTATTAGCTCGGAATATTGGCCCACGCGTTTCCTCCATCGAAAGCTCGATCCATAGCTTTTGCTACCTTTGCTGCTGGTGCGCCTGTTGGTGGCGCTTTTGGTACTATTATAGGCGGTGTGCTTACCCAACTCACCTCGTACGTCATTTCCACCATCAGTGGCGACAGATCCTGACGTGATGCTTCATACTTTAGGGAGACGTGGCGTTCAACTTTCTTCCTGGCTTCCGGATTGAGTGCTTTGTGTTGCATAGGCGGCATATTCTCCTTTGATGCCGATAAGCCTTCCATGGAGGCAGATCGGCGAGTTGATTGGATAGGGGCTGGTCTCGTAACTGTAGGTTTGGTATTGATTGTGTTTGTCCTAAGTGAAGGCGACATTGCTCCGGATGGCTGGAAAACTCCTTGTATGTTTCAAAGTATCTATTATCGTATCTCACCGTGACCTGACATTCACACCATCTAGATATCATTGCCTTGCTCATTATTGGTGTTATCTTCATCGGGGTGTTCCTCGCATGGGAACATCATTTGGAGAATGTCATGAACGATCCTAACAGAGTGAAATCTATTTGGTCGCCACCTCCTTTGATGAAACTCTCTATATGGGGTCGGGCCAACGGCAGAATGGCAGTTATTCTTGTCATAGCATTCCTTAACTGGAGTGGTTTCATGAGTTGGAGTTTCTGGGTGCAGGTATGTCTACCTTTATCTGTGGTAACCAGCCATCCCAGCTAATTTAAATTATCTTTAAACAAAGTTGTATTATCAGAATTACCTCCAGCTTACACCAGTCCGCACCATGGTCCGTTTTATCCCTATGTTTGTCACGGGTTGTCTCTGCAACTTTTTTGTGGCGGTCCTCGTTGGACGGCTTCCTATGGTCATATTTGCTGGTGTGTTGATTATCCCACGATATCCCGGCTCTTTGGCTTATCAGTTTATCATGTGTTCTCCCACAGTCAGTGGCACGTTACTTACAGCGTCTGCCGGAATCCTATTCGCGGTGATCAACCCTTCAGTAACATATTGGGCATTCGGGTTTCCGTCGACTGTATTCTCAGTGTTCGGCGCCGATTTCGTTTTCTCATCCGGGACAATATTCATTGCAAAGATTGCGATGGGCCATGAGCAGAGTGTTGCGGGAGCGTTGTTCCAGACTATGACACAAGTGAGCCAGCGTCATCTTTTCATCTTTGTGTTGTTGTGCTCACTGTCGGGTGGAGCTTGGCACCGCGTTTGGTCTGACAATCTCGACCATTGTGTTCAACAGTACCGTCAACAAGGAGTCTCTTGCGCTTGGCGTTGTTCCAAATATTGACGGCACAAATACACCGCAGGCTGCCCAACTGAAAGGTTATCGCTCTGCACAGTGGACCGCTTGCTCATTCTGCCTCTTCGGTGAGTTGGCTCCTATCTCATCTCGGCTTGTGTACATGCCAATTTACCGGTGCCTTTTAATGTTTAGCTGCATTACTCGCAGCTGTCTTCCTTCGTGGCGTTGGCGTCGTCGGCCACAAGAAAAAGGGAGCTGATCATGATAGCGAGAAGACTGTTATGGATCAAGCACCACAAGGCTCCAGTGTTAGAGCCAGTCCCGCCCCGGAGGCATAAAATCTTGTTTCTAATCCATGACTTTTTATCTCATCACGCCAATCCATACGAAATATGGACGAACGGAGTGATAATTGTTTTTACACATACTTAATTAACTGCCCTCATAGGACACACTTACGTGCTTACATGTCATGACTGGACGCGTTTTCATGGTTAGCATATCTTTCTTGCAATCATGACTACGTGGTCGCTTATATATAGAGCTTCGTTTGGATGGTTTTTTGGTGTTTAAAGTGGAATGTGTTCTTTTCTTCTTTCAAAGATCGCTAACGTATATATTCTTTCCCCATCTTCCATTGCGCACCTTCTCCCGATCACCACAGCATCCATCCTACTTTACATTACTTTATGCAACTTGATGGTTGTTTCTTTTTCTGTAGCCTTTTGAGCATTGTTTTCTTGCACGCAACTTAGATAGGCATTCAACATGGTTTGAATACATATGACAATCTGTTTCAAGGGTACTTAGTTATCATTTTACGAAGAAAAGCTGGAAAAGACGAAATATTAATTCGTTCTGGGTTTATATTCAGTGACGTGACATGTCTGTAATCATGTGACGGAACTAGTCACGTTCCACGCTTCAGTGTCCACCACTAGTTAATTAAAGCTTCTCAAGCCAGTAAGCTTTCAGTGCGAACCAACACCAGCGCATATATTTTCCATATCATAAAGGTCTTCAAAGTTGCAAAAATCTCAGAAAACTGTTGAATATTTGATTATAGTCGGTGAGCACTCATGTCAGGACTCTTCCGATATCTAACTCAATGAATACCTCCAACGACAGCCGACTGGTCCTGGGGCTTGTTATCGTTATCCAAGTCATGAAGTGAGATCACCACGGCCCAACGCGCTGGTGAACATGGAGAACCATAGTGCTTGCGGTCTTCAGCCGACGTCTAGGTAAGTTTATCATGTTGTACAGCGGCTTTTAACGAATTTCTCTTCCCGTGATCAGCCTCATCGAAGACTTGGATGCGTCGGAAGGAGTCACCGTTACTCTCACTGGTAATCCTTGTCGTAAATTCTGTTCATGCAATAGCGTGATGTTAATTTGCTGGGTCATGTAGTTGTAAAATTAACGCATCTTGCAGACTTGGTTTCTTGCCAACTACATGTGACTATTGATTTGGATGGTTGTGAATTAGTACAGACCATCTGTAGCGATGGTATCGGTGATCCAACTTGGGGCGAAGTCTTTCATCTGTTAGTATTATACTTCATGATGCATGATTCCGTTTGACTTACGGCTTTGTTCTTTCATCGTCTGCAGTACAATGACATGCTCTTCTATCCTTCAGTTTTCTATCTTCAGCCACTTTTCGAAAGCTTTCTCAATTCGTGAACATGGCCCCGTAGGCAAGGTATATGCTACAGTTGAAGAGCTCTTATATCTTTGCAAAGACAACCATGGTAAGTGCAGCTTTACATTCGTACTTGCCATCTTTTCTTGCGTCGCTCATTTCTATTAAGAGACATCACTTCCGATCCAGGTTGTAAGTGGGAGTGGTAAGCTGTGCAACGGTTACCTAGTAGTAGCCGTGACACAAGCTGCCAGCACTTCCATCGATGAAGAAAATCTTACGCGATCTGAACTATCTCAGTAATATATCATTGTCAAATCCAACTGTTCTTACTCTAATAGGTTTTTCATTTAGGAACTTTTACGTTTTTCCTTTGGCTTTGTCTCTTCGGGCAGTTATGGATCGCTCACAGATGCTCACAGCCTTAGGAGAAGCTTATCAAGCTCGTTTTAAATACCGTAAGGATGTCTGTGGGATAGATTTGACTCTCAAATGCCACAAGAAAGCACTTGATATCCGCCCCCTAGGACATGCGCGCCGACTCGAGTCGCTTTGTCACCTCGCAACTGCCCATCTTTTCCGATTCGAAGAACTCAGTGACGCCGCAGATTTAAGCGCAACTATCTGCTACCTCACGGAAGCATTGGTTTTGCAGTCAGTTGACAGTCCCCACAGACCTAAGTTATCTAGCGACCTTGGTACGGCATTCATGGCTCGTTACCAGCATAGTCGAGATACTACGGATTTAGACATGGCTATTCAGTATCATCTTGAAGTCCTCGCGATACGACCGCCGGGCCATCGTCAACATTTGAAATCACTCATGAAGCTCGAGCAGGCTTACGCAGATAAACATGAAGCTAGTGGAAATTTGGCTGACCTTGATTTTTCCATCGAGTACCATCGTCAAGCGGTGGAACATGCTTTGGAGCGTGCACAGCGCTTATCAGAGTCTCAATATCGCACTATTCGTGCGGTCAGGGATCTTGCTGATATCTATGTGACGCGCTTTGAAAGCACTAGCGACTTGCATCACTTGAATATGGCCACAAAGTATCGTCAAAAGGCGCTGGACCTCATGCCCCAAACTCACCTTTTTCGGTATGCGCTCATCCGCGACTTCGTGACGACGTGCTGGATCCGCTTCAAGCATTGTAAGGATTCCAGTTCCTTGGATCTAGCTATAAACCTTTCCCATGAAGCGGTGACTATGTGTGCTCCTGGGCACATTTATCATCTTTGGGCACTTAGAGACCTCGCCGACTCATATATGCTCAAATATAATCAATATGGTGGTGCTGGAGATCTTGATTCAGCCATTGATTATCGTGTCAAAGTCTTGGAATTTGTCTCCACGGAGGAACTATCCTTTTCAGAACCTCGAGATGATCATAGTCGTATCGGTGGTGAGTTAAGTGCATCGGATTTTACCCTCCCACCAATGGAACTTGATCGCCACTTTTATCTTGGGAGTTTGGCGAATAGTCTTCAAAAGCGTTTCGAGTTATGCGGAGACCTGTCGGACTTGCAGATGGCATTCCAGTATTTTCAAGAAGCTCTTGGCTTATGTCCACCAGAGCATCCCGATAGGCCTGATGTACTGAATGGCATTGGCACAGCATTTTGGGCTCGCTATGAACGCTGGGATGACATCAAGGATATGGAACAAGCCATAGCTTATCATAGTGAAGCACTCAGCATCACTTCTCCTGGAGATCCACATCATGTTGGCTCGTTGACAAGCCTCGCCAATATACTGCAAAGTCGCCATTGACATGAGCGGCACGGAGACTTTTCAGATCTAGATATTTCAATTGACTATCGTCGGAAAGCCTTGAAATTATGCGCTGTGGCTGATGACGAGCGCTTCATTTCTCTCATTAATCTCGGTAGTGCGCTATACCATCGTTTTCAGTTACGGGGTGATTCTGAAGATCTGGAGCAAGCTATTCAGTGTTATACCGAAGGCCTTGCGTCTTCCATGGGACAACTCGATCGTCATAGTTTCCTCGTCAACCTTGCCAACTCTTTCCAATCTCAGTTTGGGTTGACAGGTAATCCTTCGGATCTGGAAACGGCGGTGGATTTTCACAAACGGAGTTTAGAACTTGTTCCGCCGGGGCATATCAATTATGCTCCGTCACTTAACAATTATGCAAACGCTCTCCTAACTCGTTTTGAACAGTATGGTCGCTCTGGAGATGTCGACCAAGCTATCGAATATCATCGTCAGGCATAAGACATGTACCCGGCAGGGCATCCAGAGCGCTGTCGGTCGCTCAACAACCTCTCCCTCGGGTTTCAGGCACGGTACCAACGTTTTGGAGAGGTGAAGGACTTGCAGCAGATTTTTGTCTGTCTCCAAGATGCGTTGACAATACTACCGACTGATAGTCCAAACCTGTTCCACATATACGATGCCCTTATATCAGCTCATCTCACTAGATATACGGCTTTTAAACGAATGGGCCGTCAGACAACAGACCTTGACGATGCTTTCAAAAATTATAATTATGCGACAAATCATCCCTTTTATGATTCCTGGCGTCGACTAGAGCTGTCACTGGGATGGATAATCAACTCGGAGAAGCACAAGCATACATCAAGGCTTGATGCTTATAAGACATCTCTTTCATTGCTCGATCGACATACCGCCGTCGACCCCTCATTGGAATCTCGCCTTCATATCATCAAAAGCGCTCCAGCATCCTTGGCATCAGACGCAGCTGCTTGTGCAATGGGAGAAAGTAGAATAGAATTGGCTGTTGAACTTCTCGAACAAGGACGAGCAGTAGTGTGGGCACAACTTGCTCGGTTTCGTACTTCGCTTCACCGTCTACGAGAAACAAGCGAACATGGACAGGAGCTTGCAGCGCGATTTCAGCTCCTCAGCTCACAAATGGAACACCAAAGAGCACTCCCCGAGAGAGTTAGAATGAGTTCTCAAATCTCACTTGAAGAGGAAGCACGGAACTACCGTAGACTATCCAAAGAGTGGGATGCGGTGGTACAACAGATACGGGAAGTCGATGGATTCGCGCATTTTCTGAAGCCTGTCCCATTTTCTGACCTTCACCCAGTTGCCGATAACGGACCTGTGGTCATTGTCAATATTAGTCAATATCGTTGTGATGCTATCATCATTCTCAAAGCCTCCCCACCGCGTCTCATCAACCTCTCACCTCTAACTCTAGGAGATATATCAGAAATGTCTTCACAATTCGCGGATATTTTGAAGGGTACATCCCATGTTGGAGAGGAAAAGATGAGAGAAAAACTGATCATACCAGTTTTGCGTAGGTTGTGGTATCTTATCATACAACCCGTCGTGAATGAAATCAAAGACTTGGTCCCTAAAGGCAGCCGTATCTGGTGGTGTCCGACCTCCAGATTAACATTTTTACCTTTGCACGCGGCGGGTGCCTATCGCAAGGGCGAGCACAACCTTGCCAACCTATTCATATCGTCCTACACTCCGACATTATCTGCTCTCCTTCGGTCTAGGGAGGTTCAAAGAAATGCTGCGACCCTACCTCGTTTTCTAGCTATAGGACAAGCGAAACCAAGTGAAGCAAGCCATGAATCCGAGCTGAAGTTCATTGGTTTAGAACTAAATCTCATTAAATCATTAGTCCCACCAGTCATGTGTTTAGCACTTTCGAAGGTGCCATCAGTGGCTTGCACAAAAATGCGTGGATTCATCTTGCTTGCCATGGCAAGCAAGACCTTTCCCAGCCATTTGATTCGTCGTTTGCTCTGCGTGACAAACCGCTTCGATTACTTGACATCGCTCATGCAAACCTCTCAAACCCGGAATTCGCTTTTCTATCAGCTTGTCACACCGCTGCCGGGGATGCTACGGCTCCCGATGAAGCCATACATCTAGCTGCAGTGATCCAATTTTCTGGATTTCGGGCGTTATCGGAACGATGTGGGCTGTCGACGATAGGACGGCACGTCATATGGTTTCGAAATTTTATACCAATCTATTCAGCGATGGCTCGGTAGATTACACAGGAGCTGCAAAGGCACTTAACAAAGCCACAAAAATGGTGGACAAGGACGAAGTTCCATTGGATCAGAGAATTGTGTTCATTCATGTCGGCGCCTGATTTTCAGCCATTAATTCAAGTTAATCTTCGAATCGCTACTAGTATGGTATCATTTGACTCGAAAATATATGCTCTTCCAACGCCCAGAATTGGTGAACTGTCTGGTGCGGTGCGCTAAGTTCATCTGTTACTGGGCTCGCTATCTCATAAACCCGTATGTTGCAGGTCTATTCGTCGAGAATGACGGTAAAACCTGACAATAAGGCTTGGAGCTTGAGCTATGAACGCCTGATCGGGCAATTTTGTTTCTAGCTCCTGCAGGCTCCGCCAAAATAAATCAGCAATCACTTTCGCTCACTGCATGGTTCAGAAATTTTAGGTCGGAGCAAGTTGTAGGCATTATTGCTGCAGGAAAGTATACTACTATACCTAGCAGTGCGTTATGTAGTGCACGTGATGACTGTTGTCAAGTTATTACTTGGTGTTGCTAAGATTATCTTCCAGCTTCCGAGATCTCATTCATTCATTCTTTCTTTCTTTCTTGTATAACGTCCCACTGTCGCCTCTTATAAAATAAAAAGGTATCATTTCTATACCACAGTGGTGTCTGCCCAGGATTAATGCAGGCTTATCTTCGGTGTAGTTCGCGCATCTCCGTGCATCTTCAAAAGCCATCACTCGGATAATGGCCGCTCGAATGGAAGAATTTATAGTGTCACTAGAAGCGCTCAGAGACGAGATTGATATTAAATCTCAACGAGAAAGGGTACTTCTGGACCAGCTGCGAGTTGTGCGTGCAAAAGAATTGGAATTACTGGATGAACTGGCCAAAGCTGAGGATGATTTGTGTGTCCTGCGTATAAAAGCCAACAGGGATGCGAATCCGAGTCCCTCATCCAACCATATATCTCGTCTTCCTAACGAGCTGCTATCAACAATTTTCCAGGAAGCTAAAGACGCGTACGATGGAGTACCCCGTATTGAGTTATCAGTTTCTCAAGTCTCGCGCCGCTGGAGAGACATCGCTCAGAATACCTCTTCTATGTGGAAGACTATCCACATCAGTCCGTCTTCATCTACACTTTCGCTTGCCGGAATGTATCTTGTGAGGTCTGGCTCGCAGCCCGTTGATCTGCATCTCAACTACCTATTTGAAGATGGAACGGATCTTCGCCAGAGACTAGTAATTGGCAATAACATGGCTGAAGAAGCCTTATGGTGCATCGATCGCTGGCATAGGCTGACGATCAAGGCCGACCAGGATATAGATCATTTACTTTCTAGATTTGGAGCGCTGCATGCCCCAAATCTGCAACATATCTCCCTCGACATACCTCATGATAACGGTTCGCACCCTCTGTTACTGCTAGCAGGTGGCGTTCCTAGATTAACATCATTGAATGTTACCAATATCCTTCCAACGTCTCTCGCAATTCCCGTCCACAGAAATAATCTGTCCTCCCTGGTTATGTCCACAGACTGCGGCGGATATGACACATTTTGCAATGTGTTACTGAATTTCCATGCTCTCACACATCTCACCCTTCATCGAAATTCTTTCATCTTCTTGGGAGCTAATGTTATACGGACAGTTGTCATGTCCAATCTACGTTCGCTGCTAGTGACGGGTTATGGACATGTCACTGAAAATCTACTCGTAACTCTGAAAACCATATCAGCGCCGAACCTGGAAGAGTTCGTTCTCGATATATCGTTTCATAGGATGTACAAGTACCTATATGCAGATGATATTAGGATCCCGTTCCTCCGCAATCCCCCAGTCGCCATTTGTCATTCGTTACGTTCGTTGACTCTCGACCTTCCCATACGTGGTGCAGATGCGCTGTTCTGGCTTATTGAAGTGTTGCCGAAGGATGTTGAGTCTATCACCCTTCCTCATGATAGCTTTGTAATGAGGGCCTTTCTCCTCAACGCAATCCCGTCTACCGAACATTACGAATGGCCACCATTATGCGTACCTCCTGTTATTGTGCATCCGGACGAATCTGACGCAGACGACTCTTTTGGTTATGAGGTGGATCTAGGAGTTCCGGAAGTTCAATCACAAGATGAGATGATGTGGCTGGCTCAACGAATAAACGACAAATATGGCAAGACGTTATGGTGGCCTACGCTGCATACACTTGTTTTTAAGGAGCCTCATTTCAGCTTCCACTTCTTGCTCCGATTATTGCAGGCACGAGAAAAGGCCGGAAAGCCAATATCTACACTGAGGTTTCAGGGGCCTGGGAAGAAGTACTCTTCCAGCTTTCGACAGATGGTAACCAATGGGCTGCGAAGACATGTTGCTGCCATTGAGTTTGAATAAATCCCTTAGGGATTTTTTGTATACAGAGGTCTATATTTGTCGCTTGCGTCGCATATCAATACACCACGGGCATGGAAGGGTAGCAGACAAGCCGTACCGTAGGGTGGTGATTCATGCACAAACATCATAATTTCATCAGGAAAACGAGGAGACCCTTGCATTACCAGGCGGAGTTGATACGCGGACATCAAAGTGGTTGCAGTTTAGCATGGCTTAACAGTGGCAAGGTTGATCAAGTCAGGTCAGGTAGATGCCCCATTTCTAGCAGCATGCCAGATCGTCAATGCTCTGCTCAGTCAACAACAGAAAGATTATGATAAGATAGTTAATTATCGTGGTTGATCTGTAAACTAAAAACATTCATCGTGGTTTTCCAGACAGATATATGATCTGCAATCACAAAACATATTGATGCGTGTTTGCTCTGGTCATGTAATTTAGAGACAGTATGGCTACCAAGGTGTATTAGCTGATAGTGATTGATAAGTAAACTATCAATATGTGTCAGTTAGATGTCATTTGGTGAACGGCGTGCAATGTTATTATCGGACTCCCCATCGGTATACGTGAGTGTCTGATTATCAATTACCAGATCCGCATGAAAACGGGGCACAACCTGTCGGAGCTGAAAAGCGGATATCAGGCGGTATATATCAGGTAAAACATTCCCTAACCTTGTAAACATTTGGTTGTGAATAAAATGAGATTGCGGAATGACGACAAAATTAAGAAGGGATGCAATCATTAGATTCGAATTTCTAGCCTGTGATCGAAGTCGGAATTCGTAAGTAATACAAGACTAAATCTATTGCTGCAACATATATTCAGATCTGATAAGAAATGTATTATAACTTTTTACGACTTCAAAAGAATTGGGAGAGATTGTCCTAATAGTATCAAAGCGCAGAATGAAGATATTTTATAACAATTAGTATACAACGCTGAAAATTAACTATGGTTCTCCGGCTGGCATTGTGAAAGGGATTACATGGCTGGGAATTTCGACAGATAGTGGAACAGCTGGCACAGTAATTGTTTTGCGGCCTTCATTGATCCAAGATCCATCTTCCAAAATGTGACGCCTAAGCAGTTTTAGCAGGCGCGAGTTCGACGTATTGCGAGGTAGGCCAAGAGCTTGGATGCAAAGAGAGCGCACTGTGCTACCATCAACTCGTTCTTCCACTCTGCGTCATGGTCTATAGCCTCCCCTGGCATTCTTTCATGGTAGTACTCGTCGGGTTCAAGCAACATGAGAGCGAGGGCACACAATGGCTTCCGTAAGCCTGTTTTGAGAGTTCAATAAAGTAAATTTTGCGAATATAAAAGAGATACCTACACATGTCACCTGTTTTAAAGCTCATGGCCAACATCGTTCGACAGAGGTATCGCTCCACTGTAGCGTGCTCCGCATTTGTTGAGAGCCTTCCAATGTTGTGCTCAACACGGCGACTCCAGGCGGTAAGATGGAGAGTGTCAAATGTAAGGAAACGACTTCCTTGGGCGATACTCTTGATGGGCATATAAACCATATGTAACATTCCCGGAGGTTGGATTCTGGGGACGTTGTCAGTGTGCAACGCAATGGCCACCAGTTAGCTACTGAAATTACTTACAAGACAGAACCAGGCGTCAATATAAAAAGATCCGAATTGGCTTCCAAATCTTCCATATTCAGTATTTTTTCTGTCACAGCAAGACGGTGCTGTGTAGAGCTGCGACTCTCGACTGGCTGAGAGGGGTCCTCTTTAGGCCTGAAGATACCCCAAATCTTCATTCCAGTCTTTATCATGATATAAGTCGCCAAACCGCCCGAGTCATGATGAGGGAAGGTGACATATCCAGCTCCAGTCATAAGTTTCCACTTGTTCATCGGGTGAAAATTGTGATTATAGCTATCAGGTGGAGCTAAGGTTACTATAGGTTTCTTCGAGCTTCCGTCGATGACATTTATCCTTTCAGTGTTGATGAAATCGTGAGAGTGGTCACAAAGCATGCTATAATGATGATGAATGTTAGGTATCAAAGTTATGAAGCGATCCCAGGACGAACTCACTGGATAAAAAACGGTCTATTCCTTTCTTCGCTACCAGAATCCAACAGATTGGCACATATTTCTGGATGCTGTAGCGTGTCCACACAGTCACCTACGGGTCCACTGTGATGAACTTTGGTTCCTTGCAGGTACGATTCTGACTCCAGCATCTCGGTACTCTGATTATTCGAGTGAAGTTGGGTCGCCCTGCGCGATTTCTTGCCTACTGGTGTATAATCCGAAAACCAATAACCGTCTGTTTCCAGATCGGACTGGTCAACATCTGGACTGACATTTGGTAGAGACTCTTTGCTCTCGGTTCGTTCCTTGGCCCGAAGGAGGGCGTCTGATAGTGATAAGAAAACATCACAGAATGCCGTAATATACTCAACTGACCTTGCCATATAACTGGGTGTCTTAGATCACAGAATTCGCGGCGAAGGCCAGCTTCTGTCCACTTAGTACGAGGCTTTCTCGAGTCTTCACACCAGGGTACTAAAACAGGTTGACCTAAGGCTAAACACTGGCACATTCAACGGTAGAATCTTGACAGGGCCTCTTCATCTTCCGGATCTTCAGGGAGTGGAAGAACCAGTACGGGCGGGTCTTGTTCACCGGGAGGGCAGGCTGTTGCATCCTTACCGTGTTCCACCATATATCGCACGGCTAATATGTCATCATCCTGTTGTAATTGTTAGTATGTGTATGGACTGTCCAATATATATAATATAATACCTCATTCTTGACCACTCCATCCAAGGCAGCCGAAAAAGGAAGAACTGTTTCTAAACCATTAAACCAAACCACTGTTTTTGCCTCGTGCGGGTACTGGACACCTTCGCATTCTCGGATGCACAAATCTTTCCTCCAAGATTTATCGTATGTGGGAACGAAGGTGGGCTCTAGAGCGTTGGACAGTGCGTCGGTCTGGCCATTAAGCAAGCCATCGTCTGAGGGAGGGGTAGAAGATGGATGCTGCGAGGAAGTCGCACGATTTTTCCAGTATGAGACTTGGATGGAGATTTTCTATTAGCTGTTTCTACGTACAATATCAGCGCGTTTCAATGAACAATAGAGGGATACACACGTGGGACTGTGCAATTGGCATCCGGTGCCAGACTATGGGAGTCGTCTCTTTTTCTTTTCCTAGCCTTACCAGTTGTTGGAGGAATGCCGAGGGCAATACTATCACTAATTGCTTCAACAGCTTGAGAAGCTGTGATATTATTGAGAGGGGTTCCGTTTAGTTCACCAATTGTTGCTTTATTCAAGCGGTATATCGACTGTTGCAATCTCCAGGTGACAGATCCATGTGATGTGCTCCAATAAAGCTTGTAGTCTCGAATGAAGGGATGAGGTGTGAAGATGGGATTACCAAGCCACTCATTCCAGTCGCCTTCAAACCACCATGCCTGATGTGCTTCAAGATCAATCCAGATGTCTCCTATAATTCCAGGAACTGGTGGAGACCTTCGCTCATAGAACATCCTGTAAGAAGAAACACATTTATCTCCCACAAAAACGACAAGCGACGGATCTGAACGCGCTGATTTCATGGCGTATACCTTGATACTGAATGTTTTGATCGTGTTCGCCCGTTTGCCAGCGATCATCTACAGTAGATATCTCGAAAGACGTAGCTGTCGCACCTGAAGGCCTATGAGTATCTCCAACCTTTGTAGAATGATGCTGCAGATACCGACTTTCAGCAAACTGGAATTGCTGATGCGGTTTCTGCTGAGGACCCAGTGACGATGTTTTCGTTCTCATCATGAGTTCGCTGATTGATTTTGATAAGCTAGAAATGTGATGGTATCAGTGAACGACCATATTCACAATGTGACCGAGTCCGAGTCTAAATGAGTTGAAGCTTACCCAGACTAATGCCACCACTTGCTGATGCAGTCGGAGCAGTTGTCAGTGGGTGGTGTTGGAACCGGTCGTAGTAGATTTCTGAGAGTCAACAATGCAACCGCAGCAATTCCAAAATTTGATTCAAATATAGCCCAAGCTCGAGCTTAAGCACTTTTGAGCACTCAGTGGGACTGTCTGTGACCTAGTGGTAAATTTTCACACCGAACTGCGATTGAGCCTCCGAGTCCAAGTCTGAGCTTGGCGGCTGGCATACTCAAGCTAAACCTGAGCCTGACCTGTAACAACCAAGCGTTAGTTACTCTGGCACACACAGGAACACACTATAAAGGTAGTGAAGAGGGAGTGGTTACCCCTTAGGCTGCAGAGAGTTTGTTGGTATACAACAGGAGGACTCGCTGAGGAGTCTCCTTGATCTATTGGGGTATATATACTGTTACAGGTTTGTTTGTACGTATGTACTATACAGTTGCTAAAGGCAGTGGCTGATGATGTCATTGGGCGCAGCCCGTGTGACCAGCTCCACTGCGTGAGAGACTTGTAGCTAACAATAAGAAGAAAGCAGCGCAGCGTGGGAAAAAGGAGTTTGAACAAAAGGGAAAGTGCTGCATGGCACAGAGTGAAAACTACAAAGGAAAGTTGAAGAGGAGAATGAAAATTAAAGGAAAGGTCCAAAAATGTGTTATCGCAACACTACCCCCCCTCTAAGGCTCGACTTCCAGGCAAGACCAGATACCAGAGGTAGTAGTTAAATTTTCGGGCATAGGTTGAAAAAGAGAATTAAAAAGTTTCAAATCCATGCCTCTAAGCTTCCTAGGAGCCGAGGGATTCTTAGAATAAAATTCATGAACAGCGTCGCAGGAATTGTCCAGTTGGGCTTCTGGTTCCCACGTTCTGTCCTTGTCTCCATAGCCCTTCCATAGGACTAGGAATTCTAACTTTCCACGCTTCAAGCATGCATCCACCACTCGTTCAACTTCAAACTCTTCTTCACCTTCCTGGATGACTATAACCGGACTGGGCTGGTCTACGTGCTGTCCCGGCAGCGGCCCTTTGTAAGGTTTCACACGGCTAATATTGACCGTGGGTACTACCCTCATTCGTTTTGGGAGTTCCAGTTCTACTGTGTGGGGTTTGACTTCCTTAATCCGGTAAGGGCCAATCCACTTTTCAGTCAGTTTTCTAGACTGCCACTGGCTACATATTGCATTGCGCCCTCGCTTTTGTCGTTTCCCTTACTCCCCTTCCTTTGCCTAGCCCCACCATGGGCCCCTTCCTCTCCTTTTTATTCTCACCTGACGGTCGTTTCTGGATCCCCATTCTAATCCACTTTTCCGTCACCTCCACCCTCCTCCTCCTCATCTTTTTTTCTCCCCCACCATTTCTGATATCACCACTTCCTATCCGCTTCCGTTGCCGATCTGTCAACTACCACGTGCCACTGCTGATATCAGAAAAGCCCCGGCGGCCGGTCCAAATAGGGCAACAGGTCCATCTTCATAATGTCGATCTGCCATCATATACTATCAAAACATTGGTCGCTCGTCTTGCCTGGTTGGAGCGGGGGTGGGTAGTTTTTGAGCTGGAGAAGGTTCATCCCCTTGCGTTGCCCATGTTCATTGCTGTCCCATTCACTTGGGTACACTTATCTTTTGTCCATTGTCTTCGCTACAGCTACACCTATCACACACTGCCTGGGACTCACTTGTTCCAAATTGGAACTACTCCTCTCCCTCCCTCGTTTGATCAGGTGGTCCAACACAACCAGTCCATTGGTAAGGCCATGGAACTGTCGGATTTGGACTAGGTGGTGGACCGGTGGCTCCAGTTTCTTTTTCTTCAGCAGAACATTCATTTACAGTGCAATTATTTTTGATTTTTGAATCATTTTTATGGACACATATTTTTTTAGAATGCCTGACTGACAATAAAGGAACTGTGTTGATACTGATAGTGTTTTGCCTTGCCCTTTTTTTACTGCATCTTCCCATGACATCATGATTTTCCTGCTCTCTTTTTGCTATTGGACTTTACTTTATGGCTGTACAAACCTGTGACATTACTCACAGCATTTATTCTTCTATCCCTTTCTTTTCCTTTTTTTGACAATCTTATCCTGTACTACCTACGCAGGATTTGTCAGCGTACATTCCTTCCTTCATATTCTTTCTCATTCTTTTTGCACAGCTATACTGTGCATAGCCTACTTTTCTTTTACTATATAAACCCCTGTATTTTACCTTGTAAAAAAAACAAGAACTCCAATCCAGACTTCTTCTCTACTCTCAAGTTCACTACTCTGCTACTTGTGATCCAGTGTGGTCACAACACTTCCCACTTTTACCACTGTCAACTGCTGTCATCGTCACTTCCCACTTTTGAAGTCATTGTCATCCCTTTCAATTAGAGTCCTTCTGAGCACTACAGTTTGTGCGTCAGGAGCCTGCTATCACTGGGAACCTCGTCATATTGTCGTTCTCAAACCTACCTTGTGCTACGATTAGCAAGGTAGTGCTCGTCTATACTCGTCACAAAGCCCCTATCCTTCTATAAATTCAACTATCCCTCCTCCTCAAAACCCACACTCATACACTTCTGGGTTTTACTTTGAAGGATCTTTATACGTACCACCCCACAAACAACCAGACCACTCCACTGTTCTAGGAGGCAAAGCCCATAAGCAAGTTCCATGGAATCTGGGAGGATTGTGTGTTAGTTTGTTTTGTGTGTGGTTTTCTAACTGCAGTTCTCATCATCGACAGCGTGTCATTGCCCGATGTTCCTTGATGGTTGTTGTAAAGATCATGATGTTGTCAAGGTATATTACAACCTTTCCTTCATTGATCAGATCTTTAAATAGTGCATTCATCATCGTTTGAAAAGTTGCTGGTGAATTTGTGAGCCCAAAGAACATGACTAATTGTTTGTACAGCCCTCTATTTGTTCTGAAAGCTGCTTTCTCTTTGTCTCCTTCTACGATTTGAATGTTGTTGTATCCCCATTGTATATCTAACTTTGTGAAGTATTTGGCTCCACGTAGTTTATCCACTAATTTGTTTATCAATGGTAATGGATATTGATTTTTGATGGTAATATCGTTCAGTTTTTGATAGCCTTGTACTGGTCTGAGTTTTCCATCTTTCTTTTTTACGAAGAAGAATGTGAAGCAAATGGGGATTTAGAGGGGCATATTCTGCCTGATTCTAAATTTCTTTAATGAACTCATCCAATTGCTGTTGCTCTCCTAACACTAAAGGGTACACTTTGCAATCTAGTTTGTGTTCCCCTGGGATCAGTTCTATGGCATGATCCCATTTGCGTCTTTCTGGTAGTGCGTCAAAACTCTCTTTATCAAATAAGTCTTTGTAATTGTGGAGATATTTTGGGACTATCTTATCAAAACCTCCTTCCTTTTGATTTTTCCCAGCGGCTTCGGCAAGTTGTTGTGCAGTGCAGTTGTGCCTGTAGCTCTTACCTGGTAAAGATGTTCCGGAGTTCCGGTTTCTTCATAATTAAGTAGATCTACCTGATCCCCATCTGGGAAGTCTACTTCTTCGGAGTATGTTTCTGGATCTTCCTCTGGATCAGAGAGTCGGATCTTTTGTTTGCATTCCTCCAGACACCTTTCAAACTTGATATCCAATTTTTTTCAGTCAATGCTTGGATTATGCTTTGATAACCATTCATGTCCTAAGAACATTCTCCCACTGCCAAGATTTGTGACAGCAAAACGAATTCTTTCAGAATGATCATCAATTTCCATTTTGAGTTCTACGAATTCTTTGATGGCTCCATCCTTGTTTAGAGTTCCATCTGCATTGTACACTGACATGGGTCTCGGTATCTTATGAGTCTGGTATTTTTGGTTTTTTACGAATTCAGAATCTATGCAGCTTCCTGTACATCCGCTATCTAGCAGTGCTTGGATTGTTGTTGATCTTTGCGTGTCTAGAGTAGTTAATCTGCAGGTGATATTCATTTGGTTTCCCTGCATTCCTCAAATGTACTTTTTTGGGGTGTGAAGTTCAAGAATGGCTAACTCAGCATCATGTAACAATAATGCATTGAGTTTTTTTATTGTCTCTCTTGTTGCTTCTTTTCCCCTTTTATGGTGTGTCCAGGCATTTAAGATTCCAATGGATCTTTCTTCCTTTTGGTCTCTAAGCCTTTCTGCTACCCACTTGGGAGTCCACGCTGCTGTTACTATTTTCCTCTTTCCTTTTTCTAGGTTTTTATCAGAGGTGTGCCTGACCTCTTTGTGTTACGATCTCTATTGGACATTTAAGAACTACTCATTTCTTTTTACTCATTGGTTATACCATCAGACTGATGACTCATTTCCTTCACGTACACTTCCGTTCCTCTCGCATTCACAGTACCTATTATAGTACTTAGTCCTCAACAGACGGACCTGCCCTAGATAGGACCTAACTCCTATCACTGATTCCTTTCCATTATAAATACCATGTAACAGCAGTAGTATTCTCCAATACAATTCTACGCAGTTCACGCTTACAAAGCTAGACTCCTAAGATCAGACTTCTACTCAGAAGAAGACCAACTCTCGTTGGAAAACCTCTACTCAGAACTACGTTCTCGAACTTGTCTTTGGATAAGTCTCTTTATAAACCTCGACGAACCCTCAGACTTTGTTAAGCACTTCGTGTGTAACACTTTGGAGCCAGTCGTAGTATCAGTATCATTGGTGCTACCCAATTGAGTCACCGCATTCTGTACTTCAGTTGTCTCCTTCTTTGCTGCGCTTTTCATGGTCCTATCCCCTTTAGGTACCTTGCGTGCCGCTTCTAGGCTTTTATCAGAGGTGTGCCTGACCTCTTCAGAACGTGTCAAGGTATCAGTATCAGAAGCGCTACCCAATTGAGTTGCTCCATTTTGTATCTTAGTTGTTTCTGTTTTGGGAATCTTTTCAGCCCGTTTCCCTCTCAGGCTCTCCTCTTTAGATTGCTCTTTCTGTTTCAGATTTTGTGCGTCTTTAAATAATGCAGTTTCATTTTCATCGGTTTTACATGCATCAAAATCATCAACAGGGAGAGAGGCATATCTATTTACATTTGTAATGTCTTTTGGCTCGGTCTGACGAGAAGTCACAGCCGGCCTCTTTAAAAATCCTTGAGCAGTTTGTCCTGCTCTTCTTTTGTCATCCCTTCTAACATAGCTCGAAGGTTGAACTTTGGTTTTGCAGCTGCGCTGCCTCCTTCTTTATGGTCTTGGGCTCTGTGCCCCTTTTCTCCACACTTGAAGCACCTGCCTTCTGCTCGGTACTTTGCCTTATCAACTTCTATTCTTTGGCTGGCTCCACCATAAGTGGTTCCAGTCCCGTCTTTCTTCTCTTCCATTGTCTCGGCCTTCTTCTCTGAAGCACCCTCTCCTTGGTACCAACCATTGGGTCCCCGGTTTCCGGAACCGGAGCTGCCGCTGGCCATACCCTTCATCATCCGCTCGTTTTCTGCTTGATCTCACCATAATTGATTATTGGTGATGATCCTTGTTTTCCACTCAGTATATGTTTTCAGAATGTTTCCTGAGTAGATGATTTGTTTTATCAACGGGGAGTTGATATTGTTTCTGATTAACGTGATCAGGAATTGTTCATTCCCTTTCATGTTGTATCCTGCGCGTCATTTGGTTGCTTCAAATTTTACAAAGTACTCTTGCACAGTGAGAGTACCTTGTTTCAAGTACATGATTTTGTACTTGCTTCTTTCTTCTTTGAACACATCTTGGAAATGGTCCTTTAGCATGGCTCAAAATGAGCCCAGCTCTCCAATTGCTCCATTTCTTCGATGTCTGTCCTTTCATCTGCCAGCATCTTTCTTTCCACCCATTCTGTTCTAAGTGCTGCCGCTGCTCCGCTTGTCATAGAGGATAGAGTAAAATTAATCATGTTTACTTCTATCCGGAAGTATTCTGGGTTTGCTCCAAAACAAAGCTGTAGTGATTCGAAGAGGTTCCAGAACTTCTTCTTAATACTGTCATATGGTTCCGGCTTGGCTAATACGGTTTTTCTGTAGCCGGCTTCGTGTCCGATAGGCCGGTCCGTCTGTTGCTGCTGCTGCGGCGGCTGCATTGCGAGCCTTCTCCGCAAGCCTGCAACTTCTGTGTCTCTTTGCAGGAATTGCCTTTCCCACTCTGCATTGTTGTCCTGGATTGCGGTGTTCATGGCCATCCGGACCATCATCTCTAAATTCTGCATGCGCCTCAACTCTGGCGAAGGTGATTGTTGTCATGCACCAAAGTTGATTGGTAGCATGGACAGGTGTCAAAAACAAAGCAAATATTTAAGAAAGACTCGCCTTTGCGCCACACAGGCACAGTGCCACGTGGAATAACAATCCAGTCACACTCACCTTTGCTTTCCATTCAGTACTTTCCGCATTTTGGCATTTTGGCAAATTTTTTGTGTCACCACTGGCTACACATTGCATTGCGCCCTCACTTTTGTCGTTTCCTTCACTTCCCTTCCTTTGCCTAGCCCCACCATGGGTCCCTTACTCTCGTTTTTATTCTCACCTGACAGTTGTTTCTGGATCCCTACTGTACGTAGTTGTATGCAAGCAACGTCACAGGTCACAGGGGGTCGGTTGTGTTGCCTAATGTACTAGTTGGTCACCGGTCACAGGGGGCTCGTTGCTATCAACTTTTCAGTCACACTAGGCTGAGGTCAAAATTGTAAAAATTGCAAAAAATCACAAAAAATCGCAAAAAAAATCGCGCAAACAGCAAAAATTTGATTCTAGAACCCCTAAGTCTAAGGTAGAGTGCTTATGCGAGTACCATCCACATTCCAAGCCCAAATATCATCCCCCTCAGCCAACCCCCGCAAGAAACCACCATCATGGACCGCAGTGTGCTCGGAAGATGCAATACCATGGCCTGCTGCTGAGAAGGGCATGCAACCCAACCCGTTTCCGAGTGCCTCCTGAATAACTGAACCAATCGGGACTTCGGAATCATCCATGTCGGCACCTTCGTTGTTGAAGTCATCTTCGGGGTTGACATGTTCGGAGTCAATGCCATAAACATCGCCAATCTTTGCATCAATCTCGGCTTTGAATGTGGGGTGGTCTTGAAGGTACTTCTGCAAGGCCGCCTTTGTGTCTTGGTGCTGTATGACCTCAGGAGAGAGGCACCACTGTTTTACTTGGCATTTTGACCAAGCCTAAATAAAGTCGTCAGGATGGTATGATACTGATAATGAAATGGAGCTTACCTTGCGAACAAGCTCTGGGCCCTTACCCTGCTTGAACATGTCATAAACATGGACAGCAGGAGCAACTGTGGCATCCCGAAGAACGGGTAGGGAGTGAGTGAATCGGACAGCTTCAGGTTTTAGACCACCGGCTAGCTGTTGACGGTGTGATTCAACTAAAAAGTTGAGAGACTCTTGTTTCAGAGCATGCTTTGTCACGCGCTGCAGTCCGACATCAGCAGGTTGATAGATGCCAGTGCCTAAACAGGATTAGCAATCTAACAATCGAGAAGTTCAGGTTGTCTCTCCTTGATCACCGCCATAAGTATTGATCGCGCAACAAGAATATTAACCGGAACACCGGAAAGTCAAAGGCCCTTAAGCTGGGATGTCACCTCCTCGACAATCTCCCGATGTGGCGAGAGAATCCCAACGCGGCCAGTACGGGCAAGGACACTGCGACGTGCAACATTCTCGACTGTCTTCTTCAACCACTTCTTTCCCTTCTTGGAAATCCACTTAAAAACAGTTCCCCGATGGAGCTTTGCAAAAAGGCTCGGGTGGTCTTTCTGCAGCGTGCTAACAATGAATGTAGGTGACCACGCGACTCGAGAGGCGACATTGTTGATGTGAACCCAAAGGTATGGATGATACCAGTTTGTGCACGAGTGCCGATTCTGAATTGTGCCCTTCAACTTCCCATTACGACCCTTCTTCCATATCTTGCCAGGCCTTGACAGTTCAGCAAGATCAGAGAGATCGGGGACACCAGCAGCCGGGGTTTCATGGCCGAGAACCATCTGTAACTGTGAGTACAAAAGTCGAAATGTGGTTGGCAGGGACTGACCTTTTTCATGATTTTCCCCGCTGAGTTCCTCTTACCACTCCGTATCTCTTTCGCTTTCTTGCTGAATCGGCTTTTCCTCTTCCTCTCTCGTGCACCCTCGCGCTTCTGGGTCTCTCTCAGATTCCGGACCATGGCTTCTCTAAATCGCTCATCCTCTGCCTCCTGTCTCGTCTCTGCCATCTCTCTCCTATTCTGTTCATCAGCCTCAGCCTTGCTCAGCTTCTTGAACCCAGAAAATGCGAAAAGGGTGGACTGTCTCTTCCGCACTGGCTTGGGCAATTCACCATCATCAACATCATCTCCATCATGTTCATCATCGCTGTCATCCAGTGCAACCAGCCTCGGCATCTTGGGCTTGGCAGTTTCTCTCGCGCGCAGAGGCTCGGAATGGACGTGAGGGGCCATTGTCTCGGTGTCGGATGATGTGTCTGTGTCGTTGACGATGGTGATGGGCGTTACAGCTGTCCCTTTGACAGGCGACCGATCTCGTGCCTTCCGCGTTGGCCCTCTCTTCTTTAGCGCGGTTTAGATGGCAGGCTGTGCTGCTGACCCTTCATCCAATGATGAAAAGGCCATCTTTCTCCTGAGATATGTTGTTTAACTTTCGGGTGACTGTTTGCTGACAATGGCCAACTCACTTTGATGTCTGCTTTACATTCTTAGCCCCGGACACCATAGCTGCGGCAATCAACCTCTCGACCCAATTCATTATCAACTCGGCATCCCCTGGAGCCTCTCGCATCCCGCCTTGCAGCATCTTCAACAGTGTATCCAGGCTCTTCCCACGCTCAGTGATCTTCAGTGGTTCACCTCGGAGATTGTGGGTCTGGAAGCAAATTTCCAGGTTGTGATTGAGAGCATACCAGTGGCCATTTTCTTCAAGTTCCTCGCCGTCCAAGCCAAATCTGTACCGAGAGCTAGCGGGGTTCAGAGGGAGATCATCGGGTAAGCTTTTGAACAGTTTTGAGAGGTATTTTATGCGTGAAATGTTGTCAGAAGTATTACTTTTCAGCTCCATAGTGTCAGTGAAGTTGTTGTAGCAGTGCAAACGAGTCAAAATTCATTGTAAATTGGTATAAATTTCCTGGTACCTTAGCGGAGTTAAAGGCCACGAGGCTGGTTCATTGACCGATGCGAGCCCTTACCGACCGATGCAAGGCCTTTACCAGCCGTTACCGACCGTTCTCGGCCTCGGCATTGCCAATCTCCGAAGTGTCACAGGTCACATTGACCTCGTTGCTAACTCTGGGGCAAACTTGGAGGTCACACCCTGGCGGCCGTTGCTTGCATACAACTACGTACAGTATTTTAGTTCACCTCCTTGTCACCTCCACCCTCCTCCTCCTCATCTTCTTTGCTCCCCCACCATTTCTGATGTCACCACTTTCTATCCGCTTCCGTTGCCGATCCGTCAACTACCACGTGCCACTGTTGATATCAGCAAAGCCCTGGCAGCCAGTCCAAATAGGGCAACAGGTCCATCTTCATGATGTCGATCTGCCATCATATACTATCAAAACATCGGTCGCTCGTCTTGCCTGGTTGGAGCGTGGGTGGGTAGTTTTTGAGCTGGAGAAGGTTCATCCCCTTGCGTTGCCCATGTTCATTGCTGTCCCATTCACTTGGGTACACTTATCTTTTGTCCATTGTCTTTGCTACAGCTACATCTACCACATGCTGCCTGGGACTCACTTGTTCAAAATTGGAACTACTCCTCTCCTTCCCTCGTTTGATCAGGTGGTCCAACACAACCAGTCCATTAGTAAGGCCATGAAACTGTTGGATTTGGACTAGGTGGTGGACCGGTGGCTCCAGTTTCTTTTTTTTCAGCAGAACATTCATTTACAGTGCAATTATTTTTGATTTTTGAATCATTTTTATGGACACATATTTTTTTAGAATGCCTGACTGACAATAAAGGAACTGTGTTGATACTGATAGTGTTTTGCCTTTCCCTTTTTTACTGCATCTTCCCATGACATGATTTTCCTGCTCTCTTTTTGCTATTGGACTTTATTTTATGGCTATACAAACCTATGACATTGCTCACAGCATTCATTGTTCTATCCCTTTCTTTTCCTTTTTTTGACAATCTTATCCTGTACTACCTACGCAGGATTTGTCAGCGTAAATTCCTTCCTTCATGTTCTTTCTCATTCTTTTTGCAGTCAAACCCAAAAAATGTAATTTTAAAGTGAAGGAAGTAGACTTCCTCGGTATGATAATAGGCCAGAACAGAATCAGGATGGATCCTGAGAAAGTTCAAGCTATTTTGGACTGGCCTGAACCCACTTGCGTCAAAGGAGTTAGGGCCTTCCTTGGCTTAGGCAACTTTTACCGAAGATTTATCAAAAATATTGCAAAGATAATGAGACCGTTGAACAATCTCACTAAAAAGAACATTGTTTGGCATTGGGGCGCCAAAGAACAAGAAGCTTTTGATAAGCTTAAACAGGTGTTTACAACAGCGCCCATTTTAGCATTTCCAGAATTAGACAAAGAGTTCTGGCTAGAAACCAACTCTTCTGATTTTGCTACTGGGGCTGTTCTGTCAATCAAATGCCCTGACGACCTTTGGAGGCCTTGTGCCTATTTATCACATAGTTTGTCGCCTACGGAGTGCAACTATCAAATATACGATAATGAGATGCTGGCCATCATTAGAGCTCTAGAGCACTGGCCACACTACTTAGAAGGTGCTAGGCACCAATTTGAAATTTGGACCGATCATAAGAATCTAGAGTACTTTATGACAGCCCGAGACTTGAACCAGAGACAGGCCCGCTGTCGATGATGAGAACTGCAGTTAGAAAACCACACACAAAACAAACTAACACACAATCCTCCCAGATTCCACAGAACTTGTTTATGGGCTTTGCCTCCTAGAACAGTGGAGTGGTCTGGTTGTTTGTGGGGTGGTACGTATAAAGATCCTTCAAAGTAAAACCCAGAGGTGTATGAGTGTGGGTTTTGAGGAGGAGGGATAGTTGAATTTATAGAAGGATAGGGGCTTTGTGATGAGTATAGACGAGCACTACCTTGCTAATCGTAGCACAAGGTAGGTTTGAGAACGACAATATGACGAGGTTCCCAGTGATAGCAGGCTCCTGACGCACAAACTGTAGTGCTCAGAAGGACTCTAATTGAAAGGGATGACAATGACTTCAAAAGTGGGAAGTGACGATGACAGCAGTTGACAGTGGTAAAAGTGGGAAGTGTTGTGACCACACTGGATCACAAGTAGCAGAGTAGTGAACTTGAGAGTAGAGAAGAAGTCTGGATTGGAGTTCTTGTTTTTTTTACAAGGTAAAATACAGGGGTTTATATAGTAAAAGAAAAGTAGGCTATGCACAGTATAGCTGTGCAAAAAGAATGAGAAAGAATATGAAGGAAGGAATGTACGCTGACAAATCCTGCGTAGGTAGTACAGGATAAGATTGTCAAAAAAAGGAAAAGAAAGGGATAGAAGAATAAATGCTGTGAGTAATGTCACAGGTTTGTACAGCCATAAAGTAAAGTCCAATAGCAAAAAGAGAGCAGGAAAATCATGATGTCATGGGAAGATGCAGTAAAAAAAGGGCAAGGCAAAACACTATCAGTATCAACACAGTTCCTTTATTGTCAGTCAGGCATTCTAAAAAAATATGTGTCCATAAAAATGATTCAAAAATCAAAAATAATTGCACTGTAAATGAATGTTCTGCTGAAGAAAAAGAAACTGGAGCCACCGGTCCACCACCTAGTCCAAATCCGACAGTTCCATGGCCTTACCAATGGACTGGTTGTGTTGGACCACCTGATCAAACGAGGGAGGGAGAGGAGTAGTTCCAATTTGGAACAAGTGAGTCCCAGGCAGTGTGTGATAGGTGTAGCTGTAGCGAAGACAATGGACAAAAGATAAGTGTACCCAAGTGAATGGGACAGCAATGAACATGGGCAACGCAAGGGGATGAACCTTCTCCAGCTCAAAAACTACCCACCCCCGCTCCAACCAGGCAAGACGAGCGACCAATGTTTTGATAGTATATGATGGCAGATCGACATTATGAAGATGGACCTGTTGCCCTATTTGGACCGGCCGCCGGGGCTTTTCTGATATCAGCAGTGGCACGTGGTAGTTGACAGATCGGCAACGGAAGCGGATAGGAAGTGGTGACATCAGAAATGGTGGGGGTGCAAATAAGATGAGGAGGAGGAGGGTGGAGGTGACAAACAAGTGGATTAGAATGGGGACCCAGAAACGACCGTCAGGTGAGAATAAAAAGGAGAGGAAGGGGCTCATGGTGGGGCTAGGCAAAGGAAGGGGAGTAAGGGAAACGACAAAAGCGAGGGCGCAATGCAATGTGTAGCCAGTGGCGACGCGAAAATTTGCCGAAATGCCGAAACGCGGAAAGTACCAGATGGAAAAGCAATGGTGAGCGTGACTGGATTGCCTAATAGAAGTGGTGCTGATCAGCCACAACTTCAAAAGGGCAATATTAATTACTATTCCACGTGGCACTGTGCCTGTGTGGCGCAAAGGCGAGTCTTTTTGAATATTTGCTTCGTTATTGACACCTGTCCATGCTACCAATCAACTTTGGTGCATGACACCGTGGTTCCTAAATACGTTATCTCTAAACAATCTAGCCACTCCTTGAGATGTAAGTTCCGCTTGCGTTGGTATTACTTTGATCATTTTGGAAAATCTGTCTACAACAATCATGATCATGTTGTACCCTTGCAATTCCGGTAGTGGTCCTAAAAGGTCAACCATTATCATTTCCCATGGTTTTGTGGGGATTTCATTTGGGTGTAATGGTGCTGCCTTTTTTTGGTGTATCGGTTTTGTTCTTTGGCACATTTTGCATCCTTCTACGTACTTTTTTACGTCTTTATCCATATAAGGCCACCAGAAGGTTCGAGTTATCAACTCCTTCGTTTTGTACTGTCCGGGATGGCCAGCTATGATCAAATCATGGTTTATCTTTATGATTCTTTCTTTTAGCTTAGCGTCCTTTGGTACGTACATCCTTCCTTTCAAGAAGATGTAACCTTCATGGTCCTTCCACCAACCGTCTTCCTTCTTTTCTATCTTATCTTCCACTTTCTTTATTAGATCATCCACACTTTTCATCCTCTTTTTGATCCATTTGTAGATTTCTGCGCTCTCCCCTTCTCCTTGTGTTATTGTTTCTCTCTCGTCATTTGTTGTTGACATTCTTACAAAAAGTTCTTCTTTGAGTAAGATAACATTCTCATTATTGTCCTCCCCCTTATTATGATCTGCTCATCTCAAGAGAAGATCCGCTTTTATATGTTTGGTACCTGGGATATGATGCAACATAAATCTATAGTTGCTCATTTCTGTCACCCATCTCGCTTGTCTCCGATTTAGCTTCTGAGGTTGTTTGAAATATAAGAGATTCTGGTGGTCTGTCCAGATCTCAAAGTCCTCTTTAACATTGATCAGGTAATGTCTCCACTCGTCCAACACCGTCATAATCGCCAGGAGCTCTTTGTCATTGATCTCGTAGTTCCGCTCAGTCGGATTCAACGCTTTGGAGAGATATGCTACAGGCTTTCACTGGTCATTCTGTTTTTGTGACAACACCGCCCCCATGGCAAAGTCACTGCTATCTGCTTCTACTTTATATTGTCCTTCGTCTGCCGGTAAGGCAAGTACTGGGGTGGAACTGACTTGTTTTTTGAGTTCTGTGAATGCTTCTTTTTGTTCCTGTCCCCAAGTGAACTCTTCTTTTCCGGTTAATTTAGTCAATGGTTTGGCGATCAACCCAAACCCTTGTATGAACCATCTATAGAAGTTTACGAAACCTAAAAATGCTTAAACTTCCTTTTTTGTCTTGCATTCTGGCCAATCTGTAATCCCTTTTACTTTAATTGGGTCCATGCGAATCTTGTTTTCTGATATTATCAGACCAAGGTATTCTACCGAGGTTTCTTCAAAATCGCACTTTCCGGTTTTAGATATAGGCGATTCTTTCGTAAGATATCTAAGACTCGGTGCGTCATTGCCCGATGTTCTTCCATAGTTTTGTAAAGATCATGATGTTATCCAGGTATATTACAACCTTTCCTTCATCAATCAGATCTTTAAATAGTGCATTCATCATCATCTGGAACGTTGCTGGTGAATTAGTGAGTCCAAAAAACATCACTAATGGTTCAAACAGCCCCTTATTCGTTCTGAAGGCTGCTTTGTCCTCGTCGCCTGCTCTGATTCTGATATTGTTATAACCCCAACAAATATCTAGTTTTGTGAAGTATTTGGCTCCACGTAACTTGTCGACCAATTTGTTAATCAGTGGCAGTGGATATCTATTTTTTATGGTGATGTCATTTAACTTCCGGTAGTCTTGTACCAGTCGTAGTTTTCCATCTTTTTTCTTTATGAAGAAGAATGGTGATGCAGATTGTGATTTAGAGGGGCGTATTTGGCCCGATTCTAAGTTCTCTTTGATAAATGCATCTAATTGTTCTTGTTCTCCAAGGGCTAATGGATAGATTTTGCAATCTAATTTATGGTCGCCCAGAATCAACTCTATGGCGTGATCCCATTCTCTTCTTTCTGGTAGTGCATCAAAGTTCTCTTTAGCGAATATGTCTTTATACTCGTGGAGATACTTCGGAACAATCTTTTCAAAACCTCCTTCCTTCTGATTTTTCCCAGCGGCTTCAGCAAGTTTTTGTGCGTTTGTGCTGGCAGCTCTTATCTGGTATAGATGATCAGGAATATTGGTCTTTTCATATTCTACTAGACTAACTTGGATCAGCTGATCCCCATCTAGAAAGTCTATCTCTTCAGAGTATGTTTCAGGGTCTTCCTCTGGATCAGAGATTCTGACCTTTCGTTTGCATTGCTCTGGACATCTTTCAAATCTTAATTCCGAGTTCTTCCAATCTATGTTTGGATTGTGTTTTTACAACCACTCGTGTCCCAGAAACATCCTGCCGGTGCCTAGGTTCGTGACAGCGAAGTGTATTCTTTCTGTGTGGTTGTCGATTTCCATTTTCAGTTCTACAAACTCTTTGATGGCTCCATCTTTGTTAAGAGTTCCATTGGCGTTGTAGACTGGAATTGGTCTCGGTATTTTATTTGTTTCGTAGCCTTGCTCTTTTACAAACTGAGAGTCTATACAGCTCCCAGTGCATCCATTGTCTAGTAGCGCTTTGATCGTTGTTGATCTCTGCGTATCCAGCGTCGTCAGTCTACAGGTGATGTTCATTTGATTTCCCTGTGTTCCTCTTATGTATTTTTTGGGAGTATGAAGCTCTAAGAGTGCTAACTCTGCATCATGTAATGATAATGCATTGAGTTCTTGTATTGTTTCTTTTGTAGCTTCTTTTTCTCTTTTGTAGTGTGTCCAGGCATTTAAGATTCCAATGGATCTTGCTTCCTTTTGGTCTCTTAGCCTTTCAGCTACCCATCTCGGCGTCCATGCTGCCATCATTATTTTATTTTTTTCTTTTTCTAGGTTTTTATTTACAGGGGTTCCTGACCTGTCTTTCACAGTCTCTGCTGCATTTTTCTCCGTAGAGATCGCTGCATTGGGTGTGAGCTTTTTTGTATCCGCCGCTGATGCTGCACTTTCTAAAGTCGTGCTCGCCGCCGTAGCTGCGTGTGTCACTTCTTTATGCGCCGCTTCTGCTGCGGTTGTACTTTCTTTTGGGGTTTTTGTTACCAGTCCCCTCTTCTGGTTTGCATCTTCATTGTCTTTCCTTACTTCTTTCTTTGTCTCTGAGTTGTTTGATAAATATTTTTTATTGTCTGTATCTACTAACTCTTTGACAGGGAGAATCGAGAAGGGGTTGACATATTGTGGCTTGGCCAATTGATGCTGTATTGGTTGCCGTTTCAAAAATCCAATTTTAGAGCTTTGCGCTCTTCTTTTGTGAGTGCCGCTATCATGGCACGTAAATCTATTTTGTTCTTCCCTTCTGTGGGACAGAACTTACTAATGTGGCCTTTGATACCACATTTGAAGCACAGGCCTTCCTTCTTGTATTTAGCTTTATCAATCTCCATGGGCTTTCCTGCGTCCGTGTAGATTGTTCCGGTCCCGTCTCTGGTTTCCGAATAAGCTTTCTTCTCCGTTCCCCCTCCGTTGTCCTTCCTTGTTCCGGCCCTCTCCGTCTGGCTGAAATAACTCTTCTTTTCCTTCTCTCTTTCTCGCCAGATTTGATCGTAGTTGAGGAGGAGCTTTCTCCACTCCTCGTACTTCTTTGGTGGTAGCCCGGTGACATATAGTTTGTCTACCAGGGTGTGGTTCATATTTCTTTTTATTAGGGTAATCAGGATTGAATCATCCCGATAACCCGCCTTTCTTCTGAGGCTATCGAACTCTAAAAAGAAGTCCCTCGCCGTTTTGGTTCCTTGTTTAAGTTGCAAGATTTTATTTCTTGCTTCTTCTTCTTCGTAACTATTTTTAAAGGCTTCATTCA